AGGAAGAGGAGGAGGAGGAGGAGGAGGAGGAAAGTTGAGAGTGAGAGTGAGTCGAGAGATAACCAGCCAAGCGTGATGGATGGAGTTGGGAGGCGGTGGAGTCATCGTCAAAGAGGAGAAAAAGTCGGCATGTGGTCTTCGGTCGGTCGTTCCGTCGGTCCCTGGGCCGAGGTTGATTGCACCAACTGGTCAACTGGTCAACTGATCTTCCAAAGACTCTCCACACTTTATCTTCCATACGCAGTAACCACTACTCACTCAATCTTTGTATCTCATGGTGCACAGAGCAAGCGGGGATATCTTATTCTAAATCTGCAAATGACAAAATGGCTCCATCCCAGTCAATTATAATACAGCAAGTGGCAAATCTTCAGCCAGCCAGAAACTCCAAAGATGCAAGGATTGTCTACAGCAGGAAACACGACAAATACGTCAGAACCTACAACTCATCGCGGCTTTGCATAGCCTGTCGAGGAGTTTGGACTTTCCATGCTCGTGGCGGTACTGGAAGTCCCAGCCAGTAATTCCACACCCGAGCAATCTCAATCACAATGATTTCAACCCTGGGAGCAATCGTGAGGTTAGTAAAATCCCCTAAGGCGGTTCGCACGAAAGGCACGCTCGCGACTTACAGTGTCTTCGGGACATTTGCCCAACTCTTCAGCACATAAACATATGTATCCCAGACAAGAGAGAATTCGGCCTTAATATCATCCCAAAGGGTGTCGTCGTCCCGACGTTCGCGGACCCGTTCCCAAGGAAGCTTTTCGGCGAGGTACACGAAATCCTCATCGTCGTTCTCGTAGTAGAACGTGGATCCTCCATCCTTCAGCAGGCGCCGGGTTTTCTTATCCCCACGTTCTTTGGAGGAAATGCTGGCGGGGATTGAGAACACTTCGCCGTCTCCTACTTCCATGGCACGGTGAAAGCTCCGAACCGCGGCCACAGCGTGGGAGATGCGACCAAGAGTGTTGACAAGCGCCACTAACTCGGTCCGGCGTAGCAACGGATTTTCGCCGTTCTTGGTCTCGTCGTACTCAAAGAGCACCTTCAAGGCGGTTCCGTATCCGTTGACTTGAAGCTTGCCCCAGAGGCGGCACTTGTCGCATCCAACGCAGTCCATCAATCGGCTAACGTTGCGGAAGCGGTTGCGGAAATCTTCTTTCAGACCGCTGGCGCTTGGGTCCTGAAACATGATGTTCTCATCAAAGATCTGCGGGCGTTCAGCAAGGGTGGCTGTCAACAACGACACCTTATCACGGGTTTGAGTATCCTGTTCCGGATCGCTGGTACAGTAATTGTAGCTCTTGAGATGCTTCTGCAGCTTCGCCACAGCCCGGGAAACCAGGGCATAATTAAAGTAAAGGTTAGAGATGCGCTCCGGATGGTTATGCAAACGCTCCTTGAAACATTGCAGGTTGGGATGCCATTGGCCGGTCGTTTGGTTGAGGTAGTCCCAGCACAGGTGCGTCGAGATAGAGGCATGCATTCCACTGATGAGCCGATGGAAGACCCGCTTCTCAAGGCACTCATTATCTAAGGAAAGGCGGTCCGGACGCTTCAACTCATGCTGCAGTACACTGCGGAAGTCGTTCATGGCCTCGAGGTTGCCAAGTTGGGGATTGGGCGACAGCTCCAGCTGGGTAGCTGGCTTGAGAAAACAGTTCTCACGATAAATTGCGTCCCAGACCTGGTGGGCTCCCATGCCGGCATACCCTGTGAACCGCTCCGGGTTGTCCACCAGACTGACGTAGTCTCCTTTGCTGCTGGCGCCCTCATCCTCGGGGACACAGTAGTCGCGCTCGTCGCATTCGTCGTCGTACTCGACGACACAGCTTTCCCCTACGTTCTCACCCAGCATTCCTTGAAGCGGACGATCCCTGGGTCGCTCTTTTTGCTGCCTGCGACCCGGATGGCCGGCTTTCGGTCCCTCGAGTTTACTCAACTCCTCCGCCCGCCACGTTAAGGGAATGTCTTCCTCGGACTCAATCGTATTCACGGAACATGCGATGTTCCCACACATACTGTTGGCGTCCGACCAGAACGGGCAGACCTTGTTGAAGAGGTTCAGGCGGTAGTATGAGAAGAAATCGGTTTCTTGCGTGATGGATTGGAGGAGAGGGTAGACTTGGTCGTTCAGAGCATCGATGGTTCCATAAGAAACACAGGCGTCAGACACCATTGCGGTAGGGTCGAGCTGGAAGATCAGAGCATCATGCAATCAGTCCTATCGTTCTCTTGGTTGCCGGCAATGAACAATTGCGGAGGAAGCACAAGCTACCTCATGGAGTGAGTGCAACTTACCGCGCATTTGTCATGATGATATTGTAGACCGACTTTGCTCTCGGGGCTCTCAGCATTGGTGCGCGCAGAGAGGGCAAATACTGCCAGATAGAAAAATTTGGCCGCAGCGCGCATCTTTGTTGCGGGCAAACCAAACAGGAGGGGGAGAATGGAGGCGTTGACCACGAGCACTTCGTAGCGACAGACAAAGGCGATAATTCTAGTCAATCAAATGCAGGGCCGCTCCAAAGTATGATGTTTGTGTAGACTGTAGTTGAAGCAAGAATCGTCGAACCGGGGATTGATTGACATTCACATGAAGATCAACAACAGCAAGGGAAAGTCGAGCCGCAGTACTCCGGAGAGTAGTTAGTAATGAACAGACAGAGGCAGGCTCAAGGAACGCTTTGAGGGGCCCGAGCCACCAAATAATTGTAATCGGTGTCACCACAAAAAAAAACACAAGTCAAAACACAACGAAGGATGTGAAGTTGGCGCAGTCAATTCAAGTGAAAGAATGTGTTGTAGATGTTGCGAAGTGGACAAGTTGTCCTTGGGTGGCGCGCGGAGTTGCATGACCCGCAAAGTAGTCATCAATAAGTTGTTAACTTAACTAATAATAATAAGCAAGAATTCAGTCCCCTTCCGACGGTTCAATTAGTTACCACTTATCACTCGCTTTATCTCCCTCTGCCTTGCGCTTCGAACCTCCTGCCTCCGAATCTCTCTGTTGTTCTGATTAGCTTCATCCTTGTCATCCTTATGAGAAAGAAAAGTAATTACTCCTACATAATACCAGTAGATGATAAGCCATTCGTCTCGTAAGGGCACGACTGTCAACTCCATCCGGATCCTGCGTCAGCCCATCCCAAGCATGCCACCATCGCAGAGATCGGCCTGAGACTCGCTGACAAAGAGAAAGGAGGGCTAACTAGGAGGGAGAACAGAACAAAGGAGGTCGTTTCTTATTCATTATTTATTGATACTTGCTTCCGTTGTTCAACACAAGGAAGGGATGCATGCGATCAGGGCCAAGAGGGAAGATCCGCCCCGCCCCCACCACAGCCAATGTTTCGTCCGATCATTGACTGTCATGTGCGAGGAGAGAAAAAGAGAGAGAGAGAGATTGAGAGAGATGGAGGAGAGGACAGAGCTGCAGAAATAGTAATATCAATGACCGACGCAGGATCCGGCACGGAAGATCATCGACCTCAATGCATGTATCGGTACGACCCGCCCCCATTGTTCACATTACAAGGGGACTAGAGGTGCTGGACTCGTACAAGGAGCGTTCCGGAGTACAAGCTTTATGAGGGGTCAGGCTAGTATACTTGATACGTACAGCAAGTACTACTACTCAGTAGATGGTTCCACATATACATGTTCACCAGGTACAAAAACTTCTCCCGCATGAATGAGCGGTGTCCTTGGGCAACGATACGTCGTTCAATTGTAAACTGTCAAGTAACCAGACCGACACAGAAAAATACACAAAAAAAAGGAGGCCACCCAATGTAAACCAGAAAAGTCCCAGATCATAAGAGGACCGGCCCAAGATGCCCCCGAAGACCCCCTTACTCCGTACCTAACCCCTCAGATTAAAAAGCATAAGATTGTCACCGACCTTGTTCACCGGAACCATAGCCGGTAAATAGGGGACAAAGCGGTATATATAACTACAGGAAAAAGGAAATAGACCGCCAAGTTTCCTCTTGGCATCATGTCACCAGACACTTGCGCCTTGACGACTCTGCCCCGGAATCGACTGAAGGAGCACGGTTGTTCGCAGCCGTAACTAATAGTCCGGCGGGTAGTGACTCGTACTTGTTTTAATTCGTTCCTCGACGGTTACGACGCCGAAGACTGAATCTCTTTCGCAGACTGGCAAACGGATTCGGATGAGGGGTATTGTAAAAAGGGTCGTTTTTGAAGTCCTCATCCTTGAATTTCTGCCCGAATGGTTAGACAGGGGATTCGGCAACATTGTAGGAGAAACCAGACAGTGACTTACCATGCCGGGACAGCGCATAAAGTTCCCGTAGTCGTTCATCATGTTACTGCCCTCCTCGTATTCGTATGTATGGCCCTGAGGGTCCGTGTGACCTGGAGGATAGTGAGCCACACCATCGAGTGGGCGATGACTATCGAGGCAGTCGACAATTTTGTCGTGTGGGGTAGCTTTCAGGGCCTCTGCGTTGGAGTCGCGCAGGGCAGCCACTGGACTGAGTTTGTCGATCACATTGCGCTCGGGATAGACCGCATCGTATGGCCCTTCATGGTGGTACTGATACACCCCGGCGTCGTCCAAGCGATCGATAATATCCGGGTTCACCAACTGAGAGTGTCGAGAGAACCTCGGTTGATGGGACTGAGTGCGAGCGTGACGTTGTGAGTGGTGGTGACGACCGGGGCTCGCTTTTTTACGTCGTGGCTCAACAGGCTGATGTTCTGGAGAACCTGCGTAGTGGACCGAAGGAAAGGAAGTAGAACGCTGACGGTTCAAAGTCCGGGTGGGAGTTGGGGAGGAAGACAGAAATTGTTGATAGGGGTTAAGGTTTCCCATCTCCACTTCCGCATCACCCAGCGGATTCATTGAATGCCTGTGGGAGAGGAAGGAGGACTGATATGGATTTGGGAACGATGGGGCGATGACCGCTGCCATAGTGAAGGATAGTGAGAAGCAGGGAGAGAAGGAAAGAGTTGAGGGGCGTAATAGCTTTTTCTCTCGAGATCTCGGACCGGCGTGCTCGAGAGTAATATATAACGATCAATATTCCCAAGAGAGCCTATAAATGTATGTAGGCACCTAATAGTATGGAATACTAGTGACTACCTGCGTTATAGTATGTAACCCACAACTCAAAATGGATGTGGGGCAAGCGGTGAAGTCGTGGCCGTTCGTATAGTTCAATAGACTGTGAACCTTGAATTGATTTGTTTTAACCCGCAGTCACAGGAGTCGAGTAACCAGGAGCAGTGGGTGGTAGGAGTGACAGGGATAGGTGATCTATAGCCAAGCGATGTTTGTGTCAGGCGAGGAGTAATACTGGTAGTAGAATGTAGTAATGTGGGAGTCGTGATCGTGGATTGTGAGTAGTAAAAAGTAATACCAAAAGACAATAAATTTTGGGGGGAGGGCATGCATGAAATAAAGGACAAGATCTGATGCAGTAGAGAGTCATCCATACGAGTCAGTTCACTTGCATTGCTTATCAGTCTCCTCACCATCTTCATCATCCTCTCGTTTTGCCGTTCATGACGTGACAAGTTGCGTATGCTCGGTATGATCCTTTGCGGTGCTCCCGCGGATCCACGCGATCCTGGGGGGCACCTTGAGGGGGGAAGAGCCTTAGAAGGAGTGGTGCTTATCGATAAGCCTTCCCCTTCCAGTCTAGTGGCAGGATAGGGCCGGAAGACTAGACCCGTTCTGTTGCATCGGACCCTCTTCGATGATGAAAAGAAATCCACCGAGGAACAGAGGCGAATATTCGAATCCTCGCCGCACGTCTCCGGTCTAGACTTCATGAACCACTCAGAGTGGTCGATGCTGCCTTAGTGACTTTACGGGACTGCCGGAGGAATCTGGTGGCTCCAAGTGGCTCATGTGGTACCTTGGTGGCAATGCTGCTCGCTTCATCACGATCTTCACGTGTCGTCACGTCCGTATGCTGTGACTGGCATTTGCTGGCTGACTAAAGGCTGACCCTCGTCTGACGTTCCAGTTTTCCTTGACATCATCGCCAGCTATCTTGGGCGCAACACACATGAGAAAAATTTTCGATTTCTAACCGAGCCATGATGTTACCTTCCAGTCGGGACAGTTTGACGTCAGTCAGAGGAAAAGGGTCTTCTGGGTTGAGTTGATCCGAGCTCACGTCCTTTCAGGGTCTTTCAACCTTAAGCTTATCGTTAGTATGCCGGCTCCTGTCAAACCATACTCAAGTAGGACAAGTATAGTCCGGCTTGAAACAAGTTTTGGACTCTGGGAACTCGCCCTGACCGTAGCTCAGTTCAGACTGTTCAGAGGCTAACTAGAGCATGGATGCACGTTCCATCCCGATCTCTCCGCTAAGCCTGTCCTGCCTGCACTGAAAGATGCATGGAAGCCGCTGTTACACCGGGCTCAGGGCCGGCCCAATGAATCATACATATTTCCAGGTACCAGGAACAGGACAGAGTTTTCTTGATGAATTCACTGCACGTATGGCATATTCTCTACGCATCATCTAGTATGACACCTACATTGCTCGATTAAAGACTATCGTTGAACCGTTTGGAGCCTTTCCACGGCTACCAGATTGGCGATGAGAGTCTGGACTCGGGAAGGCTCTGCAGTTGCAACAACAGATATACTAGTTATAAGTTAAGACTATTTGGGTATCCAATCGTATTGCCCTTCAGTCATGCTGCATCTGAGCCACAGTTTGCGATGTGTCGCAGTGGGACAGAAATGTATCGACATGGTTGAAGAGACGGTGCTCGGTGGCTGGGACAAAGTAGGCTTATACGTGATGGTCAGACATCAGATCATAACTACCTCTCTAAAGACGATCATGCACGATAAATAGCATGCTATTCTTAACTCAAGGCTAATTGAAAGAGCACGTTGGTTCTTGACATGGCATTACTGGAAATACACGTATCATTACCGATCCCGCCTCTTTTCGCTCCCGTACTTTAGTTAGTTACTAGCAACATGACAACGTCCCCCGAATGCCCGGTGATAAAGCCAAGCAGATCAACTCTGTCTTCCCATCTAGGGAGGACCGTGGACTCTGCTGGAAATGGTTCTAGTACAGTACTCGGAGTCGGAGTCGGAGTCGGAGTCAGAGTCGGATTCTGAGCCCGTCCACGCTTCTCAACCACCCGCCAAAAGGCTCTGTACCACCAAACCATCGCCGACGCAACAATCCCTTCCTCTACCCCCGCTACCAGCAGCCTTCCATGACCTGTATGCCTCAAGCACTCGTGTTAGTGTCAGGGATGATCCAAGTCTTCACGGGGGTCGTAAACGGGTTATCCCTCATGTTGAGGGCAACTGGCCGACGCACCTGTATCTGGAATGTAAGTCTTCCCATCTGCAGGACACCCAACAACAACTTCCATCGCCCTATCGGAGATCACGAATACGAGAGAGATAGACACACTACAGAGACGGAGCCAAAGCTAATTACAGAAACCATCCCCCCCGGCGCCACGATGATCAGGGTACGCGTCCAAAACAGAGCTTACTCTTCTGAGCGATGTGATACTGCAGATCCAACAAAAGCTGCTCCACGGGAGCAAAACAGAGCTTCACAGCCTGCTTCATAGTGATCTTGGCGCCCAACTGCCTCTGCACATCAGTTTATCGAGGCCGGTGGTGCTCCGGACTGAGCAGCGTCAGCCCTTCCTGGAGGCTTTTCAGTCTGCGATGGAGCAATCCCATTGTGCGCCGTGAGTTGCTGTTGCCGTGAATTTTCTACATTTGTTGGACTGTCCTAAAATCGGCACCCGGTATCTCGGAAACTAGCTGACCGGCCCCTCTTTGTTCAGGTTCGACACCACAGCAGATAGTGTGGACTGTGTATCCAACTACGAAAAGACGCGGTGGTTCTATGTCTTGCGGGTGCGCAGCCCCGAACATGATGAGCTGAACCGTCTGCTGAAGTTATCCAACCGTGCGCTGGCTCGCTTTGGCCAACCGCCTCTTTACGAGGTCGCCGTGCCGCCGTCGTTGTCCCCCCGATTGGGAAATGACTCTGCGGCGAAGAAAACGCGAGTCACGAAGCCGGCCGAGGAAAATGACTACTCGCATTGCTTTCACGTCTCCCTTGCCTGGAGTCTAACGGAGCCATCAGCGGCAGAGAAGGAACAGCTTGCGACCACCGATCTGCACAAGCTGCGCGATCTGAAAATCGGCTTTGATTGTGTCAAGGTGAAAATAGGCAACCAGATATTCAGCAATTCCCTAGCATAATTCTGGGAGGATAGAGTATATATAGATAGAGCCCTGATCATTGGTTCCGAGGGAGTGACTACTGTATTCTAGTACTCTGCACCGTACTCCGTATACCACAGTCACCCAAAGGGTGGGTAACAAACAAAACAGTAAGGTACATTTCGTTATATACCACCCTCAGAAAGCGGTAATAACCTCCCCCGCGAAACCACGCTAAGCCAAACACGCTCCAATACTACCGCTGAGTCTCTCAGTTCATCTACCTCTCTCCCTTCACCCCCAAACACCTTAAACACTCATCAACGCAAAATGCCAAACATTCAGCCACCGCCCATAACACTGGTAAGCTCTAACCTTCAACCTGCATTCAACACGTATCTCTGCGCTCCTCTTCCCAGATGCCCAGGGAGAAAAAAAAAAGAAAAAAAAAAGAGAAAGAAAAACTAATCTCTACAGCACAGCAAGACCTCCAAGCCTTCCAGGCCAAACACTTCCCAGCACATGCTCTTATAGCCCCAACACCAGCGCATTACCTCTCTCGGTTTCAGGCGCAGCAAGAACCCCTCACGAAGCAAGGCCACGCTCCTCAAGAAGGAGACCTCACGGCCAACACCCACGAACACGAGTCCGAGTACGATGGATACGACTACGACGACGACGACGATGGGCTAGGCTACTATCCCGATGGGGTCAAGCGGACGCTCACGGACGAGCAGATTCGAATCTTTAGGCATAGTGAGATTCATGCCTTGTTGAGACAGAAGGAGTTGCGGGAGGAGGCAGAGCGGGAACGGAGGGAGGAAGAGGAAGCAGAGGAGGAGGCGCGGCGCGCCGAAAAGAGCCTTGGTGATGACTGTAGTGCTGAGGCTGAGGCTGAGGCTGAGACTGGGGGCGTTGCAGACTCGGAGGTACTGGGTGCCGTCGATGCTAGTGCTGGTGCTGATGCTGTTGGCTCTGCTGATACTACCGTCCAAGAAGCTGATACCACGACGGAACATCCGCCTACGCATGAAAATCGGTCAAGCGGGCGGAAAAGACCGCGAGACGATGATGCTTCACCGATGGATTATGGGGATAGTGGCAGTGGTGGACAGCAGCAGCAGCAGCATGCTCTTTCTTATTCCGCAGGGAGGAATGGGCCCTCTTCCGATCCTTATGTGGATCCCTCAAGGCGGGCGGCTTTGTTTACAAAGAGGAAAATCATCTCGTATGATGATTGATCTTGTGGATCTGGTTTGAACGGTGCTGCGAGAGCTCTGTCAGTCCACCTGCAAGTGGTCGTCTCTCCGAGTGATTCAGTACACCCTGACCAGTACGTTTGGGTTGTCATAACACGGTAAGTTTCTACATTGTGTTCTGTCAATGGGTTCAATGTTGCCATGCACTCTACCTCTGTCCACTCTATGATGAAAACATCGTATCAGTCATCCTTAGTCGGAACGCCATACCATCTGCGAATGTGTGAGGCCATGACGACTGAAATCTTCTCTCTGAAATTTTCTTCATTCTATATGCTTTTTAGGTCTCGATATGTGGTCTTATGCTAAACAATTTACTTAGGTCACAAACTACTGAGTCGCTTTATACTGATCTCACACTCCACGCGTTCTGCGCAAGCAGCATATACCACCAACTTCTGGTTTTTTCCCTGGCTAAACCGCCATCGCTCGGCCCCATTTGTCCTTCTCCGGGCGCATTCGAGTGAGCATGATGTTGGACTCTGGATAGAGCTCGCACCGCAATAATGCTTCTCGCGATTTTTAAACGCCGGTGCGGCTGATTCATCTTAGGCAGAACGGGCGGTATTCAAGATCCCCAATCTGCCTGGTGACTCAACGAATTCTGGAACTATGCCTGGGGACCAAGGTCCAGAATGTGACAACTCCCACGAGCAACCCCACCATGATCGGTTGCAAGACTTGGACCCCGGCTCGCGAGGCTATGGCGCCCGTCATGAAAGGGAAAGCGGCGGATCCAGCTTGTCCAAAACTCGCGGTAAAACCTGCTGCTTATCAGCATCCTACCAGCGCATTCTCCCAGGTGATGGCCCTTACCCATGGCTCCCACGTGCATTTCTTGGGGTATCACCTTGGTAAGAACGTAGAGCCCAACCGGATAGCATGGCCCGATGAAGAACCCTGGGGTTCGTCATAACTTTGCGTCAGTATCATTCTGTATGCTTCTTGACTTAATATAATGCTCACCCAGGAAGCACACCGTAACAGCATTGACCGTAATGATGGGTACTAGCCAAAACAGCAACTGCAGCGCGATAGCCAATATCATATAGACAAAGACCATCCGTCGCTCCCCAAACTTGTGTGTGATATCTGTTAGAGCGACTCGGCCGATGGTGAAGCCCCCCCAGAATGCCGAGGCTATGTAGCCCACTTTTTCAGGATCACCATGTCTGATTGAAACGAGAAATTGAACGAGCCATCCTAGATGATCGGGGTGTGTTAACCCTCGTTTCCTTTTTTTCCGAATCCATGGGGGAAGGAAGAACATACCACCAGCTGTGACCTCCGCACCCACGTATAAGAAAAAAAACCCGTTCAGAAGCCACACCGTCCGGTTCGTCAACGTAGCTTTCAGGTCACGAGCGGCACTACTGTTGGCACTATTGGTATTGGGCTTGAATAGTCCCTTTCGGAACGTCCACGCCAGGAACGAGATGTTCACTGCCCCAACCACCATCGTGGCAAGGTAGTAATGCTGCCAATAGGGGGTGCGCGCAGCGATGGTGTTCGCTATCAAGGGGCCGAGGATGGTACCAACCCCATACACGGCATGCAAGATCCCTAGCCATCGGTGCGCGTCTTGGACGGTGATCGTGTAGGTGTTCATCTGCGCGTCCTGCAGAGCCACGCCGCAGCCGGTGAAAAAGAAGGCGGCCGCGAAGAGGGGGAACGGTGGGCCCCAGAACATCAGCGCATAGCCGATGCACTGAATGGTGGCCCCGAGGACCAGTGTACCCCCGGTCCCGTAGTGCGAACAAATGTGAATGTTGGCGATGGAGGCCAGGAGCCAGCCGGTGAAGTTGACCAGGTAGATCATGGAGACCTGAAGCAGGCCGACGTGGTAGGTTGGCCGTATGTAGGGAATCAGGACGCCTAGAACGGCGTCTTACCAAGAAACATATTAGCATCCATGGTATGTATAAACTTGGATTTTCGAAACGGAGATAGCATGTGCAACTATACCATTGAATCCGGCCGTCAGCGCACTGAAATTGGTGCTCAGGATCCTGCCCATATCATCCTGTGCTCTTTTAGAGCCGAGGAGAGGCGTCTGAGACGTTGCATAATCCTCTTCATTGGGATACACTTTACCGCGTTCCTCGTCTCTGTTGCTGGCCATTTGGGGTCCTTGCCTCAATTGCTGACTATGTAGCATCATACAGTCAAGGTTCTCCGATAGATCAGGGTCCGCTCATATAAATGTCCAGTGCCTACGAGGTTACAGGGTCGGCAGGAGAGTGCTACAGTGGGCTCAGCAAGTGGGTTAACGCGGCTAGAGGATGAAACAAACGAGCTGAGGGGTAGGAACCCCTCTTTGCTGAGTTCACGCGAGGGATAGTAAGAGGATTGGATCATCGGGGATGTCGGTGAAGCATGATAAGCGTGGTCAAGGGATGGTAGGTGTGGAGCATTAGGCTGACTTGATAAATGGGAGGGTGAGCTGCGTGCGCTCGAGCGGAATAGCGCCGAGTCATTGAAGTCTTGCCTTATGGTCTTTGCAGAGGATCTCAACCTGGTTTTCCTGCCTGTTTTACCTCAAAAGGGTTAACATGCATCACAGCGCAACCCTGACCCACTACTGCATTGGGGGGGTACATACGCAGCTGGAAGTGGGTTGTCCATCAGAGCGCAGGGAAGTTGGGGGACTTTCCCAATGGCCGGGTGACTTTTCGATGCAGCTGCACTGCATCGAGCACTCTTATTCGCATATGCCCATGGAAAGGTCATCCGACAGTGTTACGAATAATGACCGAACCGCCCGCAGAGGCCGGGAAAACGGTCCGACAAGGATGAATCTAGATTCGAGATCGGCCTTGAGCTGCAGATGAGCCGATGTTGTGGAAACCAAGAGGTCAATTCATGCTGTCCTATTTGGAATTATCGCCCTTTAAGTTATGATCAATTCATATCGGTATATATTGCCAAGGGCAGCCGGTCGCATTGTAGTGGTTTGCAGTACCTGCAGGCCCCTCGTGGTGGTAGAGTTAGCTGTATGTACGTTGTAGTATAACAAAGTCGGATATGGTCGAGGTCTAACACCGAGATGAAGAAGAAGAAGAAGAAGAAGAAGAAGAAGAAGAAGAAGAATGCTGGAACTGGAGCGGACTCTTTCTTCCTCCGGAGTCTTACTGGCCAATTCCTTCGTTCCTTCCATACTCCATACTCCTCTTACTCCAGACTCTTCTTCCTCTTCTTCTTTTTCTTATTCCCTCGCCTTCAGTCCCTCTGCCAGACACGTCAACTCTCTCATTGCTTTGCTGAGCCCCCTTGAGATAAGTTACTTCGGATCCTTTCCGTATCCACTGATCAATATGAGCGGCTCTCCAGGTACCCCGAGTCGGCAAGACCAAGCGAAGTTAGTGGCAGACAATGGCACACCACTGGAAGCAGATGAAAGATCCAAGTGCTCTGCGTTTCCCAGGGTACAGGATGCCTTTGGCGATGAAGAGTTTGCCGAGGTCAAATACAAAGTTCTCAAATGGTGGTATGTGATGCCATGTTCGCGGCGACTCAGTTCTGGCCCGTCTAATCAACGCTGGTGCATACTAGGCAATGCGGTGTCCTCATGGTGGCCCAAACCGTTTCTCTGGGTGTACTATCTCTGCCCGCTGCTGTTGCTTCCTTGGGCTTAGTTCCGTATGTCGGTCTCAGGACTGGAGCAGCAGCAATGCAACTAACAGTCACCAGGGCCATGATTGCACTGGTTCTCTTGGGCATGCTGGCTACTTATACTGGCTATGTGATCGGGCAGTTCAAGTGGAGGTATCCCCAGGTCTGCAACATGGCAGATGCAGGGGAGGTGATCGCCGGCAGGATCGGTCGGGAAGTCCTAGGCGTAGACCAGGTCCTGTTCCTGGTATTTATAATGGCTAGTCATCTGCTCACCTTCATCATTGCTATAAATGCCATTACAGGCCACGGGGCATGTTCTATTGTCTTTGGCGTGATAGGCCTGATCATCTCATTCGTCTGCTCATTACCTCGCACGCTGGTCAAGATGTCCTGGCTTTCGTACGTTTGTAGGATTTCATGCCCTCTACACGTTTGGTCACACAGCTGATCTGCAACAGCTTTTGCTAGCATCTTGTCAGCGGTGGTCATCACTATGTTTGGTGTGGGCTTTCTGCACCCCGGAAAAGGCGTCGAAGCCACTGTACCTACCGACCTGATTCATGGGTTTGGGGCCGTGACTAATATCGTCTTCGCCTTCTGTATGTTCAAGCTCACTTGGCACTACCTGTGGCACTAACTGAGATTTCCAGCCGGACATGTCGCATTCTTTGGCCTTGCCGCGGAATTGAAGGACACTCATGATTTTACCAAGGCGCTATGCTTACTGCAAGGCTTTGACATCTCGTTGTACATGATTGCAGCGGTCGTGATCTACAGATACGGTGGCGCAGAGGTGGCTTCACCTGCTTTGAGCTCCGCTAGCCCCATGGTTTCCAAGGTCGCATACGGCATTGCCCTCCCCACTGTGAGTGACTATTATGTCCCTTTAGACTAGTGACAACATCGAGGTGGTGACAAATCGCAAAACAGATCATTATTGCAGGCGTGATCAACGGGCACGTGGCCTTCAAGTACATATACTTGCGCGTTTTCAGTGGCACTGATCGAATCCACAAGCGCGATTGGATTGCAATCGGCTCTTGGGTCGGTATCGCCCTGGGCTTGTGGTTGCTTGCCTGGATCATAGCAGAAGCCATTCCGGTGTTCAGCAACTTGCTTGGCCTAGTCGTATGGCCCCAACCTGCCCTGCATCCACGCTCATTTCTCATGAAGAACTAAGTAGCAATACAGACTGCCCTCTTCGCTAGTTGGTTCACTTTCGACTTCAGTGGTGTCTTTTGAATCGCGGCCAGTGGTTTTCATCACCCCAGAAAGTCGCCCTGACCATGCTCAATATTCTTAGCTTTATTGTCGCCGCTTGCTTGGTACGCACATCCTGTTTCATATCTGATGAGGATAATCCACAATGATACGCATCGGTAGTGCGGTCTGGGCCTCTATGTCTCCGGCAAAGCGATCCATGACCATCCCAGCAGCATGAGCTTCTCGTGTGCAGACAATTCGACCTGAAGGACTAGTGCGTCAATATTGTGTCCTTCGTTCGATTGCATACGACATCCATGATGAGATGAAACACCCTTTCTAACTCTCAGATACTAGGATCTAACTACTTTGGGTGCGTGGTTCCTTTGCTTTTTCCTTTTCCAAACATCCAATACCTGTCGGGACGGAGGACGATTACGCGGAGCTTGTACAAGATATAATCGTCCGCCGTGAGGACTAGGACCAACTCAATGAATGTCTCCGCACCTGGCAGCAAGTGCAATGTAGTCTGCAGCTGACACGAGGCACATGAAAGCCATGGAGCGGCCGGCAAGATAGCTGATCTCAATGGTCCCGAGGCAGCAGACCGCTCTGTAGTTCTGCGATAGGCAGGTGTTATGATTGGTCTATCTCATTAATAAGATCAATAATGCACAGGTGCACAACGCACATCTCGGTGAAGGCCCGTTCCCAGGTCCCAGTGTTGGCTGGCGGGCTATACTTGCAGGGGATTCAGGTGTCGGCTAGTCGTGTCTTCCGCCGTTGTTCGGTTGGAGCTGATGCTCCTTCGAACGGTTACGCGTGTTCGCCCAGGCGCAGGCTCTTTCAGCTAGTGAAGGACGAAATGAAGGAGCGTAGAACAAGACTTCCCTCAGTATACTATGCGGTATTAAGAACTCCCCGAGTGGCAACACCTCGTAATGTGCACCTGGGTTTGAAAGGGCAACGGCGCAGCATCGTTGCTGGATCTCAGCGGCTGGCCGCATAGCAGCTGCAGATTCCATTGTATTTAGGACCGCATTCCCACTCCAAAGCTCCCAATGCCTGCGGGGAAATGCATATATTGGGGCCGCCCTATGCAGGCTTCCAAGATAGGACAAGTCATTATGTTCGTATGCAACACAGCCGTCCCCTCTATAGTTTAAAAATTACAAATCATTCGATCCCCGACTTGCCCGTTTCATCCGCCGCCTCTGCCGGCGACACGAGTCGATGGCCTCTGGTGTTAAGATATCCGGCGGTAACTCAAAGTCATGCACCTGCAAATCAGGGATGCGATGGCCAAAGGCGTACGGCGTCCGGTGGCCCTTCCTATTGGCGGATAGGGCTGCCTCACGGGCATCGGGGTCGGTGAAGAAAGAGGTAAAAGGCTTTTCGGGATCGAGTGGCGGCGGTGGAGGAGAGGTCTTGGTGGACGAGTCCGCTTTCGGCTTGAAGTATGCGGTGATGGTGGTTCGCTTAGGCGCTGTGAGAGTGGTTTTGGGTCTCTTGCCCGTCGGTCCCGTCATGGTCGTAGTGGTTGCAGACCGAGCCTCTTGCAGAAGTTGGCGTGCCGCCCAGGCATCGACGTCGTTAGGGTCCGGCGGGTCACCTGAATATCTTTGGGCGTTCCCCGTTGCGCCGGGATGGCCAGCGCCTGCACCTGCCTCTGAAGGCGCCGTCATTCCGTCATCATCGTCTGCCGTCGCGGAAGTGGTAGTCAACGCTGTTGTTTCTTTCGCATCGGAGTGGACTAGATCGGCGGCTTTATCCTTATCTAGCTTACGGCGCTTTTCTTCTTCCTTCCAAATCTTGAATTTTTGAAGGACGGCAGAGATCTCTCGGATGAAATAGTCGCGTTTGGGCTCGTAAAGCTTCTTATCTTGCTCGGTGTGACTACTGATACCCATTATCCGAAGCCAGTCGTGGCCTTGGAGCTCATCAAGAAGACGGTCAAGGTGTTGCTTCTCATGTTGCGCCCGATCGCGCTCGATATTCCGGAGCTGCTTCTCCTGGCGCTCGTTACGACGATGAGCGCGGAAGAAAATGCTCTCGTCGAGGGGATCTTCGGGGTCTGATGGAGGAGACGGAGAGGAAGGTTCTGGTAGAGAAATCACCTCACAGTTGTTAAGGTTGACAAGCGGGTTTTTGAAAGGACGTTCCAGATCTAGCTCTAGATTCGAGGTTGTCTGCGCAAGAGGAGGAACAGGAAGGTCATCGATGAGTTTGATGGTGGTGCTACCAGCTAGGAATTCTAAAGCAGGTATTGTGAGCTATTGTATGCGCGATGATGTTGATGACGATTAATCACTGCATACCTGTTTTCGGAGGCTCCAAGCTGAGAAGCTCTTCATAGTTTGGGAAATAGGCCGCTAACTCGCTGCGGGCGCGGGAGCCGGTGTCATTGGAGCGGAGGGAGCGCCGCGACTCGCTCGCATTGGGAGGAGATTCGGTAGCTGGCTGGGCAGCAGCCAAGCGAGTGGAGCGGACTGATTTTTGGGCAGCGGCTGGTGATTCTTCCTGAGTAGGTATTGCGTCTGGCGCTGGGGGCGGAGCTGGACGGCGCGAACGACGGGCTGAAGAGCTGGGGGCGGCGGCGGCGGAGAAGGAAAGAGCGGAGGAGCGACCGGCGGGTGAAATTCGACGGGAGACGGAAGGGGAGATGGTATCTAAGGGATCCGGCGATTCACGCTCCTGGTGGAGATAGAATGATGGCAGAGTATTGACGGGTGTCTCATTGCGCAGAATGCGACGCCGGTCGGAGTGGCGCGAAGTAGCCGGGGAAATTTGTGACGTGGTCGTGTTTGAGGAGACCAGCGGACGGCGCGTCGAGATCCGGCGGGATTGCGCTCCAGAAACACCTTTGGCGTGCGGGGAAGGGGCCGACGAAGGGGCGAGCGACGGTGAGGAAATGTGCAATGGTCGAGAGTGCGAGTGAGAGTGTGAGGGCGAGTTGGTGGCGTCGAGCAAATCCGGGGAGCTCTTGCGACGCCGGGATGACGACGATTCGTGCAATCGAGCTCGTTTGGCCGGCGGCGGATCGAGGGTTCGAGGCAGTGAGACACGGGCGGACATATCAGGAGGAGCAGCTCTGAAGGAGGAGAAAGAGGAGGAATAGGCTATGCGACAGGAGCATGTTCTGGTCGGAGGACCAGATTCCCGGGGAATTTTGACAGACTTAAGCTTAGATAGAAGGGATGAGAGCGATAAAGAAGAAAAGATAAAGTGAGAGAGAGAGAGAGTACGAGGGAGAGAGAAAGTCAGAGACTCAAGTCTCAATTGAGTCGGAATGTTTGTCTGTTTCGGTCTCAATTTGTCTCAGACGTGACCATACGTGACCTGTGTTGGTGTATTAATTCTGCTACTACTGCTGCTGCTACTGCTTTATCTTCTGTATCTTCAAAGCTCCTCCTTCATAGTCATTCACTTTTTCCACGGCTCCATTCACATTCATTCATCTGGCTCAAGGACAACAATTTCCTCACAAGAATACAGGAATGGAAGCTTAGTATGCGACCCCCTCATCACCGACATGGATCCTCCTCACATCTGCTTCTCCGCTCCCAGCTGCGGGCGTAGGAACTGCTCGCACATGTTTCCGAGGATGAACGTGGGGGAGATTCTCCAGTGGCTTATATACGGAGTAGGTGAAGCCTCTTTTCCGCCCTGATTGCCCTCGTTTCCTTCATTCGATCATAATTGTGCAAACCTTACAGGAGGAAATCCACTCCCCCCCCCCCCGCGCTGTAGCCTCTTCGAGTGGGGGAGAACGTGGGGGTGGATGGAGAAGCAGAGGGCGATCAGAGCTTCATTCAATCCAATGATCCTCAAGTCAGTGAGTTCTTCCCCTCCACCCCTCATTTACTTATATATGCTCTTTTGTCCCTCTCTCTTTCTCTCTCTCTGTCCCTCCCTCTCTCTTTCCCAACATATTTGCCACACTAGCGGTAGTCTACTGCTTCATCCCCTTATTCCCTGCAATCCACCATTTCACCTAGCTTATAGAACAAAAGATATCAACCAAGCTTCGTCCTCGTCCATCACAGTCCATCATGGCCCGCACTTCTCGCCCACTCACGCCTGGAATTTATGTCCCAACCGTCGCCTTCTTTGGCCCTGACGAAGACCTAGATATTCCCACCGTCGAGCAGCACGCCGCCTACCTCGCTCAATCCGGCGTCACCGGTCTTGTCGTGCAAGGCAGCAATGGCGAAGCGGTTCATCTCTCACGTGAAGAACGAAACGAGATCACAGCGGCCACCCGTAGAGCGCTCGATGCCAATGGCGCCTCCTCCAAGCCCCTAATCGTCGGCACCGGCGCCGCATCCACCCGGGAAACTATTCAACTGTGCAAGGACGCTGCGGCCGCTGGCGGTGACTACGTTCTTGTTCTTCCGCCCTCCTATTACAAATCACTCCTCACGACTGAGACCCTTCGCGAGCACTTCCGACTGGTGGCCGCGGCCTCGCCGATCCCCGTTCTTATCTACAACTTCCCCGGTGCCTCGTCGGGGCTCGACCTGACCTCGGACGACATTCTTGCCCTAGCGGACCATCCCAATATCGTCGGCGTCAAGCTCACTTGCGGTAACACGGGCAAGCTGGCTCGCATCGCCGCGCAGGCTAAGCCAGGCTTTCTGACCTTTGGGGGCTCCGCCGACTTCACCCTTCAGACCCTCGTAGCCGGCGGCGACGGCATCATCGGCGGTGTCGCCAACCTGATCCCCCGCGCCTGCGTTCGCGTCTTCGACCTGTACCGCGCCGGACAAGTTGAGGAGGCCCAGCATCTCCAGGCCGTCGTCGCCCGTGCGGACTGGCATGCTATCCAGGGCGGATTCGTGGCCGTCAAGAGCGCCCTGCAGACCTACCGCGGGTATGGTGCCCTGCCCCGCCGGCCGTGTGTCGTGCCGAACGAAGACCAGGTGACGGCACTGAAAGAGTCGTTTGCCGAGAGTATGGAACTGGAGAGGCAGTTGGAGAAACATGCTTAGGCAAAGAGCATGCTAGCTAGTCAAACAAAGGTTTTACTCCGTAGTATGTTTCATGAATTCACGCAAAGCAATCCTTCTTCCTTCTCACCCTCTTAGTCTCTGAACCTCAGGGTACTATATATCACTTCATATCTGAAGTAGGGTTGGAAGTCGCTTGACTTTCTCGGCCAAAACACTTATAATAATGGGCGACCAGCCAGAACTTTCGTCCGGTTCCCCTGCGTAGATCCGACCCAATTAATGATCACTCAGCGGGATCTCGAAATATTCCCCTCCCCCAACAAGACGAAACAGATGAATGAAGGCGAAAAGGAAAAAGGGAAAGCTCCACGGTTGTCGAAACCTCAGCTAGGACTGTCACGCCCCCGACAGGGACTGTACTAAATGTCTTCGCCAATTGTCGCCATGACTCAAGAACTACGATGCATCATTTCTTTAGTGTCCGGGCTCGCATTACGGTCCGATGCACTGACTTTGATTATTTGCCTGACTCAAAAAAGAAATACCATATGTAGAATCTCCTATCTTTTGTGGGGGGGGGGAGGGCGGTGCATACGATAATGCACACTTGGACTGCGCTCATTTCACTAAACAAACAAACAGTGGTATATCTAGAACGACCGAAGTGTCCGGGTTGGCCCTTGAATAGATTGAGATTGGGACACCGATTTTTTTGTTTTTCCTTTTTTCCGCATTTCAGGGTTCCTCAAAAAGACCCTCGGGCCAGCCTTGGGTTGCTGCTATTCAGCCATCGGCATATATATAAATATGAAAGTAGTAGTACAACATGATTGAAAACATGGAGCCGGCGCTTGAGAATTGGGGCTCAAAGAATCATCGTGCAGATCAATGGTATCAGTCAAGGGAATTTTCCAGAATCACTTAGGTGGAACAACAAATATCAATCCGATCGCTTTCCGAAAGACACAGGTACGCAATGCTGAGACTGTAACAAGAAACGAAAAAGAAACAGAATACAGGACAGAAGGGCATACAGAATATATCCAAGCATTTCAGGGCATTAACTCGTCGAGGTCGAAATAATGGTCCTCATGCGCATAGGCAACATCGGGCAAGGGAATGGCTGGTTGACCGATCAATTGCGTTGAGGGGCCGCTGAGCCACGGCCCGCGCTCTTCGTCGTTGGCACTCAGCACGCCCTCAGCGCGCTTCAAAGTCTCGACGTCTAGGTCGGTCACGTATGCCTCCCGGTTGGTGCCGTCCCCGGCACCACCCGGGAGCTTGAGTCTGACTTCGAACTCGTTATCAAGCATCATCTCATCCTTCCATAGACGGCGTTGGCCGTCGAAGACACAGAGGACGCGCTTCTTGGTTTTAATACTGCTGCTAGGACAGCCCCACGATTGGGGGTATCGGTCCCGGTTGTTCCGCCGCTTGGTCGCCGTTGCACGCATCTTATTGCTGACCGAGGGTTTACTGACAGCATTGCCGCTGCCCAGAATGACGCGAGCAGTACCGACAACGGGATTGCTTCGGGGGACCTTGAGGAGGTTCTTCGCCAATTGCTGATTGGTGCTCTCGTAGAAGTCTTCGTCGTCATCATTTTCATCGCTGTATCGAACTACGGTGCCAGCCGTGTCGAGCAGCATGTGTTTCTCCATAGTCTTCTGCACCTCTTCATCGGCCTCAACCTCGGCAAGCCGCTTCTGGTTGATGGCTTCGCTAGGCTCCTCTTGTTGCACCACACGAAGCACACAGTCATCCAGGTGCTCGTAGAAGTCTTGTGCGTTGCTGAAGGTGATAGAACATGTGGAACACTTGCCCGTAGCCTCTTGGCTATGCATTGACGCGTTCTTGGTGGTCAATGCCACAGGGGTTCGCTTGCGGCAGTTTGGTGGCGTCTGCTCAACCCCGTGCACTGAAGTGAGGTGACGTTTGAAGACATCGGCCCGGTTAAAACTTTTTTCGGCGGGTGATCCGGATCCAGGGCAGAATCCGCAGACCATCGTACCCTTATAGTGGGTGAGGGTGTGTCGGTTCTTGTCGTACTTGCGTGCAAAGCCCTTAATGTGGTACTCGCATGTTGCAATTGGACACTTCTCGGGTCTCTCGGATTTGTGGGTAAGCATGTGGGCCTTGAGGTCCTTAAAAACTCGTCCACAATCAGGCTGCGGGCATCGACCCTTCTCCTTCGTGTCGTCATCCAACTCGGAGTGGCTTGATGCCGGGCTTGACTGGGACTGGCGAGACTGAATTGAAGTCACAGATGACCTTCGCTGATAAGCAGGGACAGGGAGGGAACGAGGAGCGGAGGAAAATGGTGAAGCAGCCGAGAATTCAGCTTGCTGTTGTGTAAGCGGCTGCGTCGTGGGGTAGGTCTCCTCAAGCTGGTAGTGAGATGGATTGGGAGATAGAGGGAAGAAGCTGTCCTGGACGACCATGTAGTCGGACGGCTCAGAGAAGGAGATGGCGGGGGGCGAAAGATGGCATTGTTGGGAAGTAGGCTGAATTACTGAAGGATCTGTCCAGGACTCATAGTCAGCACAAGCATACCCTTGATCTGGGCATAGGCACTGACCGACGCAGCCTCCGAGCCACTTCTTTGGGGAGAAAGCATCCGTGTCCGTGACTCCACCATAATAGTCGCTAGGAAAGAATTCGCCCATAACAGCATCGGCAAGTCCCAAGCCGTTAGTAGTGTGAATCCAGTCCTCTTGAAAGGGAAGGGCTGTTCCTGAGTGAGGCGATCCTGCGGCTGAGGATGAAGCACTCGCAATTGAGGGTCCAGAGGCAGTAGAGAGACCGGGGATGAAGAGGTCAGCGGAGAGAGGGAGGGAAGGAGGCGTGAGGGGCATCAGAGGGAAGTTTGCAGTCTTGGGCAGAGGAGCGAAAGCGTCCGAGTACATGGAAGAAGCATCATAATAGGTTGGTTGCAACGAGGTGGAAGCATCAAGTGTCTGTCCATAATCACACATGCCATCCATCGGGAAGGCGAAAGGGTCAATCAGAGCGGTCTCCATTGTGAGATTTGGGACATAGGCCGTCTGCCGTTGTCTGGAAGCATCAAGTGTCAACATCTTCTTGTTGTCGGTGAATTGGGCCGGGCAAAGAAGCACAAAATCGGTAAAATCTCCTTGGTTCTGCATGTCGTGTCGGCAAGTTCGACAAGGGTGCGCAGTAGCCGGTGTGGCGTGCAGGCCGTAGATGCGGCAGCTAGAATGAAGTAACGAAGAGCGGACAATAAACCTGCAGGCAGATTGAATCAGTTTGAGGATCATGATATTGCGGGTCTCATTCTGAATGACGGTTGGGTTTCAGGGTGAAAGAGGTATATGCTATGGGGCCGGACCGCGGCCGGGCGGGGGGACCTACGATTCTTGATGGTGTTTCCTTGAATGCGACAGAATGTAGACCTGTGTGGGTGCAATGCGCAAATTTGGTCCGAGGATGCACGACAACAGGCAAGGTGGCTGGTGCTCAGGAAGGAGGTGTCTATGCCCGGACTATGCCAACAGATTCTGAGAGAGAGAGAGAGAGAGAGAGAGAGCCAAAGGTAGATCCGGAAGGGAGGGAGTATTTGTGCGTGTGTGATCGTGTGTGTGAGAGGGTGAGAGGGAGAGAAAGAAAAAAGTAAACAATGATATAGTTTACAAAAGAAAGTTGACGAGGGATGGAGGGAGTCAAAGCATTGTTAAATGTTATGTGATTGCTGGCCCTACGAAAAAGGTCGAATGCTACTATTTAGTATTTACACTCATAGTGGATAAGCCTTGTTGGGGGGGGAGGAAAAGGAACTAGGATTGACCAACTACTGCGCACAAACTGAGGAACCACGCTAAAAAAGACCACGACCTTTCATAGTATACACTATACACGATAGGACAGGGAAGTCATTTTTTAGCGCGCATCGAAAATGACTGGGGTGGGTGTGGGTTTGGGGGTGGTGGGTGTGGGTGTGCATGTCTAGACGATGATGATACCGCCGATGATGATGATGGTGATGGTGGGGTGGATGATGGATGAGGGAGGGTGGAGACAAAAAGAAAAGGAAAGGAAAGGAAAAAAAAGGGAAATGAAAATAAAAATAAAAAGAGAAAATAAAAAAGAAAAAGAATAAGAAAAAAGGACACCGAATAGGCCAAGCAAACCGTGTAGTAAACTGTAAAGTAAAGTAAACTAAAGTAAAGTTGGTTCTGTGTGCTGTATATAATACATTCCTTCATATTACATAGTCAAGTCACTAAAGTAACAGGGGTAATTGACAAGAAGGGTGGGTGGAGATCGCCGGGCAGCAAAAGCAAAGCAGCGAAAAGCAGGGGCAGGGCAGCCAGTGAACCGAGCCTGGTATTTTTGGCTCGATACTCGATACGCCCTAGTTACCGCTAAGCCTGCACTGCACTGCACTGCCTGACTAGAACATTGGGCTAGGTTTGGCGATCGACTGCACCAAGAAGATGTCATTGAGGATCCTATGAGATTTGTTTGATTTTGTCAAGTTTCAAAGCAGTCATTCTCGACTTCCCTCTCCCCTTTACCAACCCTGACCCGTGCCTGTTACCTGGTTGTGTGTAGATCATTGCTTCCTTCAAGTTAGTTGTTCTGTGGATAGGGTCGGGAAATCTCGATTGATAATCGGGGGATCTGAACAAGTTTCGTAAGCGGGTTAGGGAGATTTCTTTTCCGGGGTTCCAGGCATCAAGAACGAAGTGACAAAAGAAAGAAGAGGAAAGAGAAAAGGAGAGGGAAAAAACTTCCATATTGAAAGGGAATGAGACCCACCAAGATGGAGATAAAATCGACTTGTCCAAAACCTCCAATCTTGTCTCTCCCCTTTCACCACCACTCCGTATTACAGAGTGGTCTTGGGTCATTTCCCAAGCCAGTCCCCCATGCAATCTATATTTTATGCTTAATTGGAGATCTTATTATTTACCTATTGTTTCGACCGTGAATTCTTGACTCACCTCTTTTTCTAGCTTGGGGTCCGAACCAGTTTCGAGATGTTATTGGCGCTATAATCAATTCAACCAACAAGCATATCAGGAGGGAGAAAAATGACATAGACATGAGTCGGTGAGAGCCATTTTTTTTTTGCCTGTAGACAGTACGGAGAGACACACGGGGTCGCCGGACTTGGGTGCGGGTTTGACATTCGTATCCGCATTTTTCTGTCGGTAAGTCCGTGAGTGGCACAGATCCATGAGAGTTTTAGTCTCGTTCCTTCACAAGAGCTTGGCTAAGCCGATGGCCCGTTTAGCTCGAGGGACACAGCCTTTGAGCGACTGCGCCATTGGCTGGATTTAAACTATTTCTGACATCTCCGCGCTCTGGTCGGCTCTGGATTTAAATGTTATTCTATGATGGTGAGGAGAGAGGGAGAGAGACAAAGAAAGCATCTTCATCGTACTGGTAAACCGTATGGTACGGCCCGTCCGACGTCCACGTCCATTTCATACACACTTCTTGCTCAACTTCCAGAGCACGGAGTAGATTGGCAAGGACTCCCGTCATACAAGACTCTGGTGTCATCTATCTGAATCTGTTATTCTCCCCCGTGATTGACCTGTCAATCCTTATTTTTACATCCCAGATTTGCGGAACACAGCGCAGGCACATCGTCCCGTCAATTCGGGTCAGACTGTCAGATCATCCTCACTCCACTACTCCTTATTAGGATAAGTACTGAGGCATGACTGCAGTCCAAGGGATGATCCAGAAATGGGCTAGCCGCAGCACTAGGGCAAAAGATCTCGGCCTTGGCCGTCAAGTCCGAGTACAATTCGCCAAACTCATGGCCCTGTTGACGATCTTAGTTTCAGCTCCACCCCGTCACAAAGAAAACGTGCATCTCGGATCCTGGACGGTCCATTGGTTGACCGGGAAGGATGCTGAAATGTAGCGTCATTAGCTTGACCTGACGAGGAAACCAATCAGCATTCGGTGAGTGAGTGCGCTTCCGAAATCCGGGACGTGGGACGGCGGAGATCAATCGCTTGAGCCCAATATGGATGATTGATTCATTACTAGGTACGTACTCTCTTCCTCAGAGCCGCAACAAGCTCTCTGTATTGGTATTGGTCTGACAGTGAGTCGAAGGATCCTCCGTCACAGTCATGGGGTCACATGCTCATCCGGATTCTTCTGGGCGGGGCTCAACCCGACTCATTTGGTGAGAACTCGATATGACTACTACTACTACTACAACTACTACTACAATGCAGTCTCCCCAAGGTACAGCCTCCTTGTCAATATCACTGAGTCTGGGCAAAATAGAATCAACAAAAGAATGATATCATTGAAATGACATCATGCTGGCAAGCATGGCGCATGTTACTGTGTACGGAGTAGATACGGAGTTCTAAGAGTTGGGGATGCGGGCCTAGTGTGGCTCAGCTGGAGTGCTGCAGACTGACAGTCCGGAAAGCGGCACCCAAACAGTGACCTCTGGGAAACGCTATGATGATGCAATTGACAATAGTAGAATCCTAGTATGAGGAGCCAAACAACAATAACCAGGAATCACCCTGTAGCCCTTAGGGGTACCATAGCCCTGGGACCTGATCCTGCAAGATAAAACTTAGGTATTGTCCAGAGAGCGACCGAAGGGAATGGACTGGTATTGCCTATAGCAGGTACACTACGGAGACGGAGTGAACAGTCTGCACTCTGCACTCTGCAGAGCTGCCAAGCATGCATGTGCAGGAAGCCACACACATGCTTTGTAGTACCTACATCACCAGCATCGTCACTATCATATTCGTGATCCCAAACCGAGCGGATGTGTTGCCGACGCTCTCCTCCGAGAGTGCAGGGACGGTCGGTGAAGATCGTGCCATTGATACCGAACTAGCGCCACATACAGAGTTGAGCCACACCCCTAGAGCCTATAGCGTGGCAGTCGGCGGATCTCCCCGCCTTACCATTGGAAGATCCCCGTGCATGACGGGCTCTGGGATCCCAACTTGAGGCGCAGCCAGCATGTTTCTCACCGCTTGATCGCGAATGGACCCATCGCTCCCCGGGAAAAGGGGGGCACTTTTCCAGGAAATCTGAAACCGTAGGGGAGAATCCGTAGCCCAGTAAGATTCACCACAAGACGACGCACCAGCCCCCAGAGCCAGCAGAAAGGCCCAAAAAAAAAGCATGCCCCATCCATGCATCTCGAGCCTGTCAAGGTAGGACGCTAGAACACCATCGACGTTTCTATACGAGGTTGTTGAGCAGAGAATCCTTGTCTTTACGTTATTAACCCCCTTTATTATTAATGACAACAAACAGTCTAGCAGTACGGGATAGATACTGTGTCTTTCGAACCATACGATGGTCTCTCGTCTCGGTCTTGCCCGAAGTTCAGACTTGACTACTGTAACCACCAGGGACCGCCAAGCGTCTTGGTAGACAGTCTAGACACCATCACTAACTACAGTTGACCACCTGTTGACCACCATCTCTCTTCTAATTCTCAACCCTATCGCTCGTAAATTTTGGTTGACCCAAAAATACAGAAAGAGGATGACATTGCGGGGCGGGAATCTCAGCCTGCCTTCCAGGCTAATTTTGTGCTTGTTGAGCCCCTTCTCTCTCCCCTATCAGCCATGTCGAACCTGAAACATTCCAGAAATCGCTCGTTGCAGTCTCTGTACTCGGCGTGCATGTCAAATTTCCTGAGCTGCAGATCTGAAACGTAAGTTTAGTGGGCTTGCTTGAGCATCGCCTGATCTGCCTCCAGAGTATCATCGCAATCATTGATAGCCGAGAGACCAAAAATAGTCATCTCTGAATAACTAACTAGTTAGACCCCTAAAGGTTTAGTAATCGCCTAGGTGAGTAGACCCGAGCTCTGAGATGAGTGGACCACAACGGATGTGTCCGTGAACATCGACACGAGGTCCACGGTCACTCAGGCACTGTCCGAGAGTATGACAGCTGCCAACTCGGACAATTCTTATCCAGCACGTGGCATTGACGCCTTGCTAACCGCAGTGGTAACTTAAATGATCCACGGGCAGGTCTGAAATTTATGCTGTCAGATACCGACCGTCCCCCTGTCCTCATACTCAGTGAGATGCTTAAGGGTATGACGAGGGGCCCGGAAATGCATCACCTCGCTTCGTTTGTACAGAAGGAGCCTAGCAGCTGTTTTTCTGCTGGATAGCATTTGACTCTATAATCCCTGGTGATATTTTCTGGGCAATCTTATATTGGAGCCCGACATTTTTCGCGCAAGGGAGGCTGTGTGTCTCATGTATATTTGCCCATGATTTTGAGGTGATCTATCAATCTGTGGGCAGAATATGGGGCCCTAATCACCCGGTAGATCACCATTGCCCTTGAGAGAGACTAGCCTTTGCTCTACAGACATTATATTACAGCAGTAAATGCCAAATTTGTCAAAAGAAGGTAACTCATCCCTGTCTTTCATGTGTTTGAGCACCCAGCAAACCACTATTTACAATACCACGAGTCTAGATCTAAGATGGTTGAGAATGGATAGAGTGTCTTATCTCACCTTATCCTTCTTCGCAAGCATGCATGCATGATGCTAGGAGTCAAAGGGCTTCTAGAAAGAAAAGGCTGCAAGTACTGTACCTGAGATTGACAAGGTACAGGTGATTTTCAGAGTATCACCTTTTCACTTATCAATCGCTGGTTGCATACGAGGAAACACCAACAGCGGAGCATTGTGTTGCCTGTACACTGGCCATGTATGGACTGAAACATGGGCAATAAGAAAAGCAATAGCAGCCTAGTCTACGGAGTACCCATGCCAGATCTCCTCACCCACTTAAACGCCTACTTCTTCAATATAGCAGGACAAGGACAATCCGGCCTTCCCGACCGTGCTCGAACCGTCTCCTTCGATTGCTGTCATTATGACAGATAGTCCCATTCAACTGTACTGTGAATCCCGGCCCCCAATTACCATTACGGTAACCCATCTTATCACTGAATATAGTTAGGGGTAATATAAGTTATAGGGGGTTGGTTAGTGTCGAAGGGACAGCACAAAACACAGGGATTCTGGATTATTAATGATGGCGGAATCCGACCCGACACAACCAAACCAAATCTGACAGACGGACAAGCGCCAGAGCGCAAGGCTATTTTTACTAGTTGGTGTTACATGGACTAGTAGCCCGGGCTAAAGATAGCATAATTGTGATCGAGAAATGAAGAGACTAGAGTCGGTAAGTTAGCAGCTGTTTTGTCTCACGCGCTTGTGTGATACTTCTTTGCTTTCGTTGTTGGGAATCCGCGTCAAACGACATCTAGTCAAGCGCTGGGATGCTGACCCCTCAGGCATCAATGTGGACTCGCGCGTCGAATCGTTCAAGGAAGGCTTCCAGAATATCTGTCTTACCGCTGTTGAAACTGGCGTGAAACGTCAAAGGAATGTGTTGATCTCTGGAGAATAGAGCTAATCTTGGCTTCTTGAGGTTCACTAATAGATACGATTGAAAGGGCGTGCGAAATGGGGAATCTGGCCAGACACTACTGTGTCATTTACAACAATTGAGTCTCCCCAAATCTCTCTCCTGGCAAAAGATTTGTCAGGCCGATACAGTTCGATCATTGGATCCGGTTGCGGGTGAGAAGAATCCCCCCCGTCCATACTCAGACTGACGATCGCTTAATTTTAAGTGTCGGATTAGTCGAAAGGAATAGATTGAGGGGAGGGCCACCATATAGACTTTTAAGTGGGCATTTTGACAGCTGCTCAACTAGAGTCGGGGAGATGCTGTAAGTGGGCCGCGATGCCATGGATCAGGCTTGCCCCACGTTCCCCCGTCACATTGTGTAAGTGTGTACTCCGTATACCTCACCTATTCGTACTCGTAGTACCACCCCGTCCTGATCTTCCCTCTATTCCGGGTTCCTAATCATTCAAATGAAATGAATGATATAATCAAACTGGACTGAAAGAAGCTCCACCATCTTTGCTGCTAACACAGTCTAAAATTCGCCCTGGGATCATAGTGCTCACTGCTCGGAAGGTCCGGAGTCGAGCGGGGAGACCTCGCTGGAGCAATTGGCGGATCATAATTGGCAGCCTGGAATACCACTCTGGAAGAATGATCGCGTCTACTAGTGCTGCCCACTCGCTGGGGTCGAGGCAATCTATTTTAGATTGTCCTTTATTAAAATGGATCGGGTCGTAATTAGGATTGGCAGCTAGTAGGATCACAGGGGAACTTCATTCGTCTGCGCGGAATCTGATTGGCACGACAATATTCCTAAAAGGGGCAAAAGGTAAATAAATAGTATATACTTGCTCGTGAGGAGATTGTCCGTAGCGCGAACTGATTCTGGTCGTTGTCTGGAGGAGGAGGGTCATCGATACATCTGTGCTACAGCTACAGGTTTACCTGTCAGATGTCGGGGGTGGAAGCGGGGACCCATGATCGGGCTTCAACTTAACCAAATTTGCTATGACTTAGTGTCTCCGACACTTTGCACTTCATCTTACTCGTCGTGATCTCCTAGTAAGTGGGTTTTCTACCTTATCTCCATGTTGTTCCTTGGGTGCCTGGCTAGTTAAGGACAAACCCCGGCCTTTGGTTGCCTTGAAAGCTCCTTCAGGGGAAATTTCGCCTATAAATCCTCTTCTGGGTAAGATGGCGAACATGATGATATTACATGATTTTGCCCGCTGCATGAGCTTCTGACACCATCTCCACCTTAATTCTGCGGATATCGCGCAGCCCCGTGTGAAAAGTGGCTCTGTTATCTCGTCCGGCAGGATTTTGTCTTTCTCATTTGTGTTCTAGCCAGATCACATCATCGAAGACTTATTCGGATGCCTCAGAGATACTGTAGTCTTTAGGTGCATGATTTGCAGCTCATGTCCCAATCTAGGGAATTACGTGCACAAACTACCCCGTAATGATACGCTGTATGTTCACAGCTCCGCATTGATATCACCCAAAGTAATGCAGCTTGTTTGGCGATCGTCCCATCGATTTGGGACTCTCCGTACAAACACTTACTGGCCTACCAAGGCATGCATACGACTGTGCTTTCTATTTGCTCACGGGGATCGGTGACCACGGGCTTTACTCCTTGGGCGCGGCCCGATCGATCGCCTCCTCACTGGGTCTTGCCGTATTTCTGGTGACGAGGATTACTACTGGCCCTGCACATCATGCACAGACCGTGACCTGGCCAATGAGTAAGTACCTACCGTAGCCGTAGCTTCCCCTCCCCCCAAACGCCTGAGCAAACCTGTACTTAGGTATCGGCAGATCGGCCGCCGCGGGCAGCTATTGATCTTACCGGATATAGATAGCGGCCTGATTAGGCCTGGTGCTGTATCTTCACTCGCCACTCTCATGAGTACTGACAAAGACGTCTTGTTTGTCTGTGTTCTTGCTGTCGTCGCACTTGATTGACTTTCGCTACAACCTGTGTAAGGTATGGAAAAGTGTGTTGGTTTCTCCTTCATTCCGTCCAGAGCAAGAGGGAATATGTGTGACTACTGCGTGGTTTTCGAGACTCGTTACGCGCATCGATAATGTCATTGTGGCACTTGCCGGCCTCAGAGTCAGTGTCACCCACCCACCGCCATGTATGCCATTCAAAGATTGCCATGCATCGCATCTGGCAGATTCTAGATGGGACTCATGGCGACACTATAAAAACCTGATCCGACCATTTTAGTAGTAGGGTAAAAATTGAATCCTAGATTCTCATTGCTTCAGCCCGCGGAAACACTGGATCTCGTTCATAGGTCGAATATTTCTCCTATCGTTGTACAGCCTGAGAAGACAAATCAATAGGGCGTTAGTGGATATGTTACTCAAAGTAAGCAAGATATCTCTGTACATCATTACTCCGTACAATGATCTGATTCGGTAGGACAATCGGCTCCCAAACATTTCCGTCTGTGTGGTCATGCTGATGTGATCCCCTCTGTACATGTCTCCCTCCCCTCCAACGCCCTGCAGGCGCGGATTGCGTAGATCGTTGTACCAAATACCAGGGCCTTGCACAAGCTAGTGAGACTGACTATAGTTATACCATTACGACATGCTCTTCCGATCGCCGATGAGGATCATGCTTTGCGACGGTGCTACCTACATACTTGTCCTAGGGAGAAGTGTCTCACTTCTAATGGTGTACAGTACAGGTATGTGCTCTTCTGTAGGTGTTGTGCCTGATCAGATATTCTCCATCTAGTACCCGGTCGCGCGTCTCCCATAGGTTCTGGTATGCCATGTTGACTCAATTGAAGTGACACGCCGCGTTGTCCAGGGCCACCACGTCAGGGCTGCTGGGACGGATCATTTCCGGTGTCAGTGGAGCAGACTCGACACCAAGTACAGGCAGCGACGAAGCTTAAAACTCTCCCACAGACAGCGGGCGGCAGGAGCCTACAAAGCTCAGATCCAATCTGTTGATACAGGTACCATCTACTATACGTCTGGCTCTTTCGACTCGAGGACCGAGGCCTACGTACGGTAAGACACCCAAGGCACCATACCCGATTGCTTCAGGCTCCCCAGCTACTCTTCTGGACCCTCCAGGCTTAAGCCCCTCCTTCCCGTCTCGCATGTCGATTTCGAGGTCAACTTCGTTCCCAGAGATCTCTACGAGGGTGCAATTTTTCGGCATACGAGGTTAGAGTCTCACAACCATGGCCTGGGCTATAGTGCAATCCTTGATAGGGCAAGGTCTGACTTCGAGATAGAGTTGTTTCGTATCGCGCGAGGGTATAGATAGCTAGTCGTTGGTAATGAGCAATAGTTACAGCACTCGAGGGCCCTGAAAAGGAGGGTGAGGCGCAGCATATTGAATCCACCTAGTAAGTTATTTGATTGCTACTTCCATATGTTCCATGGTAATGCTTCCGTCTTCTAATTTCGGCCGACTCGACCCATGGTCAGGCTTCGAAGTGACATCTTGCCTTTCCACGTCTTCTGGTCATGCTTATCAAACTCAATGCGCACTACACAGGGCCACTGTATGTTGCTATCAGAACCTCGTCTCTAGTGCAAGTTTCTTCAGGGGAGAGAGGCCTATCTAAGCACAGAGCATGCATGCATGAATGCATGCATGACGATTGGTCTCACGTACTATGTATTTTCTGTCGACCCACACCAGTTACGATACTGGTACTGTACGGAGTACAGTACGTGATGCAGAAACACGGGCGCATGCCTTCGCAAAGCTTTTCCAGTGCCTTACGATATGACTGCCGATGAGGTGTGGCTTGAATGGGAATCTACGATTGACTCTGCGGTCTGAACAACCTACAAGATCAGTCACCCAATCCAAGAAAGGGGAAAATAAATAAGCCGAGCCTCGAGTTCGGGCAATGGGATAAAAATCATGCGGCGGGCTAGACCGCTAAACAAAGGTGGATGGAAAAGTGGGACGAATCCTATAAGGAAGAAAATAGAGAAGAACCCCTTCGGTGTCCACTGTCCAGTCCACTGCCCACGAGTCTGGCGAACTCCGATTGTGGATGCCGAGATAGACTGGAGAGGTTCTCGGAACACACAGAGGGCAAGCGAGCGCGGGAGAGGCAGAGCAACTGCTTTAGTACGGCGTACTAAGGTATTACTTGAGTTAACTAGCGTGTTTTCGTCAAAGTACTGTACTTTACAGCATGGGGGTGGGCGGTGTCACCCGGGTGTATTTAACTAAAGAACCCCTGCCCTGTGGAACGGATGGAGTCCCTTTCCCCTCCTTCTCTCTCTTCCTCTCTCTTTTAATCGCTCCCCGCTTGGACTGTTATGAAGGCTTTGATTTGAACACTGTGGGAGAATCAAACTAAACCCTGGCCGAGGAGAGACTAGCTAGGCGTTCTGTTCTATTTACTCTTAGGTCAACTCGTGGTAATTGAAGGGTAGCGAATCTGAAGGATCTGCCGTTGCGGGCCTATGTAAGATACCTTACCTTGGTTGTCTTTCGGCATCCCCGAACCATAAGTTGGCTAAGAAGAAGCTAACCACAAGTCCGGAGATCATCCCCCTGGCCGGGCCCCATTTGATATCAACCAATATTGTAATTAGCTTAGGAGTCAAGATCATGGGCCAGTAAAGCATAGAAAAAAGGTTCATAGCAACCGGTCAGCGGGTGAGCCTCGAAGCGAGGACATACAACCTTATTACTGACGTGAGTTTTGTCCTTGAAGGGGGCTCTTCTAATTCTGTCCTGATTTTCGCGATTCAGCACCGGCCATCGCGTAGTCTGAATCCAAGAACAAATACAAAAGGTCCCGTAAACAAGATTTTCTTGTCTGCTAACAGTTTTGGCAGGCACTAGGGTCAGATACCAATGCTGTCAACGGGACAATGGGAGTTAGTCTATAGGACTCTGTTTCCCCTTATCGTTCAATACATGCAATCCCTTCTAATGCATACTTATTGTTAGTCTCAACAGTAGAAGGTTAAAAGGAAACAGAAAGATACAGCGAGGAAAGCATTAAAGGGATCATGGATATTTTACGGCGCAATGAACAGTTTCTGCGATAAGGTACTGTCAAAGCTTGGCTAAATTTAAGGTCAAATAAATAGGACGAATTCGGAAGATCCAGCTACCAGCATTAGGTGAAGATAAGAAGCGATGGAGGGTCTGGGGTCTAGGGATGAAGAGCATCGAGGGGGAATGTGGGCGTATCGTTTGCCACAATGGATCCGGGCACTGCGCAGCGAACGACCTGAATACCCCAGGGACTCGGCTCGCTTAGCTTTGAAATGAAGAGACTTATCATTATGTTCAGTCGTCGGCCGAAAGTAACTTAATCTGTTCACTTTGCCCCCAAACGTCCCGGGACCGAGTTTCCCCTTCCTGCACTGACTTCTGGGCCCCGGGGCCCCGATGCTAGGTGGAAATCACGACCGACTGGCTGGGTGGCCCTCCTCCATCCGTTTAAGCCACGCAGCTGTCAACACCACGAGGTCTTTTAGACTCGCGAAGTTGGGGAGCGAATGGGGATTCAGGGGAAGCGAGCCTGAAGCGGCAGAACAAACATTGTATCTTGTGGTTTTTTTCCCCTTTGGTTCTCACGCTTTCCCTGGGCCGATGGTACTCAATTAAATTCAACGATTGGAATACCTACTGTCACTGCTTTACGACTTTGAAATTACTGTTTCCGAGATTGTGGTGGGCAAGGGGGTAGACAAACTCGCATCACCCTCCTTAGTTATCAATAAGGATAAACCATAACTCCTCCCATGATGTCGGCTGCACCGATCGGACATGATAGGCATGGGGGGTAAGGAGGAGAAAGGCTTGATCATACTCCACGAGGGCGATTCGTTTGTGGGGAGAGGGGAAAGTGTTGCGTTTTCTCTGCACTTGCTCTGCAAGAGAAAGTGGCGCTAGATGGTTGAGCACAATGTTTTTGACGATTTCACGAAGTCAGATCACGAACTTTCAAGAGGACAAGGTAGAGTAACTCCCCAGGGAAACATCATCAAGTGTCAAGGTCTCTGTACTGTACCTCATGCATTGGTGGGCTCGTATACCACAGATGGTGGGTTGGAGCAATGTTGCGTTAGCATCAAAGTCATACAAAGAGCCTCATACAGAACAACTTAACATTGATGCAGACCACGTCACTTCCAGCTGGGGAAGACATGACTGAGCTTACCCTATCCTTGCACTGCAACACTGGTTGTTGCATGCAACGGCAGATGCCGAACCACGGCTCTCATTTCACGGCGCAGAACATGCAAGCCCCGGCGCATATATTCAAGGCTCAATTGATCGAAGAAGAGTATCGAGAATCAGCATCCTTTTTGTTTTCCTTGCAAGTTGGTTACCTAAATACGGATGATGATGAAAACAAAATAGAGAAAAAGAATTTAAGAATGGGATTTGCGGGGTCCACTTGTCACATCCGGAGGTGTCAGTCTAACAGTCGTCTACACATAGTTTGGGTAACACATGGCCAAAGGATTAACCCCGGTAAACGTGGCCTGGCATGAAAATTCCTAAGTGGGAACCCACCTCCCCCCCTCCCCTGGCCGCGCCGACAGGCAGAAAAGGATCAAGGAATGCACGAGCCATACTTGTTAGGGTAAAGTGCACTGGGGAGGTGGGCAGAGGCTGGCTGAACAATTCCAAATTCATGGTTCGGCAGTGCCGGATTGGACCTGCATTGATTCCCTGGGTTTAGTGGCTCTATGCATCATTGCTCGAGGCTTATCTGCAGAGTGAAGACGAAAAAGTGGTGGCTGATAAGGTGGCTGAGGGGGCCATTACTGAGAACCAGTTACAAGAACAAAAGTATTCAGGACAGTCTGGATCCTGCACTGAGTAAGGCCTTTCAAGATAATTGAATGAGCATGGTAGGACGACTAGGCCATAAGCACCAAGCATGGGGAGCTGGAGTTTGCTGCCGTACATACAATGTCAACGTCTTTCAATATCAGAGAGAAGAGGCTGGTGACGTCATGGAATCTCATGTTTAGTTTCTCGATCAATGCATGCAATAACATGGCTGGTGTTGGGATTTTATACAGCCCAGGAGATAAGTGCCCCTACTACTAGCTTGATTATTGTCTCCAATTGTGTCCATTACTATTCTGTCCAGGCTCATATCTCCTCTGCTGCTCTCCTGTGAAAGAAGTATAATGAGTATATCATTGACTTGACTTTTTTTAAGTGTATCAGAGGTAGATTAGGTTTGTTGTACACCACATGGCCAGAGACAATAGCGTTTCTGAGTTCAAAAGTTGCAGGCTAACTATTCATTCTATCCTGATAAGCAATAACTGAAAGCATTTCCAGTCTCCAACTCTCTTCTTGCGGCTAGTGGTTCCTGCCCCGCATTGTTGCCTCCTCCCGCCGCCGCGCTGGACCAAGTCGTCTTTTCCCTCTCCAATTCCGCTCTCCGACCGGTCTGTACCGGCACCAGCACCCAGCACCAACACCAACAGCACATTACCCGACACAGCACGCTCAAAACTATGCAACTAGGTCTCTCGGAGAGTCTCCCGACTCTGGTGAGTCGGCGATTCTCAGCTGCCAAAGATGCGGGTCATCTTCTCTTCTCTCCGACTCACCTCACCACACTCCATGCTTCAGGGATGCCGGTAAATCATGCTCTCATGCCTCCCGATCCCAGGCTAAGACCTGCTTGCTAATATCCTCCATTCCACTCCACAGTACCAATTACGTTACTGTCCAGCTCTCGCGAAGAAGTCATCGAGTACACCGAAAAGTGAAAGCCCCAGCGGACCCAAGTTCGACCCCTTCGAGAATCCGTCGCCGGAGCTTTTGATAGCTCAGATTCCCCGCGAGAATCCAACCCATTTCCTGGTCCTCAACAAATTCCCCGTAATACCCAACCATTTCATACTTGCCACCAAAGCTTGGAAGTCCCAGACGGATCTGTTAGAGAAGGAAGATCTCGCAGCCGCATATGCATGTGTCAAAGCGTGGGTCGAAGCAGAGGTTAGCGGCATTCAGGCCACACCCTCGGCGACTAGCAGGAAGCTGTTCGCCTTCTTCAACTCGGGTGATGAGAGCGGCGCGAGCCAACCTCACCGGCACTTGCAGTTTCTTCCTGTGGAAGCAATGGCGCAGCAAGAGCAACACCAAGAAAATCCGAATGACTGGCAGCCCTTAATTGATATCGTGGCCGCCTCACAGCCGGCCACTGGCGGCGGGGCTGGCTACCGGCGGCTGGATCAGGTTCCTTTTGCGCACTATGCGCTTCCATTACCACCAAATCCTTCGAGCGAAGTCCTCTTCGCGACTTACCTTTCCCTGTACAGAGCGGCAGTCGCCGCCGCCAGCAGCAGCACCCACCGGGTTCAGGAAACGACCGGTCCCGCTGCTGTCAGCTATAACCTCGCCATGACCGAGTCTACGATGATTATCTGCCCCAGGAGAAGGGAAAGTGCGCACGTCCCCGTTGAACCGGGCGCAAGTGCGGATGTTGCCGAGGCGGGTGTCGTTGCCTTGAACGGCACCATCCTGGCTGGAACTCTCATGGTGAAAGCAGAGGCCGAGTGGAATGAGCTGCGCCGCAATCCGCAGTCGTTGGGCAATGTTCTTGCGACAATTGGATTTCCGCATTCCCATGTCCCGGAAATCTCCTTACTGTAAGGCCAGGTTCAGTGTCGCAAGAGTACTATGGTAATAATCCCTTGCTCATCCGATAACGGCAACACCATTGCGAACACACCTTTCTACCGGGTCAATTATTGTTTGTATGTTTAGGCCGGTCAATTAAGCGGTCGTTGAAGCTACACTTACATATATTGCATTCAGTCACTGCTTGATAGATAGACTATTAATGCAACAGACTTCTTCTGAGGGCGAGGGGGGCCATAGGAAAGAGAGGACTTGTAGTCTTACAACCTACTGAATGGTAGTTCCCAGTCCTCGTATTCGAGTATTTCCTCACTCAACTACCTACACGAGTATCTTCTTCTACTTCCATCAATCCCACTCATATACGGAACAGGACAAACAAGACACAATGCTCTGACAGTGATCCTCCTCTCCTGTTCTCTCTTCTATTCCTGTTTGTGTTCACCCTTAGCAACAAGTCAAGGCTTCATGTTATGCACCTCACACCATTTCTTCTTGCAAGTCGCATTTCCAAAAAAGTAGGAACCCCCATTCTCGTAAATATAGAGCGCCACACTCTTCCAGGACACCTTGGGCGGTTGAACGGAGGGACCTCGAGACTGATAATCGAATAGGTAAGGGCATGACGACGGCGACAGCAACGGTACTACCTGCCGACCGTGTTTCAACTGGCGTACCGCTTCACAGAGAAGTTGGATCTGCGCAATCAACATGCATACAATCATTATATCTGCACTCCAGCATCCGCCATTTGCCAAGGGAGACGGACAGCGAAACAGGGGAAGGGAAGAGCCTTACATCTTTTTCCAGCCATTGTGGCTTTCGCACACGAGAGCCCTTAGGCTTGGTCAGAGTTCGGTATCGGCCTCGAAGCGTTGATTCGGCCTCGGTGAATTTGCATAATTCCTTGATGGTCTTGTAGGAAAAACCTCGCTGTTTGTACTCAACCAGAAGCCGGTTCCTCCGCTCGGAAACGCATGAAACGGATCGTGTATCTCCTACTTCAGAGACAGACCCGTAGAGGGTCGAGTGTTGCGGGGGAAAGGAAGCAGAAGTCGAAGGTTGGGGCAGAGAAGATAAGGCGGCGTAAACTGATGAGTATCCTTGATGAGAGTGGCTCAAAGAAGGCTGGAAGCAGGTTACATCCTGACTAATTATTTGTCGCTCCGGGTCCAACACTAGGTCAGAATGTCCTGTCCGTCTGCTACAAACACCCGCCAACGAGCTGGAAGTGTCCGACCATCCATCGTGGCTGGATTGAAAACTATCGATGGAAGGTGAGTGATTTGGCACAGTTATCATCTGCTCGAAAGCGCCACGCAGGTCATCATCACTTGAATGGGCTGAGGTGCTGAGCAGACATGGTGTATTGCGCGCGACTGCACTATGTCTGATCTCTTTGCAGTGATATACAGCTTGATAGGCTTCAGGTCCGGACCAGGTGGTTAGACTGGTAGTATCCATCAAGTTCCTCGCATCTCTGGAGCCGGTGTCAAAGCTATAATCCCATGGCACTTCAGCTTTTGGCAGCAGATCTTCAGCAAGGTGATTGCTGAGCGACTCAGGCTCTTGAGCCAAGAGGCTCACGCGATGATTGTCGTGCAAGTGGTCACCGGCCGGATCGTCATATAGAGCAAGGCCGTCTCTAGGGCCCAAGTCTCTGTAGGGACTGGCGAACGGCTCGTCGGCAAGGATGTTGGCTTGGATCTTGACATATGGAGGAGTCTCAGCGGTGGAACTGTTGTCTGGGCATGAGGCCAGGGAGTAGGTCACGGCTGTCTTGTGTGGTAGTTCTGTGGACGGAAAAAGCTGGTCGAAGGAATTGTAGTCTGTTGGCACGGGGCTCCGTTTGGTGAGAGGCACGGATGAACAGAAGGCTTCCGCTAGTGTCGGAAGAGGAAGACCATGAATGAGATATGGCGCCTCTTCATCCTTTCTCAAATCATGCTCAGAAGGATAAACTGGCCAGTAGGAGACGTCTCTCTCTTTGTCCGAGCTTTCTGAGATCATCGTATAGGTGTTTGTCATCTCGCTGGTTTCTGGACGAGGTTGGTCAACCTTTATTGTAAGCCGCATGCTTTTGATAACAGGGCTGATCAGGCTGACCAGGTCAAGGTTTCAAGCTGAGTTGGCGAAGTAGATATCTGACAAAGCACAGGTGTGAGTGTTACTGGGTCTCAGCCCACTTCTTAGGGCCCCAAAGATGAAAAGAAGATGCTGACCAAAGGGTTTAATCTCTTAACTGCAGATCTTCCTCGCTAACAAAGGTAGACAGTGTTTTTTTGTGGATGCCACCCTTCACTTTCTTGCTCAGCTCACCGCTTCGATCTCTTACTACTCGTATAGCCTCCTGGAGCAGCGGACATTGGACCTTGACGTCGGATCATGCGCGTTGTCAGTTGGATCAGGACACCTGCAGGGAGCAATGCGGTCATTCAGTACATCAGATTCTAGACGGAAAGGTTTCACTTGTTGGTGAAGAGTTGCGGTCAACTTACCTAGATGATAGACCAGGCGATTGGTCTGTTGCGCTCGAGGGGCGAGATCCAGTCGGATTGCCTTGATCTTCAATGAGTCCCAATTGACAGACCAGCCCCTACTCTGTCTCGGCCTGAAAGAAACGAGAATGCACGCTGGAAGATGGTGATGAGAGTGACTGATGACAGACAGGACAAGGAAGAGCCCACTATCCGAGGCTGGTCGCTTGACGCCACTCGGTCCAACAGCGAACAATGTCTCAGTGACTGTCAACGCCCTTTGCGGCAAGCAACCTGGCTCCAGCACTACTGAAATTAAAGTGCGCTCTGCTTAAACAATGTCTCTCGTTTCAGAGGCAGACATTGGCATCAGAAGAGAAACGATACCAGCTTCCGGGCCGTTCTTATGCCGAATCCTCTAAGAGATGATGACAACCAGCGATGCGTCCCTTAAGTTGTCTTCTAGACTCCGTATCCCTGACGTCTGCTGTGGTCCTGCGATATGGAAATTGGAATCTTTGCACATTTCCAGCTTTCCGGGAACCACGCGTGTTCCTTGTCCTGTACAGAAAGAACAATATATTTTGCCATTTTGCCCCTCGTCCTCCACTACCCCGGCCTAGTCGATGAAAATTGAGGCATGTTCCCTACAGATGCTTGTCGAAAAAGGGGTTGAGACTCCCCGGAAAGGTCTAAAATCTCGACGACCAAGCTCTAATCCCAGCTGCTCATTACATCAAGTTCCAACCCGGAAGGATCACCCATGGCCTGTACGAAGTACTGGGAAGAAAATCCACAGGTTGTGTGGGGAGCTCATCTCGTGGCGTTCGGCGACGAAAGAACCAGATGGACAAGGATTGGCTTCTCGATTGCTCAGATGCGAATCCAAAATCTTCGTCCGTCGAAGGCTCAGGGTTTTTCTTTCTGACACGTCGGGTGAGTCGCCGCTGAGATTAACCTGGAATTGATTCATGATTGGGTGTGGTTTTTCTGACTGTGCTGGCCATGGATCAATTCGGATACGTACATATAGGGCTTTGTCCGCCGCCCTTACTTCCACCGCGACGTATGATCGGAGAATTCACCACAATTCCCCGGTGGCAGTTCCTCTTTTCTTTCTGCTCCTTTCATGGGTAAACCTTTCAACCTCCCCTCTTGTCTTGTGGCTTGCCGACCAAAAATGCCCTAAACCACCACCACCACCTTTTTTGCTTCGGACCACGGAACGTTCCTGCGTCTGCAAGCTCCTTCCGATCTCTGATCGTCTGCCCATGGCTATTGACAGGGGGAGGGAGGAATGAGAAAAGAGAATATTGATCCCGAAGCACTACACACATGAGAGCACTCGAGAAATAAGATTCTTTTCTGGCACTCGCATTGGGATTTGCGCAACCTGGATCGAAACAACCAGGATTTATCCTATATGTAGGAGGTATCCCCATCGCTCCAATTGAGTACACCTTCAACCGTCCCTGCGTTACCCGACCCAATTAGCAAATAGTCAATGGTGATACGCACAATGGAAGCGGGCAACCCAGTTGGTAGACAGGCAGGCCGATTACGCACGGAAAGACTGAATCCGAGCCCGCATCAAAGAAGCCAGATGAGCTGATGTAGACCGACCTACCCATCCATCGGTCTGTGAGTACGATTTCCAGTTTCTTTTTCCCGCCCCTGGCTCGAAAGTAACGGTCTAGATAGAGGTTCTGATGTCTGGAGTTGTGGCTTGCTTGCTTAGCCAGCTTGCTTAGCTGTACGTGACCTTATTCAGAAGTATACCTTACCTTGCTCCATCTTCCCGCACTGCATATCCGCCGTTAGTTACCTTAGAATTACTGCTGCTGCTTCTGCTGACGCGACGGCACGACATCTGCCGGTAGGCGTTATTTCTCCCCTTCCTGCCTTTCTTCCATCAGAGATGCATCCACCCCCAAGCAGCCCTCCCTCAGTAATTTGCTCTCCAATTATAGAATTCATCCCGGTACCCCCCTCCTTCCTCCTGATCCCTGTCTCGGTGATTCGGACCCAAGGGTGAAGCTAGCGCGTGTTTATCAATCGATCTTTCTGCCTGTACCTATTCATCATCCAACCCCAAACCCATCCTCGGATGCAGGTAATGCGCGATCCGCTGATTGGACCCTGGTAGATACCCATCTGAAACAAGGAAAGAGCCGGAAGATAGAGAGAGAGAGAGAGAGAGAGAGAGGGAGGGAGAGAGTAGCAAAGTAGAACCCCCCATAGCAATGACCACGTGTCTCAGGTAATAGATAGAGGCTTTTTGTACTATTCGCCGTTCTTTTGTATTATTCCTACTCCATACTCATTTCTATTCTTCTCTCCTTTGATACGACTCCTTAATTCCTTAATTATTCGAGACTTTGGGTACCAATGGTGACACTACTAGGGTATCTGTACATAGCTTACTGTACACAATACCTAGTCAATCTGAGCCCGGAGGCCAAGAGTCTTCTATTGATACGTGAGAAATGAGTAGCCAGTCAACTACGTAGGAACTGTACAGGCCCGACCAGATAGTATAGTACATTTCCCTAGCCATGTTTGATGACTTTATCTGAGCCCTTGTAGTCCATATTTTCCGTACTTTTTTCTCTCCCCCTCTTCTTCCAACCCCAAAGTCTGGGTACCCCTGTTTCCCTTTCCTTTTCTCGCCTTTCCCTGCTGTTACTCCCGTGTATGTACTGCACAGTCCATTTGGACCAGTGCTTCTCAGGTCATTCAATGTTCCCTCCACGGCTCGCGCGTTTTCTCCCAGTCTACTTGCCTAGCATGATGTTCCGCCGAAATTCGCAGGGGATAGAAGTGAAATGGACGGAGCTGTTTGTTGGTATCTTCTTTTATGTCTACCCTTTTCGTCATTGTTCGATTATTCGCTTCGAAAAGGAATGGAATGAAAACAGAGAAGAGATACAAACGACACTGTTTTGTTTTTCATGTCTGTTCCCGTCGCTGAGCGCCCGGTTTGCCAACAGACCATCCATCCATCCTAGCCGTCGCAGCCATTGCGACGGTGGCGTATTGTCCATCTGGGAGGGGTTTTTTTTTCTTGTATAGACAAGGACTACGACGGGTTGAGGGGCTATGGCATATTTGCGCAGTCACTACGGGTCGAGCGTGGAAAGTCCTAGAACATGGCGTGCTCTACCCGTGGCCCTTGCCAGCGATATCCCGCAAAGAGAGTGATAGAAACGATCTCGCGCAAACAAAGCGGCGACAGCCGGGGTTGGAATGTATTTGTCACTGCCGTCTTTATGGATAATGTAGAAATGATGGTCCCAAAAACCCTCTTCATGGAACCATGATGAAAACTTCTACCAAAGAGCTCCGAATGAGTGCTTCCATCCCCACTTCGGATTGATGCGCTGTCCATGACGGTCCAGAAATCGGTCGACGAGAAGCACTGAGATCCCACTTTGTCAGTCCATTGAACAGCAAGACAGATAGTGATAGTCTTACCGGTCAGCAGAATCAGCGTGAATGCATAAAGAATAGCCGGAGATGTCATGAAAGAATAGACCAGTGAAAAGTGCCGCGAAAAGCTGATCGAACCGGCTAGAAATATGCCAAAACAGACACGAACTGCCACACTGATAGCGGCGCAGACACCACGGGCATGGCGACGTGTTAATAAGACGAACGCGGCGAAGAGGAACATCGCGAGCGTCGCAACCACAAAATAATAAACATAAACAAAACTTAGGAGCTCCATGTACATCCTCAGTAACCGGTCACTGCCCATTGAGCCGATATGGGCATTTTTAGAGGGCATGATCCCCATACTGGAGAATAAAGCCGCAGTGACATTTCCGACCAGGTTGCTAAGAAGGTCACTAGTGACAGGGAATTCATCAGGTCCATCCGAAGGGCATAGCGGCTGGTAGGAAAGATCATCCAAGATTCGAGAAATTGAGATCTGCTCGTTCACTGCACCCCGGCCATAGTTGATCTCCATATCGGCAATGGTTGTCTGCAGCAGACGAATGGCCTCTTCCGCCCTAGGTCTTGGCTCTTCGCAGGTCCACAGGATCGTCTCAGTCAAGTACTTAAGTTTAAGCGTGATGTCAAGAGTCAAAGCAAGGATCTGGGAGCCTTCGAGCAAGAGGATAAGCACAACATGAAACGGGAAATGAAGCTGACCCCAGATCTGCTGAGCGAATTTACCCATGGGGCGCTGTGGGGAGAGATCGAAGTACACTTGCCACAGGAAATACTAAACCTAAGAGGTCAGTATGTCTCATATTTGACGGTGACGGAGAAGCACATGGCTGGACCCATACCACACTAGTCGTGACCCCCAGGATATGAGCAAACGACCACTTAGTCCATCCTCCCGGCCCGACTGTCTTGTTGACAATCCTAGTAATAGCGATGACGCCCTCGCCAAGGATGATCAGGGTCAGCAGCCCCATCCTTACATTCAAATGAGTGTCTTGAAGACCGATCCCGGCTCTCGCGGAAGACGCCCCCATGACTACCCACATCTCGATGACGAAGAGCACAAACCAGACAATCCATGCATAGGTACCGCTCACGCCTGGACTGCGGAAAGCGAAGTACATCTGGATACTAGTCAGATGACCAATGCAACTTCATGTCTTCACGTCAAGGACTTACCCATAAGTATATGAATCCCGTGATAAATAACGTTGCGACAATGAAATAGACCCTCTTAGCCGCAGACCTCATGCGTTTGCTTAGAAACACGGCGTTGACAGTGTATTGTATAGAAAGCAAAAGCCGACTCACGCCGAGAATCAGGCTCAAAGATTGAAAAGCCCAAACATTCTCTTCTCGCACCCGGGTGGTAAATCGAGTTCCGGCCGATGCAAATCCCACCATCACCGCCAATTGGATAGCCTTGCAGATCCGCTCAAAGATGGAGTCGCGAGCGAATCGAATATCAAACAAGGTCACTTGAAGCCAGGTGAACCAGACCACCCCAAGGAAACCCACATATGCTCCCAGCGCTGCCATAAGTCGTTAGACAGGGTCAAATGAGCTGTCAAGGAAGGGTCCCTAGACCTACCTTCAACGTTGTTGATCTCATGCGTAGCCGTAAACGTTGAGAGATTGGCGACGAAGAATAGGTCGAAGAATAGTTCAATTGCAGTTGCATCCGAGTGATGATAAAGGTGAGGTGGATCTCCATATTTCTCGTCGATAGGCGACTCAATGAAAGGAATCACACTCCGATGACACCTGGGATTTTATTGTCAGTTCGAAGCATAGTCGAGCTGCAGGTTAATTGGCCTACTGGCTAGTTTCTTCTTCGGCACGCTCGGTCTTACGCGACGGCTGATGGGACCAAGAGACAAAGGGTGGCGAACTCATGTTTGAGAGGGCCAACAAGACGTCAAATATTGCTCCTGCAGGCGCGTATCATAAATGGATAAGTATGCAGTCGTGATGCAGCGGTCAATGGGAACATTCAAACACTGGCGTGACAATGAAAATCGCCATCAGGGTCCCGTCCGTCTACCACGGCAGGAACAACAGACGATGTCCGCCAGCAGTGGGCGTCAAGGAGGCAGTTACGCTGTCAAGACTCCTGTTCCGATTCATTTGTCGAAGGTGCTATTGACGCGCCAAGTCCCTCGAGACCGCGAGAGTTCGCAAAATCATTTGCTGCTGTTTGGTTACCATCGACACCGGACGATGCTTCTGCTTCCTGCTTGAGCTTTTCGTACGTATCTCCCGCCTCTTTGATCAAAACCTGGATTTCCACCTCGCGAACAGCTATGTCTGCTTTTTCTTTTCGCAATTCCTCCATGCGATCGATCATCCGGGCTTTGGATTTCTCCAGTATTGCGAGGTTCATACGTAGTCGCTCAAGGGAATGAGCGAGACGTGGAAGGGAGGTCACCTTAGGTGGAGTTCTGGGTCGATCGGTACTGCCGCGATGACTTTGACCCATCGCAGCTCGTGTTTGCTTAGCTTCGTAGGCTGCCTTTTCTTCGAGGTCCGAATCATCCTCTCCAGAAAGTGCCTCGGCATCGTCAATGAGTTCTCGCATTTCTTCGCGTTGCCGTCTCTGCTGTTCGCGCTCTGCCTTCCTCCCGAGAGAGATGCGACCGTCTTCCACAAATTCGTCGAACCCCTCGGCAAAATCCTCGTCATCGCGAATTAATCTGGTATCTTCAGGTTGTTCCCGTCCGCCCTGCAAATCCCACTCGTCATCGTCACCATCGACATTAAGAGAGATAAAGTCCTTCTCCGTGGTCGAGAGACTCCCGTTTTCTTTCGCGAGACGTGCTCTCCGAGCTTTCTTCTCACTAATCTCCGCTTCGCTGGGAATAGCCGTTGGCGCTGATGCCTTTATCACTTCACCGAACTTGGCAGCAACATCGATAATCTTCTCCTTCTCCTCCTCAGTGCTTGTCGCCTTCGGGGTTGATGGTGTCGACTCGCGCAACTGCTTCAAATAGTCCTGACTATAGCTCGGCCGATCTTGTTCAGGTCCCACCCTCAAATAAGGAGGAATACCAGTCCCAGAAGGTGCCAAAGACCTCTGAAAGGCGCTCTTTTCCAGTGCCCGTCTGCCCAGGCCATGCCGCTTCGGCATCACCACCTCACTTTCGTTTTCGCCATCACCACTATGATCCGTCATCGACGTCTCGCCTGGGCCGAAGGAGAGACGCAATTTCGACTTCTGTTTTGCTTTCAAGTTTGTCGGGCGCTTGACCACGGGTCCAGAGTCTGTGATGTAGTTAGGCCTCATTTTTCATATTCTCGGATTAAGGGCGAGATCTCAGTAATGCAACAACATACCTTGCTCCCCACTGTCGCTATCTTCGTCATCTCCTCCAATCCTGCGGGGTTTCCGTCGATTGGCAGATTTTGAGCTCATTGTGAGGATATAACACAAAGTAGAGATTAGAGCACGCCTCGTTCTCTCCTTTTTCCTGAATAATCGAAATAACAATCCAGAAAAGGCGCCCCGACTTGTTGCGAGCTCCGCCGCCCGCCCTCCGCTTTGAAGCTCTCTTGGGAAGAACCTTTCTCCGGGCCAGCTTATCCCTCCGCGCCCGCTACTGTACGTCAAAAGTCCGCAACGCGACAAGCGGGACATAATCGACCACACCTCGATCAAATCCACCCAAAATGCCTCAAGCACAGCCAGAATTGAAGAAGGTATGTACACTCTCTTGGTACCGTTCAATCGCCTCGATTGATCTGTGAATAAAGAAGTTTGCTGACGAAGGGATCCCTTTTTACCTCCAATCTAGTACATGGAGAAGCGGGTATTCTGCCAACTGAACGGCAACCGCAAAGTCATTGGTATCCTACGTGGCTACGATGTACGTCCATTTCTTTGCTGGTGAATCTTTGCTCTCTGTTCGATGGCAATCTTGGTAGTTTGGCAGCGTCATCTCAAACCTACAAGGCCTGGGCCTCGGGCTAGGATGCGGAGCTCGGCAGGCCTCCGTCTTTCGTTCTATCAATTTATCTACCCATTATTCGTAAGGAAAATGGTTTCTGACAATGCCCCTTCGAATGGTACAGGTATTCATGAACATTGTGCTCGATGAGGCGTTCGAAGAGAAGCAGGGTGGAGAGAAGGTTGCCATCGGCATGGTGGTATGTGACTATGTGACTTCAAGGCGCAAACGCAAGGTCAACCGGCTGATGTGGGTTTGTTTCTAGGTCATTCGCGGCAATTCGGTTGTTATGCTTGAGGTCGGTTCTCCTTCCAAGTCCCACTGCCTGTTATCGACGTTGGCGTCGGCTAAATAAGCGTGTTTCATCTAGGCTCTGGAGCGTATAAGCGACAAATGAGAGAAGTCACCAGGCGGTGTTGAAACTGAACATTTTTTATACCTTCACCATGGGATTGTTTTTGAAATACGACAAGGAGTTCACGGTTTGGCTTTGCTCACATGGCATGATCGAGAGCATTTCATGTACTTGACTCTCTGGCTACGAGAATCTCAATACAAATCAAAAAAAAAAAAAAAAAAAACACTGGAAACCTTTGTGGTTGGAACTTCGTGAGGATGAGATTCGCTGGAAGAATAGATCCTCGACAGCTGCGTGATCGTCACTTTCCCAGGCACAACCTGGACCCCAAGTCAAATAGGTAGGCGCGTGAATAAGCTGTTCCTCAAAAAATAATCCAGAATAGAGGATCGGCTCTTCTAAAATATAGAACACATCCATGATCAAAAATAGAATAATGACTCCATGCAACCCCCCCGCCATGCGTCTCCTAACCTGACCCCTTTCCGAAGTCCCAATATGATAAAGAATTAGGCAAATAATGGTATCAAGTTTGATTGGGTATGACTATTTCGGCTTTTGGCCGAATTTCAATTTCAGTTTGAAACCCCCGCCACTAGGTGTAGATGGGGTTGAGGGAGCGGTAGTTGTCTTCGTTGGCGGCGCTTGAGGCGCAGGGGAGGGCATATTGGAGATGTGCAGCTTGGGTGTCGGTTGTGAGCTCGGTTTCGGGCTGTATGGGGTCACACTGGGACCCAGTTTAGAGTTCTTGAATGTTATGCGTGGGGCAGGCGCTGCCATTGCCTGGTCTTCGCGCTTGCGCTTCGCGGTTGCAGAATCTTTGGATGCAGGGGTTGCTGTCCGGATTTTGCTTGATCGGAAGAAGTGTAAACGACCCTGTGTGGTGTTAGCGGGGAATCGCAATCGACTGTACGTGATATGCACAGTTAGGCTGGGGCAACTCACTTTTCCAAGGTGCTTGACGGCCCAATAGCGGGGGTACTTCAGAACGACCATGCGGGACGTGACAGCGTCATATAAGACTCGACAAAGATCATTGAACTCAGAGAGCTCAAGCGCCCCGATGTAAGGAGAGTTGCATGCGGCCCAGAGGGATTCTTTCAGTACCTGGTCGCCGGATAACTCATTCTTTAAAGCCCCCAAGGCTCCGGTAACGGTCTGCCTTCGTGCAAGATCTGCTTGACGGACTTCAGTCGAGGATTCTTGCTCTATAATCAAATTATCGGCGTTGGCTGCTTGTTCTTGGTTCATATCACGGCCAAAGGCGACAGGGGCCAGGGCCTTGCCAAACAGGCCGTGAAGTCGTCGCCGGATCAAAGCCGAGGAATCGTTCGACATAGTAAATATGAACCATCGCAAGAGTTCGGGGCTTCGAAAGAGATCGAGCTCAACAAGACATTCAAATGCATCGAGACGGAGAAGGTCGTAAGTTGCAGCTCGTGTGTAAGGCAAAAACTGCATCAAGTCGAGACTCAGTATGTTGGCTTTCATGAGTTGCACTTGGCAACGTAATGCGGCGCGAGAATAGATGTTCTGGAAGGAACTGGACCATTCATCCATTCTTCTGTATCGATCAATCTCTGCAATGGCGTCTTTCTCCAGTTGGTCCTCTGCTTGGGTCTCAAGCACACGGTCCATATCAAAATCATCCATATCATCCATCCGAGACTCGGCTTTTCCTAACATCGCATGGCAGAGCGATTCCATCAATGTCGCGACGTAAAAATTGTCGGAGTACTGTGATGGTGAGCATAGCTACACGGATGACGAGCATTGGGAAGCTCACCTCGTTATTGGAATTATCGTTGAATTTCAACTTGTCATACAAGAAGCGTTTCACTCTCATCGGCGTCTTGCCATTGTTGTCACGCACTTTCGATATAGCTTCTGGGATGACTAATTGAAGAACATATGCGGCTCTATCGGCGAAGTCGTTCGAGCGAGTCATCGGAGATCCTGGGAGACAGAAAAGTTCCTGAAATGCTCTCTCGAGATGGAACAGCCCTAGCCAGTTGATTTCTTCCTTGGCATGCTTGACTAGAGCCTGGGCCGCAGCCACACGGATGCCGTAAAAGTATCTCCGGTCCATAAGAGTTCTGACAAAGATAGACGAGATCAGCGGATGCTCCCGCTGGACTGCCATATATTGTAACGACTGGTGCAAATATTAGCATACGCGTATATGTGATAGATAAGGGACTAACTGACCTCCAATTGAGCAATGACATCTCGATCTTGCTGAAGTTGTGACAGGTACATGTACCCCGGCATTGCCAATGATAACTTGCACACCCATTCAAAGTCTGCGTCCATGCGGATCCACTCGTATGACTCTTGTCCCATCCGCTCCTCATCCTCTTTGCTCCAATCGGCAAGCTTCCATTCCTGGATCTCTTCTTCGCTCTGCAGTACATCGCCCAGACAATAGAGCAGAACGTCTTCCTGTGTTTCAACATTTGGGTCACCGCCCGATGCCGCAGCTGCACGCTCCTTCTGCCTCTTATTCCTCTTGAGCCGCTTGTACTTTGTGTTGTATGGAATGTCGAACTTGGTGACACCTTCTTTAATTTCCACAATGTGTTCGTAAGGCGTGCCGTCAGCTTCGTGAATTCTGATAGTCATGGACCCGGTAAACACAGGCTGGACGACCCCAGCATAAACATTTCGTATTTCTTCTTTGACATCACGCATGAATGCATTCTTGTCCAAATCACGTGTACTTGAGGGGTCTGCTTGGACTTGTCTTATCATCATTTCAACGACAAGTTTCTTCTTGTTAAATCTCTGCGTAGCTTGAAATCTGGGGCATCCAGCGCCATAGACCCACTGCTGGAAAAACGCATCCAGCTTCGCGTGACCAAGTCGTTCGCAGGTCTTCTGGAATAGAGAACTGGTGACGGCTCCATTCGGTATGTCGCCCATTCGAGAGTTCAAGAATAATCGAGATATGATGCGGGACATTGTTGCCTTTCCACTGGCCTTCGTGAGCCGTCGGTCAAGGATGAATAAAACAAGGGGGGCCTTGAGCGCAATGAAATCGATCTCGGAAGGGTCTATGTGCAAGATGTTCCCCATGTCATGAATTGATGGCCTTTCATAGTCGAGGTCACAAACTCTATCAGACATCTGTTTCAAACGAAAACGATATTCGTTATTACCACAGAGCTTGCGCATAAATGTATCCGTGATATACCACGAGACGCCGACCGTGACCCAGGTATCTGCAGGCTCCTTCGGAACAATATTGACGCCAATCCACTGAGAAGCCAGAGCATGAACCAGAGTACGAGTCGAATCATACATCGGATCAATAACCTCTTCAGGAAACAAGAGGTGACTAGTGCAGATAGAAAGACAGGCTGTTGGCAGTGTGCCTTCAGGCAAGTCATCTACGAAGCAGACCTTGTAACTTGAAAATGGATACGAACCGTATGACAGGGAGAAGAAGTCTATAGCCTTGGCCATAGGAAAGCATGTATTGCGAACCTCGTCCGCTCTCCCTGGGAGACAGAACGCATGCAAAGGAATCGCATTCTGGCCAAGCTGTTCATCTTGATCACTCTCGCGAAAATCGGCGAGATTGACGTATTCGAAAGGACCAACTGCAAACCCGACTTGCTGGGCTGAGAGAGGAGAATAACAAGCGAAGGAGACCGTCTTCTTGCTTGAGTCCGTCGGATCGATGATTTCGTCCGTCAAATCGCCAGAACAAACGACTGCTACATCCAACGCCTCATCATCCGAGGCAATATATGGTCCAGGGGCGTTCGACCGATTTGAACTAGTTGCATTTGACTGATCCTGTAACTTGCGATCGAACATATCGCCCAGCGTGCATGGACATTTTATCGATATCTCCCATGTACAACGTGCAGCCGGGTCATCGACACAGGGGAAAAGAGGACATCCAACTCCGTATCCAAGCGAGTTAGTTGTATAAGCATGAGGATAGCGTCTGTCGCCGCTTTCGACCCCAACAAACTGTAGCCCGTCTCGTATGTTGTCGGTGACGAATTCGATGTACATTGTCAGTGCCGTAAAGCGTGGAAGTGAGGTCTCCGCGGCCTTAGAGCTCAAAGGCCCTTCCGCCTCATCCACCGCACCCGTAGCGCGCAGCGTCATCTGATCCTGGGCTTCAACGGAGAAAGGGTCAAGCTCATCAATTCGAACACTTTTCGGGACCGACACGACCAGATCGGGCTCCGGCGGCGTTTTCAGCAGCCGGTCTATCTTGGCTGAAAGACGCTGGTGATAATGCGGCCCGTATAATTGAAGCGTCTCATATTGGTCCACATAAAGAGGGGGTTTCGGTATCTTCCCACTAAGAAATGTTTGTGTCACCTTGCCTTGCCGGAAATTCAATCGTATTTCGCGAAGATCCTTGTGATGCGGGTGAATTGTGATCTCGGTTTTTCCCTTGAGGCTCTTGGTCGCAAAATCGATTTCAAGTTCAACCTTCTGGTGCGCGACAGTAAAGCCTAGCTCCGGCCTAGGAGCCCCGGCTGGGGGCTCGACGACGCCTGGCATGGCGCAGGGTATACTCAGTCGTGCACTGCGCCGCGAGCGCCACACTGACCATCAACCGTCATGTCCAGGCTCAAAGAGCGACGAGACCAAAACCTGATATCAGTTTCCTTTCACCTCTATCGCGAGTGCGGGATAGTTTTCGGCGGCGGAGTCGAAGAGTATTTTATCGGGTGAAGAGGTAGGACGAGCCCCAACAGCGGGGAAATGAGACGAATAAGGCGGAGTGAGGCGAGTTCAGCTTGAGTTATACTCTTCGTCGCGAGATCAGGAGAAGAATGCACTCTCCAACGGCGGGACCCGGTAAGGGCGTCGAGAAAGAACAACACAGAACACCGAAGACTGAGGTAGGTTCACTTCACTCTCTCTTTCATGTCGCGTTTCCAGCGTCGAAAGCTTGCGGAGCACGGAAGGCAAACACGTGATTCTGTTCCCGTTCCTCTCTTCATCTTCCTTGTGCCCCGGGATCATCCAACTTGGAACCCGAGCCTTCTCCTTTCTTTTTTTGCTTCTGTCCCACTCTGAAATTGTTCTTGCTTCCCAGCAGACTCAAGATAGGACTTCCTGCTTGCCGTTCTGTTTGTGGCTATTATTTTCAGCGTTCAGCACTGCGTAATACAGGCGCTCAATCGGTTATTACGGAGGATCCGTGACTATTTTCGAACAATTTCCTCCTTTCATCCCGCGCAATGCGCCTTATCTGATTATTCTAAGTCCTTTTTTTTTGAAACATTATTCACCATACAAATAACAATCCAGAATGAGCGTAATTTTCAGAAGGATCCAAGGTGTGTCTAAGCAATTCTACCTCAAGTACTTTTGCCCAGCACCGCGCTTGTATAGAGCTAATTGGCCTCGCGCATGTTGTAGCGATCCAAGAGTCGCTTTCCGATGATATCTTAATGCCTCTCAAGAGCTACAAGTATCAGAGCGTCGATAAATCCTTTATCTCGAACTATATACTTAGACATTATGTACAGTTGCCCCTAGACATTGTCCTCGCTCGCTTTTCTGACCCTAACTCTCCCCGAACTAGTGGAACGCATTTGTTGAATTTTTACCGCTCTCGCTGGCGCCGAACATGGTCACACTACTGGGTTTCCTGTTCATTGTTGGCAACGTGATGCTTATAGAGATCTTTGTGCCAGATCTTGTGGGCCCGGTAAGATCACCATCCATCCGGACCTGACTATTCGAAGCTGAACAATTTTGCGTGAAGGGTCCTTCTTGGTTATATTACAGCTTCGCTTTTGGCATGTGGATGTGAGCTTGCATCTCGCTATGAATGTCGCCGACGTCAACTGACCAGATCCAGGTACTCTACTTTGGATAATGTCGATGGAAAACAAGCGCGCAGGACTGGAACCTCTAGTGGCTTAGGAGAGCTCTTTGAGTACGTATCTCTGCCGTTTACAATATATTTTGAGGGAGTCAAAATTAATCTTGGGCAGTCATGGCATTGATTCGTTGAACTGCACCTTAGCTAGTTTGCTGGAGACAGCCGCGATGGGCTACGGTTCGTCAAGATTGGGTGCTTACACAGCTCTGGTTCCGTGCCTGGCGATGTATTTCTCGACTTGGGAAACCTATCATACGCACACGCTTTACCTCGGTTACTTCAATGGTCCCACCGAGGGCCTGCTCATTGCGATTGCAATCATGATCGCGTCAGGTATCTACGGTCCTCAGATCTGGTCCCGACCAATTGTCGAGTTTTTGAATTATCCCCAACTGTTCGGGAATAACTCCATGAAGGACCTCTGGATTCCCATTCTTCTCGGATCGTTCTTCCTCGGTCACCTTCCTGGTTGCGTTCTCAATGTTGCGGCTGCGCGCCGGAAACAAGGTCTGCCCCTTACACCCATTTTCAAAGAATGGGTGCCCATGATCGTGTTCACCGGCTGCAACCTTGCCTGGCTCTTCTCTCCGTATTCGAGTCTACTGGCCCAGAACCGACTGGTTCTATACTGCTGGACTATGTCTTTTGTCTTTGGACGCATGACGACTAAGATTATTCTTGCTCATTTGCTGAGACAACCTTTTCCATATTGGACGGTGCTGCAGACACCACTCATCGGAGGAGCTATCCTTGCGAATTTACCACGTCTGGGCCTCCCACCGGTGAGCGCGTCTTTCGAGCTTTTTTACTTGCGTGTTTACCTTCTGTTTGCGTTTGTCGCATACATGCACTGGGCATTCCTTGTGATTAACAGGATCACCACTTTCCTGGGTATCAACTGCTTGACTATTCGGCGCGATAAGTCCATTGCGAGAGAGCAAGCCTATCGCGAGTTTGGCGAGAACACTCTTGCTCCTCTCAATCCGAGCGCTGACCCCAGCAAAGGCGGTTACAAGAGCCACTGAATGCGTCAACCCGGTGGTTTGGAGTTGACGTGGCTCATCCTTTTCTTCAATAAGCCATTGCTGCCAATGCACAAGCGAACTTTTGGTGGGCTTGTTGGCGACGCTCAATCCACGAGAATGCTTGATCCGACCGACGGGAGACGTATAGAGACGTATGATAAGTCCAGGCTCGATTATCATTCATGTCTTCTTTTCACGTAATGTCCTGCTATACCGATTGATGAACTTATGACTGCGATAACTGGGACACGTGAGCCAGGGCTGAGGATGGACAATCGTCGGTATATATAGATCATAGACAGCATAATAGTAACTAATGATTTTGCAAAATGTCTTCCTCGCATCCTCTGATTGAGATTCAGACCTTTTTACAGAATGAACGCGGTATGGGTTTCAGAACCTCGGTTAGATTCTGGTCCAATGCGACAATGGTCCCATCCTGTAGGCTACTAAGTACTACCTTACTAACTACCTTGAGACACCATAGATACTAACTACTACTTAGTCCAGTCTCCACACCCATCATCCATGAGGCCCCCTCGCCGGACTTCTACTCGGCCAACCGGCAATTGCCCGCCAGAAGACCGGTGTCACCGTCCGATAAGCTCCTCCTCTCAATTATTCGGATAAGAATGATAAGGGGAAATCAATGGCTACTTACCCAGTTATACTCCTTACTCGCTCTCTCTTTCTCTTTGCCCCTCGCGCATGCGTCCCATGTATAACGCATTCTCGCCTCCCTCTTCTCCTTCCTTCTTCCAAAGCCCCAGGGGCAGTCTCTTCCTTCTATAGTATCTCAATCTCTCACCCCTTCAAAGATCCAGGGATACAAAATGGGTGAACTCAAGCGGGGTTCGCCGCCTGCAGCGGCACGACAAATCGACGACTATGGCTCCGGCAGCGTTCAAGATCAAGATGCCGATGAGCTGCGTCTGGCGCAGATGGGTGCGTTTGAAATAGAAACATAATTACCCCCGTGACTTGTGCAGACAATTGAACAGCAGACTGACTGAACTTACGCGGTGCTATCTCCCTCATAGGACATAGACAGGAACTGAAACGCCATTTCTCTGTCTGGAGTCTCATCGGCTTAGCTGCCAATTGTACCATCTCGTGGACAGGTGGGTTGATTTGTTCAACGCTCTGGCACTGAGCGGCTTCGTCCCGTCTACTTTTTTTCAATCTGAATGCGGGGAATGCGTCGATCGGCAAACATGATAATGACTTCTCTTGTCACTAGGCCTTGGGCTAGGATTGATTACCTCTATCAACGCGGGAGGACCCGGTGCATGTATGCAACATCCCCGTCCCTCATCCCAATCCCATGCCTTGAGCCCGGAAGAATAAAGGAGGGAGATGACCTTCTATGTGCCGTGACTGACTGATATCAACTTCCTGTGCAGTGATATACGGGTTCATTCTTGTCTTCATCCTACAATGTTTCTTAGGTACATCATTAGCAGAATTCGTCTCCGCATATCCTGTGGAAGGTGGAATGTACCACTGGATTGCAGCGATAGCTCCGGATCGCTATAGCGATGTATTAAGTTTCGCGACCGGCTGGAGCACCGTTTTTGGATGTATGCACAAGGAGCAAGCAGGACTCCCTTCCTCCCGCAAACCAAAATTCACTACACAGAACCAAAGAGAGGCAGAGAAATAGAACCCGTGAGAAGAAACTGACTCCTTCACATCACATAGGGATCTTTACCACGGCTTCGACGAACCTAGTCTATGCCTCCAACTTCATGGCCCTCATTGCTCTATATGGAACCGATTTCGTGCTGCAGCCCTGGATGACTTTTGTGGCATACCAGGGTTTTAATCTCCTTACATGCGCTATTGTCATGTTTGGGAACAGGTGGATGCCGGTCATCAACAAGTTCTCTTGTGAGCAAGTGTATTCCTTTGAATCGGTTCAAAATATTCTCGTTAGTGAAGCTCTAGTCAGACTAACCTTTCTCGGTTGCATTTTATGATTGATAAGTGTGCTATCTTCAATTAGCTTGGCTTGTCATCCTCGTGACCGTCGTTGCTGCTGCTCCGAAACACAACGATGCTGAGTTTGTTTTCCGCACATGGATCAATGAGACTGGCTGGAAGAACAACGTTATCTGCTTCATTACTGGCTTAGTGAATCCTCTATATTCGCTCGGGGGTCTGGATGGGATTACGGTACGGCCCACACCCTGTGCGCGACATTGAAGTTGAGAATATGCTTCTGACTGACATCCCATACGCAGCATATCACAGAGGAGATGCCGAACGTTTGTATCCTCACTCCATTAGAGGATGCAGAACGTGGTAACTGACTAGAATCATAATCTGGCAGCCTGGAAGAAACGCTCCGTTGGCGCTAGGTAAGTGAACAATCACCATATATCTACCGGAATATGCGTGGTCAATGTCTCGCTAATTGTATGGTGTGTGGCTCTTTTTGATAAGCTTGCACTCTTGGCATAGCATTTGTGACTGGCCTGACCTACCTCCTGGCTCTGATGTTTTCAGTCCAAGACTACTCGAGTCTCGCCAATTCACCCACGGGCCTGCCGCTGGCGGAGATCTTTCGCCAGGCAACCCAAAGCCGAGGCGGTGCTTTCGCGCTTGTTTTCCTCCTGTGGATGGCGGTAGGCCCGTGTATGATTGGCTCTCAATTGAGTATGCTCCCTGTCAATTTTAGACCCCAGTATGGTGTAGGTCCGTGTTAATCTTGCTTTCCGTTCCAACAGGCACAGGACGAATGTTCTGGGCGTTTGCCAGAGATGGTGGTCTTCCATTCTCGAGATTGTGAGTCTTTCCCATTTCAGTCATACGAATGCCAAATACCGAACATAGATTCTGATGGCCTTTCCAGCTGTTCGAGAGTTAACCCAAAGTATGGAGTTCCTGTCAACGCCCAATTATGTGTGGGCATCATCATCGCTCTCCTGGGTTGTATCTATCTGGGATCTAGTACTGCTTTCAACTCCATGATGAGTTCTGCCGTGTACGTGATCTCTTCTCTGTCCTAAGATGGATAAATGCACAGGCCTTAATTTGAGAGTCTCGGGCTGAGGGTTTCAATTCTGACGTAATCACAAAATTGCAGAACAATCAACAATTTCGCTTATCTAGTACCGATTTTCACAAATGTCCTGCTTCGTCGACGAACAATGCACCATGGGCCCTTCACGTTAAGTTTTGCCACTGGGATGACGGTCAACATTGTCACGGTGGCTTGGCTGCTCTTCGCTATTATTTTCTTCTCGTTTCCTTACGAGATGCCTGTGACAAGTAAGTGAATGACCTCGTTGGATTCGGACAAGAGCGTGGTCGTCTGCAGCAGCCTGCTTCGACTAAGAAACCTGAGCTGACAATTGAACTGGAAAAGCATCGAATATGAACTACACGTGTGTTTGTGTCGGTGGGTTCTTATTTCTCGAGCTGCTGTGGTGGCTAATTGCGGGAAAGAAGTATTCAGAACATATGCGGAAGGTAAAGGGACATGATAGCCAAACAGCGCATAACTCAGTAATTGTTGCTGCTGGCGAGAAAAGCTAGCTGTGCTAGCTAAAAGACTGTATAAGATACGACATTAAAAGGGGCTCTGAATTCACCCCCTATGATATGATAAGTCATGAGCACATGTATATGATTAAAGAGACCTTCGACCCTCGGTGATAGAGTTTAGAGACCGAAATTGATGATGTGTTGGGGGCGCATGAAGGCATAGACTCGGGAGGGCATAGTAATTCTCAGAACACGGGGAATTTTTCCTCGAAATTTCCAGAAAGTCACTCCGACATCCGAGTAAGGACAATTGAAATCGGCTCTTTGAAACACTTTTTCAGGTATGGTCGGCGTCCCTTGGCAAAAATCAATATTATTTCAGCGGGAACGCATGGCCATGGTGCAGTTCCACAGAGGCTGTGGAAGTAATAGATTATGCCCAAAATAAAGGCGTGCAGGCTCTTTTGCAATGGCCGCAAAGAACTTCTCGATAGACTTTATTGAGTGTGTAAGCGTCGCCCAATGCAACATATACATGTAAAGAAGATATCAGCTTCATTACTCCGTGCACATGGGTACTTTTATATTCGTTGACGTCGTTATTTCAGAGATGGCGAATGTATAAGAAAGGTCAAAGAGCGATCATTGAAGTTTCGGCTAGCAAGCCCTGCCAAAAAGAAACTCCTTCACTATCGGAGAGCTAGAGAATTCGGGGTTTAATAGGACGCAACTTTAGACTACCATGTTAGTTCTTTCTTCGCATCCGCGGATTTATCTAGCAACCATGATGCAACTCACTTCAAAAAATATTCCAACCCGACGCGGCGCGATTCGAGAAATTTCGGACGAAATTTGACTATAGTAATCAATCAGTAACCCAATGGACTGACCTGTGAAGTTCCCTCAACACATACAGATTACACTCTTAGGTGGCAAAGGAGGTAGGGCATTTTTGGCGTGCGGAAATGATATTATGAGGCGTTGTCGCAAGTCATCGAACTCAGAATACCTAGACATAACAGTTAATATCGAAGACAAGTTCGATTTAGACGAGAGCACCGGAAGCCTACCTCAAGCGAACTGTTATAGGACCACCCTAAAGCGGCTATTAGTACTTAACTGACGTCTCGCCGAGTTAAGAGTGGTGGCGGATCTCCATTGCATGCCAGAACTCACATCAAGTGTTTGTACTTTGCAATTCCAGACTACATACGATCCGATCCCGGTCTTCCCTTGAACAACGACGTAATCATCCACGGAGACGCTCTTAGCCCACAGACCACGGCTGGTTTCACATTCTGGATCTTCCGTGTGATCTTCCAGGGTTATTGCGGGACCAGCGTCAAGAGATATTTGCGAGACTCTAGAGGCAGCTCTATGATGAGTCCAATACGGAGGAACAATGCCAGAAACTGGACGCTCATTGTTCAGTATATTCCCAGCGTAAACAGAGGTAGTCTCTTCACTATTGGTGGAGGCTGTATTTGTGTTGGGGGTGGATTTGTCTATGCTGGAGATGGCCGGCGATGCCGAGGAGGGTGGGATTGCATGCCCCGAAGGCACGAGGCCAGTATCCTCATTCGCTGACTCCATCCATTTAATTATAAATCGACAGATCTAGCAGAGGCAATCCTGACTGCCACTAAGAATAGATCTAGTCAGTCACAACGCAAGCCGAACGCAAAAATGACCAGTAGCGAAGCTTGGCCCGAATTCAGTGAACCGTCCAGTAAGACCAAACAGAACAGCCATCGAAGCATTCCTGGGACTTAGTAGAACAAACAAAAGAAGGAAGGAGAGGATCTGTGTCCGTCCGGTTATGTGAATACAGCTAGATGCATGCCAGATCCACCGATGACTGATCACAATTGGCCACCATGTCCGAAAGTTTTATCGAACAGGATGAATTGGGGGAGGAGGGGGTGGAAGGGGGGGGGAGGGGCAAAAAAGTGCGGGGAGAGGGGGTGGGAGGTGCCCATACCCAGTATAATAGGAACGTGGAAGAATAATTTCACATACATGAATCAAAAAATCCGCTTGGACATATACACTGTAGGTCCTATGAAATTAGCATCAGCGTACCGTAGGGTAAAGTTTTTCTTTGTTGCTGGACATGATTGAAGCAGACGATCATCCTCGGCAGCCTCCGACCAACTCTGGCACCACGGCAGCTCCGGGCAAATCCAAGCAAGCCATCTCTAGGTCACGGGACTACTGTCCGAGAAAGCGCGGCGAGTCATGTGAGCCGAGAACCACAACTACTAGTTAGTCCACAGACTCCACAGTGTGTTAGACTGCATAAACTGAGAATAGTACTCTAGTACAGAGTACTAGGTCCATACACAAAACTCGGCAACTACATTTTCTCATTCATGCCAAGCTCCTATACATCTTTTCTTATCAGACTATCATCTTCTCCGCCTCTACTCCTCTTTTAGCTGACGAGCCAAATAAGTTGACCACAGTAACCGGTAGTAAACTTACACAGTACTCCGTAGTACACTCAGACACTGCAGACTGTCGGCGAGTCGGAAGCAAGAGGACACCTTGAAACTGAAGGAAATTACGGCAAGCTACTCGTGCCAATTTGCAATAACTTCCACTGCTGCTTGAGACCCTGACTGCCTAGTATACTGCTTTCTTAACCTTGCTTGCTTACTTACTAGAATCACGAAGACTGTCTTACTTGCTTATATATATGTAGGAACTGTGAGGGCTGCTTGTTACAGCTGCGGCGACTATAACTTAAGTAATAATTACTATAGTCTATTCTACTATATAGAGCTACTTCAGCTGGAACTTAGATAAGTATATAACTGTAGTCTAGTGGTTAAGATCTTATACTAAAATCATAATATAGTACAATATAATATATAGACAGCTTAGGACCCTATCTACAGAGCTGGATTCCAGTACTAATTAATAAGAGCTTATAATTGGTCTATAGTAGATCTGATTTCTTGCAATTGGAGTAATCTGATTGGCCTTGGCTAAGCTAAGCCTAATCTGGGTCGCTGACGGTTCGACCCCTGCCAGTTCCATGTGATCATTTTATTGCCGGCAGAAGGAGGGTTATTGCAAATTGGCATGAGTAGCCCACCGTAGGAAATTGCCACATTGGGACTAGGCTGCAATCAGGGTCCAGGCTAGAAGAAGCCAAGAGGGTCCAGTCCCAATCAACTCTCGTATGACTGAGACATTTTGTCCGGATGATGGATGAGGAAGACACCGTCCGGCAAAAACCCCTTAGTAAGAGGCAATATTACTACGAAAACTTCGTACATCTATCTTATTGAGACAGTCTCCCACCACCCATTGCGTATATTATCTATCTTGTCCTCAAGAACAGTCAGGATTGCCATAGACGCAACTGCAATGCATTCGAGTGCCAGCCACTGGAAAGGGGACACACATCTAAACATAGAAACGATAAAGGGTGTCTCAATCTACAAAATACACAGTAGTCCCACGCTGTACCGAGTAGACTACGGTATCGGCTAGTGGCCCCCGGATCGACATACTACCAGCTTCTCTCCAGATCCTCACTCCAACTCTCTTCCCTCTCCTCCCCTTGTCTACTTTTCCCACTCCCTAAATGTTGAGGCTGGATGGGAATGCTTGTGAACCTCACTTCACCTCAAAACATAGCCAAATATAACACAGCTTATCTTAGCATGGTCACTGTCCGCCTTCAGCTTCTTTCCAGCCCGGTTTGCCTTCAAACATGACCGCTGCCATGGCAGGCAGCCGGTTAACCAGCTAGTCTGCTTGCCACGGACCGACCTCGGGGTATTGTTGTTGGTGTACTGATTTCCGCCAATTTACGACTAGCAAAATACGACCATCCAGCACTATACACCATCGACATTCTTGGATGGCTGGCTCCATTCGTAGTCCGTCTGGAGCTTAATCAACACATAGCGTCGCCACCTTGACCTCGCTTCGCGTAACAAACGGAAGTGGTACGAGGCAAGATGTTGGACAAACTACATATACTAAGCCTACAGCAGCATTTTCAATCCCCACCCCCCTCCCCCAACCTTCTTCATTCACCCTTTGATCTCTCATAAATCTAAATCTTGGACCCCTGGACCCTTCCCCCCCCTTCCCCTCTTTCGCACCCTTTCATTCTCCAGAATTCGCTTCAAAGTGCCTTCGATTTTAAGACCTCCCACATTCGACCGTGACCCTGAATTGACATATCATCCTTGACCCATCCACTACTGTAAGCACCGCTGCTCTTTCGCTCTTGCACCTGGTCCTCTGGGACCCATCATCTGGCATTTCCCTCCGAAGATCTCCTTCAAGATTCAGGAGATCACCGCTGGAACCCTGCAGCCTCAGGGTTTCTATTCCGACAAGCATCGCTCACCGATTGACAGTCTCCAATTTGAAGCCGTCACTATGCATTTGCTGCGTTCTGTAATCGCTGTTACCTCCTGGGCTTTGCTTGTCAGCGGGCAGAATTCTTCTTACACTGTCAATGTGAATGACATTCCGATCAAGACAAGAGGTATGTTGTCACCTAGATGAAGAAAGAGAGCAGCACAATTGGCCCCAATGCTGATGTTTTTACTTGTGTAAGACCAGTGGTGTGAAGCTCAGACCTCGCAATGCCCGCTTATCTGTCTCCAATTGCCTGGAACCACCAGCCAGCCCAAACAGAACACTTGTGATCCCGTGAGTGATCCCCAATTTCCGTGACGATGCCGGCCAAGCATGTCTAACCATTCGCGTCGCCTTTCTCAGCAAACGTTGTATTATAATTGTGTATGCAGTAATGGCCTCAGTCCAAATGCCTCTCAATACTCTCAGACGATCCCGTACTTCTTGTGCACTGAAGAGAATAATGAGTGTGTCAGCAAGTGCAACGGCAATTCCCTCTGTCAATCAGATTGCCGCAGCCAGCACCCTTGTGGTGCGCAGGATCCCAAGCGAGTCAACGCCACTTCAACATCCAATTCCACTCCTGCCGCCACTGCTGCTTCTACTACCACCTCCTTGGCACCTTTCACTGGTGTGCCTGACGAGGGCGTAGCGCCCCGGTCATTGGCAGACATGGCTCAGCTTTACGGACTGGTGACTGTTGTGGGCGCATTCCTTGCCGGATTCACAACCTTGATCTAGTTTCAACCGGCGCCGCAAGGGTGCCTGATACAGCCGCCTCCACCCGTCGCATTTTTGATAATAGGTGAAACCCTTTTGGCATCCCAGCTTAATATCTAATATGTGTTTATTTTTCTGTCTTGTCGGGAATTAGCTAGTGCTTTGATGTTTTCCTTGGGCCACGATGAAGTGACGCTTTCCTTTTCTCTTGTATCATGGTTACCTTACCTTTAATGATTTAGTTCTTCACCTGAAAGATCTTGATGACCAGCTGTCGATTTCCATCCTTAACTAATAATGAGGGCTATCAGGACAAGTAGACGTTCATGTATAATTCCAGTATGGATCAAGAGGTATACAAAGCTATACGCCCAGGCACATTGATGTACTTTGGGAAAACAAAACCCCAGTTGAGTGTCAATGGAAGGCAGCACCACATAGTCAATCGACAAAGAAGTACTAGGACATCAGTCTATGATTTCTCGGAATATTCCCCGAAGGGTTATGATTGCAGGGCGGTGTTTGAGGCGGTGTATCTGCATCGGAGAAGCGGTGCCGATAAGTCGGGCGGAATGATGCCCCCATAGTGATGACCTGGTGGGAAAGAGAGAAAGAGGTCATCTCACCTGCAACCACCTTTTCCCACCGGGCTTAAAATTTCATATACCCATCGAAAGACTTCTCTTTTGCCACTTGGCGCTAATATCAAATTTGACATACCGTTTGTTCGAACCTAGCAACAAGGGCTTACACCAATGATCTCGAGCCAACCTCCGCTCTAGGAACTTAAACCGACCCAGCTCGTTCTCCACCTCACCTATTGTTGTGCGACGTGCGCTGCCTCACTCGCCCTGCCCCTATTCTTGTAGCGCTGCATCTAAGCACATCAAAATCGCTTGGATCAATTCTGTGGATCTTGTTGCATATTATCTTCACAGTCGGCAGTAGTGCTGACAGTGTGCCGACGACGTGCCGGCGGGATGGATTACCTACCGGAAGGGCACATCGAACCCTCGGCCGCGTATCAGAGCCAAGCGTCAGCTGGTGGTAACGTCGACATGGATTACATGAACCGAGGCCTATCGGGGGTGAATGTAAGAATTGAAGGTAAGGTTTTCAAGTTTTGATTGCCGACATGCTCGTCTGCAAACTGACCATGAGCGTCCATGCCCAAGATCCTCCGAAGTTTGAATTGGAATCTTACATCGCGAATTATACTGGTAAGCAGGATCCCACTTCACTTAATTGTATAACAGCAACAGGCTTATGAAAGTTTCGCCCCAGGCCGGACCAGATACAATCGTCTATATGTCATTGGGACATGTTCGTCATATCTTGCCGTCGAGGCACTCAAAGCCGCAGTAGCCGAAGCCAAAAGTGGCAAAGATGTCATCAGATACGAAAGAGCAGTGCGAGCACTTGCAGAGGTTGCGCCAAATGACCCCGAGGCTACACTTGATACGCACTGGGTAGACCACATGCAGAAAGTCGTCAAGGCCGAAACGGACAGATTAGAGCATGAGCTTAAGGGCTACAAGAATAATTTGATCAAAGAAAGCATCCGGGTGAGAATAAGTCCCTTTTGTTGTTTTCGTCACTACTTGCTGGCTTTGTAAATCTTATACTAACTTTGTACAATAGATGGGCAATGAAGATTTGGGCCAGCACTACCATCTCATTGGCGATCTTACGTCGGCGTCCAAAGCCTATTCTCGTATGCGAGACTACTGCACAACCCCAACTCATATCGTATCCATGCTGTTCAAGATAATCAATGTGGCGATCGAGCGGGGTGACTGGTTGAGTGTCCAATCCAATGTCCACCGATTACGCCATCTGCAAACGAAACAGGACGAACAAGCCAAAGTTCAGCCGAAGCTTTCCACCGCGATGGGCCTCTCACAGCTGCACTCAGGATCCTACCTAGATGCCGCCAACAGCTTCTTGAACACAGATCCGGGCCTCGGTGACTCATACACGGAGGTACTCACTTCCAACGACGTGGCCGTCTACGGCGGGATCTGCGCGTTGGCGTCGATGGACCGCGACGAGCTCCAGCGGCGCGTCCTCGACAATAACTCCTTCCGCAACTTCCTGGAATTGGAGCCACACATCCGCCGCGCCATTGCTTTCTTCTGCAACTCCAAGTTCCGCTCTTGCCTGGAGATCCTCGAGGCCTACAAGGCGGATTACCTGCTCGACATCCACCTGCAGCGCCATGTTCATACCCTCTTCACCCGCATCCGCACTAAATCCATCCAGCAATACCTCATTCCGTTTAGCCGCGTTACCCTGGATTCCATGTCGAAGATGTTCGCTCCCGGGACCGGGACAGGCACTGGAACCGATAGCGGCCAGCAAAGCCCCCCGATCGACCTCACCTCGCCCTTTGTGCAGGAACTGATAGCTCTAATTCAGGATGGCACGCTGGACGCTCGCATTGATCTGGAGCACAAGGTGCTGATTGCCAATCAGGTCGACCTCCGGACAGAGGTACAGGAGGCCGTCTTGGACAGCCTGGCGGACTACGTGCGCGAGGCGCACATCCGCATGCTACGCACAAACATCGTTCGGGCGGGGCTGGAGGTACGCGTCGATGATAAACCTAGGGAGATGCGAAGTAAGAGGTCGGATGGACATGGGTCCGCCACTCTGTCGCGCGGCTCGGGCTTGTTCCAATAAAATTATCTCTATTATGTGGCGCCGGACCAGCAACGACAGGCAAATCAAATTCCGTCCTATATCATTTCTTATCCCTTCATCATTCGAATTCTCCATTGCAAGAAGACTTATTCCTCGTAAACGTTCATTGGACTATCTTTGATAAATATTATATACTCATCTTTATCCGTATATCCAAGATTACGATCCTGCATCTTCGGCAATGATCCCTTGCTTTGAATTCCTCTCTTTTCGACCTTGTCTCGGGAAAGTACGGCAAATAGCTGGGATTGACATTATTCTAAACAGCAGTAGGCATAAAAAACGGGCCTTGTATGTACATGGACCATGCTCTTCCCCTCCATCTCCTTTTTTTCGTTACAGCAAGCACAGCCCATCGCAGGTGGCAGGGTACTTCTCGAAACAATGCAGGGATTTCTCTCTCCCTCTTCTAGACATACAGGCTTAAGAATGTTATATTGGGCCGGTAAGGCCTTGACCGAAAAGTAGAGTGAAGCCGTTGACTAAGCCATGGCCAAGGCCAGCATCATGGCGGCACCTCCCGCAACCCAGCTACCAGTGGCCAAGGGCAGGGCCCCGTTGTCGGTGCTGCTGGCACTAGCGGCAGCGGTGCTGGAGCCGGAGCCGGAGGCGCTGGAACCGGAAGTAGATTTAGCGGAAGAAGAGTCGGTGGACTTGCTTGAGGCAGAGCCGGTGCCTGAGGCGGAAGCGGAGCCGGTGGCGGAGGCAGAGGCATAGCCGGTGATGGTGACGGGAACAGCGGTTAGAGGGGTGGTGTAGACGTCGGAGGAGGTGCTTGGGCCATCGGAATCGCTGGCGCTGGTAGTGCAGCTCAGGTAGGTCGTGCCAGTGCGGGTGCAGCCTTCGGAGAATGTACTAGAAACAAATTGAGTAAAAGTCACTAAATAAAGCGACAAGAGTAACATACGTTCCGCGGTAGGACAGCCCCAAGCCATAGGTGGAGCTACCCACTGTGAGAGTGTAGGTGTCATCTTGCAAGTTGCAGGTTTCATCGTCATCAGCAGAAGCAGCATCAGAAGAGGTGGCAGTAGCAGAGCTGACAGATGAGGTCGTTGAAGCACAGCCCAGAATAAGAGTGGTAAGGCTACCACCAGTCTGTTCGAAAGCAGTTAGATACATATGGGTGGTCGAAATGAACGGAATAGATCAAAGGAGGATCTGGCAACGAACAGTTCCAACCACTTTGCCTGCAAGATTGGCAAGGTCAGCGTCGGGCGGCAGATAGATATCAACAGTGTCAACGGCAGCTGCGGCCGTGACAGAAGCCAAAATGGCTAGCGAGGAAGCGATCTGGAAACGCATGGCGATTGTGTGTAGATGCTGGGATCCGGATGTTATGTTCTGAAAAAGCAGCAAGGGGACGAAGGAACAATTTATAGGCAAGCAAGAGTGTGGAAGATTTCCTTGGAGTGCAGGCTTCAGGAAGAACGAGATTGTCGCTGTATGCAGTTGGAATGCTGAGGATGAAATGGGGTTGTTGGGGGCCAGATGATGCGCGAGGGCCGTTTCTTATAGATTTGTCCCAACTAGTTCCCTCTTGCTGGTGCGACAAAAGCTGAGCCTCGTCGAGGATTGCGCTGGACTGGTTGGGGATGCCATGCGATGCATGCAAGAGGACAAAGACCCTCTCATTTGGGGGCGCAATCTTCGTAGGAGGTTCAGCTCACTGGTCGTTCCTTGACCGATCGTGGTTTTTGGCGATGAGCCATGTCATGGAAGCCATAAACCCATTAGAGTTGGTCCGAGGTGGACCGACGTTTAATTGTCAATGTCACCACGATTTAGCCGCATGGGGACTTGGAGACGAGCAAACGAATGATCGATTGGGGAAGACGGAGCATGTAAAAAACGCGAGTGAGGAGCTCCATGCTAGACAAAAAGACAAACGATGTCAGAAGCCGACCAGGAACTAAAGTGTGCACTAAGTGTGCACTAACACCGGGCGCGCTCTTGGGGGCCGGAACCATCACTTCGCGTATGAAGCAGACCCTTGCTGTGTTCGAGTGGGCTAAGGCGCTCAGCCTTCATGTTTGCAGGTTGGTGGTTTGCCAATAAGCACTAGAGGGTCAGAATCAATCAATTCTTCGAAGTATCCATAGTAAACAAAGAGAGTCCTCCCAACTCCTAATTAAAAACAGGGCCTGTAGGTCGCTGGCAGCGGCACTGCTGGGTATCGGTTTCTCCACGACTTCAGCTCCACCGAACAGACAGAAAAGAGAGAATAAGATCGTCGCAGCCCCATACTTTCACCAACCTAAGCTCCATCTAGAGCATCGCCATGGCGCCGCCATCACCGCCAATCTACCACGAGCCATCCACTATAGCCAGCCATCATAGCTGCTGGCCAGAGCCTAGCAGTAGCGGGTCTTTGAGTGTCTAATGACTCCACAGGCTATTCCCGCTAAGAGCAATACTCCATTGAAGCTTGCCAGGATGTAAAACGGAGCCCCCGATGAAAGGACATCGAATAGCAACCCTCCGACCTTGGTCAGGACCAAAATGCCTGCGCCGCCGTACAGGGAATATACCCCAGCAATAGAACCTTTCAGGTGCGCCAGGGGTTGCTGTGTTCGATTCGGAGCCGAAGACAATAGTGCCTGTTCCTCCTGGTTGCCTCCAGTCCCATCGGCCGACAGTCGGTCGTCGTCGGCCTCCTCACAATAGAGAGTGGATGGCGACGAGTCAAACTCATTCCCTACCGAGCACTGAGCTCCCATACGTAGTACGCCGTTGCTGAGGACGGACAAGCTGCAAACAATGGCCCCAATCTGACCGAGTCCAACTAGCCCCATCACAACGAAAATGCCAGCACTGCCGTCGGCCCCTTTAAAATCTGGACTGGGCAGCAGTGCAAATGTGATATAGCCGACCACGCCTGCCATACATGCTCCTAATAAGGGAATGGGATATCGTTGTGACCGCTCTGACATGTATCCAAAGACTGGCGCTGCCAGCAATGCAATAAGCTGGGAAACTCCGGTAAGGATTGAGGCCAACACATAAGCCTTGCGGCATGATTGCTTGACAGCGTCGGAGCCAACTTTGTTTCCATCGTTATCTTGGCATAGACCTGAATGCCGGTAGTAGTGGTTGACCGCTAGGGGAATGAATAGCGAGATTCCGACTGATGAGGCCCGAGCCACAAAGCCGCCCAAATAACCAAGGAAGATGTCACTGTTGCGGAACCCTATCATGAGTGCAACGCCAAGCTGATGAAAATAAGGCAAGCATAGTTTGCTATAATCGGTGCTTTGCTCTTCATCTGCACCGGAGACCTCCAGCCTTCCATGGGAACCCCGGGCCCATAGGGAGCTCCAGGCTTTCTTGTTCTCGCCGGGAAGGTTCCTCAGCCCTATGGAACAGAAGACAGCAATCAACAGAGACACAAGCGCAACGATATAATAGCTGTATCGAATAGACTCTGGAGGTGACATTCCCCACTGCTGAAGTCGAGATGGTAGGGGCAGGAAGACAACGAGGGCAACTAGTGCGCCGCTTCCAGCGCACATTCCAACATATCCAGCTAGCTTGGAAGACGGTGTTTTTTCCGCGGCACGATTCAAAGCAACAGACCGCAGCCGTGATGAAGACCCTGCTACGGCTGGAAGAACAGCCGTGACCATGGTCGACACCGCCGCACCTCCAAGACTGAAGAGCAAACGCCCTAGGAGAAGCTGGGGATAAACGTTCGTCGCCTGAACAAATAAGATCAGCGCGATAGCGATGATTCCATATCCAGCCACGCAAACCTAGAGATGATTTACGTAAGTAATCATAGTAAGTTAAAGCTCGCGAGTAAATTCTTGGAAGTAAAGCAAGACCATGGAAGGGCTCTCACATTACGAACTCCAATATGATCTGAAAGTACTCCCCAGAGGGGACAGCCAACTAAAGCGAGAAGCTCGTCTGCGAAACCCAGAGTACCGACAGCATCGCCCTCTCCCTCAGCCAGGCCAAGTAGTTCCGTGACCACGAAGGAAACGGATGAATTGAGGAAAACTAGAAATGCAATAGAGAAGGGGCAGACCCCGAGCAAGTAGGTACATATTTGCAACCGATTAGCAGTAAACGTTGATGTTTGTTGGGGGGGCATCATGGTGATGGTGTCGAGGGCATGTCTCGGCGAACAGAGCGGTGACTTAATAACTTGAGTTGCTCGTAGTCCTAACTACGTACTCGGTAGGGCATCCAGGAACGATCTGCGTCTCTTCCTTCTCCTTCACTCTTCCCATCAGAGTTGCTTCAATGTTCGCTGGTTTACCGTCAGCTTTGAGGCTGTGGTTTGTGAAGAAGCTTTCTAGTTTTTTGTGAATTACTGGGATTCTAGACTCGACTTGATAGATCAGTCTGGTGTTACTCCGGAAGCTCCGCAACCGGTCACATGATCCCTATCGAACTGGTGGAGCGCGGGCCAGAATCGTGGAGGTCAGAGACCAGTCAGTAGTAACTTTCATACTCACCTAGGTACGAAATACTCCGTTGTTAATTTCTTACCATTAGTTCCCATTCAGGTGGCTTCGGATTGGCCTCTTGAGAAGTCTTGCACATATATAGCATGAGCCTGTCCTGATACCCATGCAGAGGAGGTAGAATAATCAGAGTACCCTGTGGATTAGTAAGTTGTAATGGTAATGAGGAATAAGGCGGTGACGGCAAGTTGGCAACTGGCATCACCGACTCCGGGGCGGGATGAAGGCCGATTGCTCCAGCTGTCCAGAACTAAGTACGGAGTACTCTCTCACCTGCCAGTCCCCTCCCACGTTTTCCCCTCCTTCGTTCTATACATACATGTTTCGGTCAATGTCCTTCTGAACATTGCGTTTATACCAATGACTTAGAGTTTCTCGCGTGACTCTGTCAATCATTGGCCATGAGGTTCGCCGTCTACGCCGGGGTAAGTTAGCTCTGCTCTTCAAAGAAAGGTTGGCCGTGTGTGCTCGGGCTGACCTGATTCCATCGCAACCACAAATAGGCTTCAACCGCCCTGGCTACTGGTGTATTTCTAAAAGCACTACATCAACGAGCCAACTTCTATGCGGCATGTGTATATCTCTCTCAAAGCAGTGCAAACCTTATGGTATAACTTGTTCCGTCCTTCGCTCCTTGGCTTCATAACGACCCTGTGTAGACTGAGTGAGCTAATCAATCTTGCCTAGATCTTGATGAACGTATGCCTTCTGGCCGTCGGGTTCTTCCTTTTCTGGCTCCAACGTCTACTCTATGGACCACTTCGACCCATCGAGACGGAACAGCTATATGAGAAAGCATGGTTCGCAGTTACTGAGACGTGTTTGGCCATGACAATATTCCGCGGAGAACTCGGAGGCTGGTTTCTAGTTATGTTCGTCTCTCTGCTTGTTGGCAAGGTCTGGGGTTGGATCGGGGAGGGTCGCGTAGAATACCTCGAACAGCAGCCGCCCGCGAATCCGCGCCTCTTCCATTTTCGACTCGCTATATCCTTACTCGTTTCAGTTTTATTCAACGTGTTCATGTTGAGATATTGTGTTCAGACGGTACTAGAACAGGCACGGCCCGATATGATGGTCATGTTCGGCTTCGAGTTTGCTGTCCTGACGATTCTATCAAGCTCAACTGCCGCTCGGTATTCCATCTCTTTGGTCGAGATTTACGTCACCCACCGGCAGTTGAAGGCCAGATTAGAAGAACGCCGTCAAGAGGTCCGAGCTGCGCGGGATGAAGCTCTGCAACAGCAGGTCGACTCCGCAGAGCCAACCACCTTACCTAACTTACCGGCTGAAAACGACGTCAACGAAATGGAGTTAGATGTGCCGGGGTGGGAAGAAAAAGGCCGATGGATCTTCTATCTCGACCTCTTGACAGACTTCCTCAAACTCACGGTATATTTGACATTTTTCGCCATCCTATTCACCTTCTACGGTCTGCCTATTCACATATTACGTGACGTCGTTGTCACGATTCGCTCATTCGGACGCCGCATTATGGACTTTGTCCGGTATCGCAATGCGACACGCGACATGAACGAGCGCTATTCCGATGCTACCGCTGAGGAGGTTGCCCGCGAGGAGGTATGCATTATTTGTCGCGAGGAAATGACCCAGTGGTACAGAGCCGGGCAAGGAGGACAACCTGCACAACAGCAGGGTCGGGCATCCGACAGACTCCGTCCAAAGAAGCTTCCTTGTGGTCATATCTTGCATTTTGCTTGCCTTCGAAGCTGGCTCGAGAGGCAGCAGAATTGTCCGACGTGCCGACGCCCAGTCGTGGCTCCACTTCAAGCACGAGAGCAGGGCCACGCAGACAACCGCAACCCAGGAGCCAATGCTGGCGTGCAGCAGAATCAGCCCTTTGGTAACCAGCCGTTCGGTCGAAATGGTCCAGCAGAGGGATTGCCCCGAGCCCGAATTTATCAATTCGGACCCTTCCGTATCGGCTTCGGCGCGGGAAGAGGCGACCTCTTCCGTAATCTTCAGCAGCAGATTCAGCAGGAAAACATCCCAATGCAGCAGCCAAACGATGCTATTGCGCCTAACGCTCGGCAGATCGGTTTCGGACTCGGGTTTGGGCGACCGCCAGCAACTCCATCAATTCCTACCCCGGCTTCAAGTGTGGCTCACGTACAGAACCAATTGCAGCAAATGGAACAGCAAATCATGCATGAGATCAGTAGCCTTCGGGTCACAGCTGGTCAGCTTCAAGTCGTGCGAATGTTGCAAACAGAACTTCAGCGACTCCGCAGCCTTTCCGCTGATTCTATTGAACCCCAGCAAGGTCTTCCAACTTCCACATTGCCAAGCTCTGTAGCGAATGCAGCTGAGCGCCAACGATTCATGGCAAATCCTGGGACCCTTACCTTGAGGTCTGGCGATGCTCGACTACCCGAGGGGCTGAATCTTCCTGAAGGCTGGTCTCTGATCCCTCTCCATTCACTTGGCCATGGTTCCAGGCAAGAGGGCAATGGCCCCATATTTGCTACTGTCTCGGAGACGATCACGCATGCTGCCCCATTGTCAACCGAGAATGGCGCCAGCAGCCAAAATCCAATTCATGAAGTTGCGGCAGCTGCGGGCTCTCCTGCACCCCGAGACCCTCCACATTGGCATTCTGACGCGACTCCAGCAGTACCTCAAACGGGCATCGAGTCGCTATCTCAGCAGTGGACCGACCTGGCCTCCCAGACACAGCCCGCCGACAAGGAGCGTTCGGAGCGCGAAGAGGAGCCGGATTCACCGTCGGGGTCTCTGTCCAATGGAAAGTCACGAGTCGCAACAGTAGAAGATGCGCTCGATGATGACGAGGTGTGATAGATAGATGTTTACTTTCTTCTTCCATCTCATCTCTTCCTTGTTACCCAGTACATTTCCATCCTACCAATTTTATTTTTGTTCTTGGCTAATGGATCATTACGATGGTGTTGTCAACTTCCCAAGCCCTTCCCTTAGGATGTCTTTTTCTGGCGTTTCCGAAGCGACTCATATTCATACCCAGCTGCCTCTTAAAGTCCGAAGCTTTGCCATGTGCCTCTTCGTGGCTTCTTTCTCATGTTTCACTCCTGGTACCCTGGCACAAAGCAGGGCTAGTTTTCTATTTGTATGTACAGATGCGAAATGAAGCGTTCATGCAGTTGACACCAACTCCTGCTCGTTGGCACCATCAAGTGTGAAAGGTATGCGTTCTTCAGACTCTCCTCAGGCAAAAGTATTTGTTCGTAGAAATATAAGGCGGAGAATATGACTGAAACGGGCCATGGCCCATAGATCAGGGGATATTTAGCCTCTTCGCAGGTAAGCGGAATTGAGCAGAGTATGAGTAAAGTTGAGGTGCCAATACTATGTAGTATACAGCTCAATGGGTGTGGAAATGGGAGCATACTGTGTAGTTAGACATATAGCCTAAAATAGGCCTGGTCTCCCGGGAGAGAAAGTGGGAAAGAGGGTTCAGTTACGGGACGGTCTCATCGTCAGCCCCAGTTGCTGACGCCAGCTCCGCCTCCGCCCGCCCGCTCTTCTGCGCCATCATTTCGCATTCGCGTATGCGCCGATTTTTCCAGCCCAGTTTCATGATCCATTCTGTCTCTCCCTGACCAATCCTTGTCCATGCATGTAGTAACCACTGCACGGTCACTTTGGTGTCTTGGTGTCGTCTTACGGAGTACATTACGGAGTACTTGATTATTCTTAGACTACCCTAGTGGTCTTATTTCGTCCTTCCTTGTGCATGGGCTACTATTTCTGTTGAAGTACGGAGAACTTTGTGCGAAAGGTCCTCCCACCCTCCTACCTCCTCCCCCGAAATTATAGCAACCTACTACTCCGTTGCTCTCGTCGCCATCTCCGATCGCGGGGAGCATTGTCTACAGTATTCCAGCTTTCTGACCGTGTCAGGAAGTTGCACACTTACCAGACCTTCACCCATGGCTGTTATCTTCGTTGTGTAGCCGTCTGGCCTTACATTGTGAGCATTTAGTGCTTTGCCCCCTCCCCGGTGCCTGTCTGCATGTTCTGGAACCAAACTCAGAGGCACCCGAAGCTTAAACTTGTCCGTCCGCGGCAAAGCATTTCTTCTAAATCCATGACAAGATATCGATAGCCTTGCGGTATCGCATTGTCCTACCACTTCTCTCAACGACTCTCCACCTCATTCTGTGCTCGATGATCTCCTCACGCCGGCTTGTGCCCCTTCTCGGCTTCGCCTTCATCCTTTCGGTCCTGTTCACCGTCTACACCCTCTCCTCACAATGGGAGCCGCTGCCGCCTCCCGTTGAACTGAGCAGACCGGTCGCAACACCCTCTCCCACGCCATCGCTGCGCTATAATCTCACCCGAACGCAGGAGGAATCTCCCTCTCGGACGCCATACGCTGCCAAACCACGCTTTCTCCCCGGCGTTCCAAAGGCTCCTGGCGCAATATACAGCAAGATACTCGTTGTACCTCAAGCCGATGGAGAGGACACTAGCTGGATTGAATTTGAACTACCCGAATGGCAGTCGGCCGTTTATGCCGTCAATGATCCGTCAGCACCTCTGCATCCGCCCAAAAACAAGGGACATGAAGTGATGGTCTATCTAAGCTATATCATCGAGCACTACGACCAATTGCCGGACATCATTGCATTCATGCATTCGCACCAATTTGCATGGCACAACGACGACCTCTTCAACGGCGATGCAGCCGAGTTGCTGCGACGTCTGAACCCGGCTTGGGTCATCAGGCAGGGATATGTGAATCTGCGCTGCACTTGGAGCCCTGGTTGCCCTGATTGGTTGCACCCGGGCACCTTAGTTGAGGATCAAACAAAGCAGGAAGAGGTCATGCTTGCTCGCGCCTGGGGTGAAATCTTTCCCGATGATCCGATTCCCGAAGTCCTATCCCAGCCGTGCTGTGCCCAGTTCGCAGTTTCACGCGAGCGCATCCTAGCCATTCCCCGAGCTCGCTTCGTATATTTCCGCGACTGGATGCTCCGGACAGAACTGAGCGATTACATCTCCGGTCGCATTTGGGAGTATCTATGGCAGGTCGTGTTCACCGGTGAGAATGTGGTTTGTGTCAAAGAACATATGTGTTATTGCGATGGCTTTGGAATCTGCTTCGGTGGTGATGACGAGTACAATGAGTTTCGCGACCATAACACTGTTAAATCCGAGTTGGAGGAGGCACTTCAGGGATGGACTGTAAGGGCAGATCTGATTGAGCTCACTCGAATGCATGGACACCTGGGCGAAGAAAGCCGTCTGACCTTTCCCGAGCCCGGAAAGGATATCACCTTGGAAGAACAACTGGAGTTTGAAGAAGCGTTAATCCTTGAACTATTTGTCAATGCCACCGAGCGAGGGCAGGATCCCAAAGCCCGGGCTGCGGAGGTAGGGAGAATGTGGAAAGATGGGGACGGATTTTAATTTGTAATTCATCAGGCGCCGCATGTGCTCTTTAACGCCGTTCCAAATGTGCAATTCTCAAACTTGTTATGCTGGAGTGGATACGAAAATGTGTTACTCATTTGTTTTCAATTCGACTAGTGTTCAGAAATCGGCCATTCATGTTTGATAATTATGGCGAGCGTGTGATTCCTATACTGGGAGATTTACTTGATCTGTGCAGCTTGGCTGGTTCCAACATGGCAGGTCTGTGAAGAGAAGGCTTTGGCTATCAAAATGGAGAATGCCATCATTGTATCACACAATGACCAAGTGTGGGCAATATGGTTTAGTCATTAGCGAAGTATAAGTTAATTACTCGAAGTCGCCGTACTTCACCTAACATGGTACATAGTATGAGTGTGTCAAGGTTCAAGATCAGGTGATCCTCAAGCCCGGCGCTAACTCAAAGGCGGCAGTCGCGACGGGGGAGCTCCCGTCCGTCGTTTCCTGCAGAGTTTGCACTGTCTGTCCTTCCTTCAAACCAGCCAAACAGCGTCATCCTTTCGGATAGCTTCATTGATCGTTGCGAATCGCGCACGCTTCATATTGATCGAGTGGGAGCTGAGCTTCCCGATCAGTCGACGGACCTCCGGGTTGCAGGGAGCCATTCGGCCACCGTCACTGTTCCAAAAGCAAAGCTTGCCCGTAAGTGATCTCTCGATTTCAGGTTCTGCGTCTAGATCCTGCGTGTACACGCTTCCGGTTGTATGAGATTCCTTTGATTCTGCGCCCATAATCCTCCAATTCGACGATATCGCGACCCGATTTTTTCGAAGCAAGCTGCGAAAAGGGCGTAACAGGCTGCGCGTATACCACCATCTTCATCATCTTTACTCAATTGATCCACCAGCGCACGTCTTTCGCTTTTACCTATAGAGACACGCGCCTTTCGTCGAGGATAAGTCTTCGCCAAGGCTTTGCAACAGTACAATTTTATCGGTCAGGGCTTGCGCACGCATAGTTACACATATAATTCGGCTGGCTGTATGCCATCATGACGTCCACATCCACCCCGAATCATCATCAGCCGTCGACACCGGCGGCCGATTTTGCAGGAAACTCTACCACAACCTCAAATGTCGACCCCAACACGCACCTCGCGACAAGTGGATATGCACCTAGCGAAAACCAGCTAGCTGGACTTGTTGAGGCTGCTACAGCAGCTGCCGGTCAAGACGTCTCAGAATGGGCTGCGGCTGCTGCAGTCGCTGCTGCCGCCGGGGCAGCTGGCAATGCACATCACCTAGAAGGCTATGGACCGGACATACACATGGATGATGACAGCTTCGCAGATACGAGTTTCACCACTGGGCTCAATGGCGGGCGATCCCTGCGAGGACCCGGATCAGCTGCGGCGAACGAGCACAATCAAACAACTGGGTTGACAAGAGTTGGCACGAAAAAGAGGAAGAGAAACGAGGACGCTCTTGATCCCGCGTTGACAGGCGGTGCGCATGTTGGCTTAGCGGGTGACCAGCAACCACATCATCACAGTCATCACCCACAACATCAGCAGCCGCAGCAGCAGCAACAACAACATCCGCATCACTATAGTGGTGAGGGCCTAGATCTTCGAGGTACCCCACCACAGTCACTATCTGAAGCTCGTGCCGTAGGCTTACACTCTGCGGCTGCGCTCTTTCGCCAACCTTCTAGTAACAAAAAGTACACTCGTCCCCCCATGTCCAAATTGTTCGCCTCCCTCGAGCTCTCCCCAGAAAACTTCTTGCATCTTCAGGCAGCAGCTAAAGCATACATGCTCGATGATCTCCACCCTGAGCGACGTGACTGTGTAGGCCAGCGCGGGAAGGGAGACACAGAGATGGTCAAGCTACGGCTTTGGAATTGTGTACGTCATTTTCTTGAGGGCGAGGGTCATGGCGAGCGCTTCTTTGGGGAGGATGTCGTCAACGAAGGCATGGGGCCCAGAACATACATCTGGCCTCGGGACCAACAGAAAATCATTGCATTGGTCATACCTCTACTACGGCGGATGGTGACCAATGAGCGACAGCGTCAGTATGCCGTCGAAACTAGAAAAGGTGGCGGGGCAGAGGAGCGACGGCGACGGAAGACGGAGGAGGGTCTTCAAAATCTCAATGCACACACGCCAACCGAAGACCACTTACAATTGCATCCTCAGCCCCAACATCAACATCACCATCATCAGCTTCATGATGACTACACTGCAGTCCAGACCCCGATGTCAGCGTCGCAGCCGCCCCTGGGCTCCACCTCGCAAACCGCGGATCTGGGTTTGACGGAGCTCCTGCTTGACGGCTATTCCACCGATTGGAATGCATTCGCGAAATCTTATGACATGTATAATCAAAACTGTGAACTCGATAATCTCTGGTATTTGTCGGGCTTGCAGCAGCCGGACTGGCGAGGCTTGGTTGCTGCAATCGATAGCCATTACCAGGTCATCCACAATGGTGGATACGATTGTCCCCCGCAGTGTGAAGATGCGAATATACAACGGATACTAGATGCTAATGCTACATCTGACCTACGGTGGCGAATTGGGGGAAACATTCGACAGCCCTCCAGGAACGAGTTGTACGTTGCCCTGCGCTGGTCGCTTTTTTCTTCATCGTACCATGCTAATAGGCGTCTACAGTGCAAGCAGCGTTACTCGCGACATCTCACGCGTGATTCGCGACACTCTTGCTGTCAAGCATGAGCCGCACGGCACATCACACGATCCGGCGTCAGCGCCACAACCTCAGCACTTTCCGCCCCCCAGTAACCCTCCGATGACCGGATCTGCTGCGGTCGGCAATGCCAGACAATCCACGTCGTCTATGTCTGTTTCTCTCCGTATCAATCTTATTCAAGACGGCAAACGTACTCATTCTCGGCTTGATGTGCCCGGTAGCCAGTGCCCTGACCTGGAGACCTTGAAGCAAGTGATCTCTCGCCGTTTTGTAGGGCAGTTGCCAGGGTTTTCAACCGAGTCCGGCTTAGACTCGGCTAGCGGTTGGGCTTCAGGAATCAATTGGAAGCTCAAGGTATGGCTTCCGGACGGATTAACGTCGGTGCAGAACGACGACGACTGGGCCATCGCCCTCCTGTCCGCGGGTAACGTGGACTGGATGGACGATGAACTGAGAGTTTTAGTTGAGTTCGAGGAAGCATCTTGAGAGCGGTTAAGTGTATGTGCCTGTCTGACGACTTCTTATGACTTGATTGTTACCGGAGGAGGTTTTCTTTTCATGTTCTCGCATTCATACCCTTTTGTTCTACTGTCACGAAATGACCATCCATGATTCTCGCTCTCAATCCTAGTAGGTGAATACTGTACAACTATAGTGGTCTCTATAATCATAATATTGATGACATTTAAAGTGTGTGAGGCTTAAACACCTCTAAGGAATAGGTTCTATGGGGTGTCCCAACTTAATCTTGAAATCAACGAAAGTATTATATAATGCGACTTTAACAGTCAATTTAAGGCATGATGAAGCGCCTTTTGCTCACTCACCCATCTACTTATTCTGATAGAGGGTCATTGCACATAAACAAGCGGTGCCGCTAGTGCCAAACATCTAAATCTTATTCTCCAGCACCCACAGCATTAGTTGGTACTACTAGTAGTAGTACCTTGAACGTTGCAATCACCACCACCAGAATTGCACCGGGTGAAACTGATTTCAAAACACTTCTCTCCGACCTCAAGTCGCTTCTCCTGTTTTGCTCACGATCCCCAGGCCGCCTGCATTGAAAGCGAGCTTAGACCTACACACGCTTCAGCCACAACTTGTCTTCCAGGAATTAGAAGGCATCACGCTCATCCTCACTCGCAACAGAGCCATCGCGCACGGCTTCACCGACTACATTCTCCCCTGTCGGATGATCTCTCTCAGCGTGCACTCAAGTCTTGAGGCATTAGGGCTGACTGCTGCCCACCAGCGCACGACTCCGTGATGCCGGGGTCAGTTCCAATGTGGTCAGTGGGTTTTATCACGATCATGTTTTCGTGCCGGAGGGGAAGGAGCAGCTTGCGATGCAGGCGATTGAAGGAATGACGCGGAGTGATTGATTAAGGAACGGGCCAAACCGATTTGGCTGCTTCGAATTTGGATAGAGAAGTGAGGAAAGGTGCGGCTTGTCAGCTCTGAATCCGTTTCTGTTCATTTCAGTGAGTCTTTAGTTGCTGACAAAAGATAGCAGGGGAACAGTGCCAGCTTTAAGGCAATGCGATCGTGCCACTCGAGTAATCTTGGTGCGAGCTATTCCAGGTAAACATGCGTCGGGACCAGCTCGACGTGTCTGCTCATAACTTGAAGTGGTCCAGATTCTGCTACCTGTCCTACCACTTTGTTAACCCACGTTGAGGGTATACTAAGCTAAAGCTCAAAGTACGCCAAGATCATTATCCGAACCTTTAAATTCAATTGAGTTAGATTGACTGACGTCAACCATTCAAGTTTAGTCAGTTCTTAGAAGTCTTACGCTGGCTACTCCCCGAAGGCCTTTAGCTACATAGTTACCCACCCGAGACCTTTTGGCTAGTTAGCTGCTTCCGGGGGTCCTTTAGTATAGACTAGCTTCTTTTCAAGGGTTATAGTTCTGAGATCAAGACGAACGTGGTTTGAAACTCATAGTGAGCTTTGAACAATTTACTAGTTCTTTTAAAAAGCTAATAAGTTTTTTAGCTTTATTTTTTCAGCGGACCACGCTGAGATAAACGTTCAACATGTGTAACTCATGTACGGAGTATATGTTGGTCGTGCTTTAGTCATTAGTAGTGCTTTCGGCCTATCCACAGGAGGAAGAATACACAGAAGCATATACTTAGAGATTTGTTTGACTTGAGCAAGTGAATAAACCCTTTTTGATTACTTGCGAGCGAATACGGAGTATATAGTTTTCGAACAATGAGGCTGACCACTCCGCCACCCGAACAGACGGAGGAAATCCATGTCATCCGACAAGCCGAGATACTCAAAGCGTGGTATTCAGCCTACGACATCTGCATTCAGCACCAAGAGGTAGCCGGTGGTGTCGCTATCCGCTCCCTCCCCCAGCTTCAAGGCAAACTGACTCGCGTCGTCGGGCTAGAACTCCAGGGACCGTTCATGCCACAGGACCTTCGCGAACTTGAGGCAATCTACGCCGGAATACACCTACAGCCGGAAGTCCATTCATGCGAATATGCAGATTCTTCCGTAACACAGGTCCTCGCTGTCGCCGGGTACTTCTCCAGGGGGAGCCTGAGTGTGTACTGCATGGACCTGGAGGATTCGGATGAGCAGCCTATGGCCGAGAGTTCGAAAGAAACGACGACTGTGAGGGTTGGGGAGGTGACTTCGGATGCTGACCGAAAACGATTTATCGCTGCTTCTATCGCAGGGTTCGCAGATGGAGGACGCTCCGAGGAGTTACTGAGCGCGTTGGCGCGTATTGCAACCCTGAGAGCTGACACACGACTCTATATCGCAACGAACAACGCGGGGGAAGATCATTGGGACTGCAGCGTTGGCGGTCTTAGTTCCATATATACCCCGGAAGAGTATAGGATATTTATACTTGGACAGTACTGTACCAGAGTATCGCGCCATGGGCATACATGCCGCACTCATTCATGCGCGTTTGAGGGTCGCTAGAGACATGGGCTTCTGGCTGGTGACGCTGAGTACAAGGCAGGGTAGCGGCAGCGCTAAAAACGCAGAAAAGGTTGGGGTTGAGATGGCATACCGAAAGGAGGTCTATATAAAGACATGACGCGGGGTCACATCGGAGCCTTTCCCACTCGGCTAAATACTAATTGACGAGGCCTGATACTATTGCACCATTATCATCTAATCTTGCAATTATGTGGTTGATTTGGGTTTGCATGACATCGATCTGGAGAGTGCACTTCTTGCACTGGTTCCAAACTTTCACCACAAGTCCAATGACATCCTTGGCGTCATTACCACAGTACACAAATGACTACAATAGACTGATAAGATGCGATCATTATCCTTGTGACCCGACTGAGTCGCTGCGCTGCCCGCCCAGAGCATTCATACTCGGCGGACGGCGAATCGGGGCGGCTCACTCCAGGTACCCGTGCACTGCTTATCTCAAATCTCAGCGCAGAGCTTGCGGCTATCAACGCCACATGACGACTCAAGTATGACCGCTGTGCATGGCCGGCATACTTGCGGACTCAAGAACCTATTTGTGGCAAGGTAGTACCCGCTACGCGCTGCCGATCTGCATCGAAGCTCGTAGATTAGAAAGTTCGGATGCGACAGGGCTCTCGGCAGACGTCTGTATCCCCGCGCAACACGCATGCGGAACAAAGTAAGAGAAAGGCCAGTGCCTTCCTGCTCAAGTGGTTGTCGTGCCGTTCGCATTGTTTTGGCCGCCAACCGCCTCTAGGCGAGCCTTCTTGGCCCTGCGCTTCATTTCGCGTTTTGATAGTGGCTTCTCGATTTCCTCTGTTGCTGCCTCAGAGCCGAGTGATGCTTTTCTTTTTAATCCATCAGATTTGGTCTCTGCGACTTCCCTCGGTTTAGACGACAACCCTGTAACTTTGGCAACAGATTTGTTCCCCCCATCAAGAATGTCGACAATTCCGCGCCAGCTGGTTCGCTTCAGCTTGGCTAAGGCGGTGACCTTTCTAGCCTCTTCGCATACTGCCTCTTTGCCGCGCTCCTGCGACAAGCCCCAGATGCAGGTAAGATTAATCACATCCCATGGAGCTCTCACGCTCAGAGCCTTTCGCGCCTCACTTGACACAATAATTCCTCGACCACGGGTTGCGCGTATCAATCCCATAGCATTTCCGATTAGATTGCGTCGAGCGTCGAGTCCACTGCCCGTCACACCCGGGCTGTAACAGATCTCAAAACGAACTCCACGCGAGATAGCAGCGGAGACCATTTTGAATTTGAAGTGGAAAGGCAGCCGAACGGAGAAATCGAGGGAGATGATATCACACTCCAGGTTGGTGCACGCATTGAGAAGAGCCTTCTCATTCGTTGGACGGAGCGCAACCAGATCGTAGGCCTGAGTCAGGCTCGCAAGGCGTTGGTTTTGCGCAGGGTCGGAGAGGGTCAAATTCAGCCGGCTAAGAAGCGTCAGGTTCCGGGGAATATCTTTGGGTGCAGGTGAGGCAGTCAGGCTGGGAGGTAATTTTCCGTTGATTGTCTCTGACAAGGCGACCGTGGTGTAGCCGACTGGACGTCAGGTCAGCTCTTCATGTGGCTCTGTCAAATGCGCTGTATGCTGCGCCGGTCTCGTGCCTTGGGAGGGGGAACATGACGCACGCTCTGCAAGGAAGTTCAAAGTGTGGGCAATTTCGGAGTCACCCGGGTTATAAGGTATATTCAGATCGAAGAACATAATGGTAACAGAATGGCAATCTGCTGTCCAGTGTCAATAGTCTCAATGTCCCGCGAAGTTGGGTTTGCGAGCTGTCTCAAAATGGACATCTGAGAATCATCCCGCATCAACATTTCGCCGAGGCCCGGGCAGGTGGTTAAGTCTCCATAGGACAAGTCCCGTGACCCGCGAAGGCGGAGCGAAACGCTCTCGGCCTACCTGATCAAACCATTCATAATATTACTATACTCCCTTCTGCTTCGGTTTCTCTGGACGATAGCACGGCTGCGCAGTTTAGACGGGTTTTTTTTCTCCTAGTCTCGCGGCTGCTGTTGTCTGTCCTTCCGATCTCAACTTTGTCGCCGCGCCCCCATCATTCCTCTTTCCTCGGTCCCCTCTCTACCCCGCCGCATTTTATCACTGCTATCCGATTGTGGGCTGACCTCGAGAAGCTGATCGCCCAGCCGCCATCACAATGGCGCGCGTTTACGCTGATGTCAATGAGCATATGCCCCGGTCATACTGGGACTATGACAGTGTGAACATCTCTTGGGGTGTTCTGGAGAATTACGAGGTGGTTCGTAAGATCGGTAAGGGCAAATTTACCCTCCAATTATATTATCATCGCCGACATGGCCATCCTAGCGAGGTTCTTTCGGGCTATATGGACTAACAGCTGCTTTCTGTAAGGCCGGGGCAAGTACTCCGAGGTGTTTGAAGGCATCAATGTTGTCAACTACCAGAAGTGTGTCATCAAGGTTCTCAAACCAGTCAAGAAGAAGAAGATCAAACGTGAGATTAAGATTCTCCAAAATCTGGCAGGGGGCCCCAACGTGGTAGCACTCCTAGACGTCGTCCGTGACAGCCAGAGTAAGACACCGAGTCTGGTCTTCGAGAATGTCAACAACACCGACTTTCGGACTCTCTATCCACGATTTTCCGACTACGATGTCCGCTTCTACGTTTACGAACTCTTGAAAGCCCTAGATTTCTGCCATAGCAAGGGTATCATGCACCGGGACGTTAAGCCTCACAATGTCATGATTGATCATGAAAAGCGCAAGGTTAGTGGATTCCTGATGCTTTGCGATTCTTTCCTCTGTTGACCATAGCTAGCTCCGCCTCATTGATTGGGGTCTAGCTGAATTTTATCACAAGGGCACGGAATATAACGTCCGCGTTGCTTCTCGATACTTCAAGGGCCCCGAGCTGCTTGTCGATTTCCAGGAATATGACTACTCTCTGGATATGTGGTCTCTGGGCGCCATGTTTGCATCCATGATCTTTCGCAAGGAGCCCTTTTTCCACGGAAACAGCAACTCTGACCAGCTGGTGAAGATCGCCAAGGTGCTTGGAACTGAGGAGCTCTTTGAATATCTTGACAAGTATGAAATTGAGCTGGACCCCCAGTATGACGACCTCCTCTCTCGCTTCCCTCGGAAGCCATGGCACTCCTTTGTCAACGCCGAGAACCAGCGCTTCGTAAGCGACGAAGCGATCGACTTTTTGGACAAGTTGCTCCGATACGATCATGCGGTATGTGCTATTCTATGTGCAACATATATGGCAAAAGGCTGATAATGTTTGCCTAGGAACGCCTCACTGCTCAAGAAGCCATGGCTCATCCGTACTTCGCTCCCGTTCGGGCTGCCGAGTCCCAGGCTGCTCGGAACAACAACACCGCATGATCCCAGCATCAGGGTCTTGAACGCGCCTGGTTTTTATCTACCCTGACTTTCTTCTTTCCACCTGATGCTCGCTCTGCCGGTACATCCTACATTGATAGGACGACAACCTCACCAGTGCTAAAACAAGTCTATACCCTGTTTCTCAGAGGATTGGTGGAATTGATTCGGAAAGAGTCATTTCTGAAAGGCCTTGCAGCTTTGGACTGATGCGTTACGCCTGCATGAACTGAAGCGCTGCGGTTGCAATGAGTTATTGAATTTGGAGACGACGACGATGAACAGATGACATACACCTAATATATCTCTGCTTGATCCTCTTGGCATACCCAGTGAGTGATATCTGTCGAATGGTGTTTAGAGAATGGCCTTTACTTCTGATGTTGTCTTTGCGTAAACTTTCCCACCAACCCCTCGCGCCGGTTTACTGGAGCCTCATCGCTTCAGTCGATTATCCTTGTGGTTACTTGGACCGGTGTTTCTGGGAATCTTGTTTGTTGGTTTGCCTTGGCATATTTTCTTTCCCAATTGTGATCCCTTGCCATGCTTCAGCTTCCTTTACCATATGCATGTCAATCCTAGTCTGAATATGTCATTGAAGGAGTATGGTCTAGTTCATGCGTTTGAGATGCTCAACAGGGTGTTTGCCTCGTATAGCATTACCGAGTGGAGGAAGGCGAAGCTTCGAATTAGAGAGGCTGAGTCCGGTTAGATAAGATGATGTACGTAGCAGTAAACCTTGGGAAAGTACCTTATCACCGAATTTGCCCAAATCAAGACTCCACAGGAGGCACTTGCTCGAGTCATTGCTGGGCTATAGTTGATGAATACTAGATCGTAGGTGACTTGCCGTCTCACGTGACGTGACTCACTCTCACAAGAAATGACTCCTACAGTTGTTAAAGCTGCTAGATGTAGATCTGAGACATAACTAACACGAAATCTCTATTGCATCTCGAAAATCCCAGTTAGTTCTGAAAGCTTTGATAGTGAAGGATATCACTTTCCAGTTGGGGATGCTTGGAACTGCCCGATCTCGACTCCACCGCCCGTCAATTGAAATCCACTCAGGTTTCAACTGAAGCCCCGCCAGTCCCGGGCATCCTCTGATTCGTTCTGTTCTTTTGCTCAGAGCCAGGAAATTTGATTGCCCGCATTCGCACAACGACCCTCCCCTCCCCCTCCTTGTCTTCTTTTCTATCACCGTGTCTTGCGTGAGTCACCCGGTGGTCAAGATACTTATCCGTCAGTTAGCGGCGCGAGTGGCGCCTCGGAGATCACCTCCTCTCCCTCAATCTTTACGACCGTTTTCCAGGATGGCTCAACCTTCCGCTTCCCAGAACTCGAGTATGTCGCGACCATCCTATACCATCCCGCCTAGTCGAGCTTCCAGATTGCTCTCTGAATAATGGCTGACCATTTTTGTGGTGATCTAGCTGGTGAGCCTAAAGCTCCCGTTATCGACGTCCCTCCCCAGGCCGACGATGAATTGAGAAACCAGAATGCCGCCGCTGCCTCCAAGCCTGTCGAAGGAGACTCGTCTGCACCTCCCAAGGTGAAGACCGAGAAGGAATGTATGTACGGCATGAGAGCCACCGCACGCAAAGCGCTTGATTCGTCTGCTTGATCTTGTTCTATGCTCACTGGAAATGCTTACAGTGGAACGCGAACGCCGTAAGGCCGAAAAAGCTAAGAAGTTCGCAGAGAAACAGGCTAAAGCCGCGGCTAAGCCTGCTGCGCCAAAGGCTGAGAAGAAAGCCAAGGTTGAGAAGGAGAAGACAACAGACGCGTACGATCCTAAAGTGATTGAGGAAGGCCGCTATGAATGGTGGGAGGAGCGTGGCCTGTTCCTGCCTGAATTTGGCCCTGACGGCAAGGTCAAGCCGGAAGGCTACTTTGTCATCCCGATCCCTCCTCCTAACGTTACAGGCGCTCTTCATATGGGTCACGCCCTGACCAACGCGCTCCAGGACACCATGATTCGCTGGCAGCGAATGAAGGGCAAGACTACCTTGTGGCTTCCGGGTATGGATCATGCAGGTATCTCCACTCAGAGCGTGGTCGAGAAAATGCTTTGGAAGCTAGAGAAGAAGACTCGCCATGACCTGGGCCGCGAGGCAATGATCGAGCGCGTCTGGGCTTGGAAGGATCAATACCACGCCAACATCAAGAATGCGCTGCGAAGAGTTGGCGGCTCTTTCGACTGGACTCGTGAGGCGTTCACGATGGATCCCAACCTGTCGGCAGCTGTCACCGAGACATTTGTTCGGCTTCACGAGGAAGGCATTATTTACCGTGCTAACCGTCTGGTCAACTGGTGTGTGGCCATGAACACCTCTCTCTCTAATCTTGAGGTCGAGAACAAGGAGGTCGAAGGTCGTACCCTTCTCGACGTTCCTGGTTACGAAAAGAAGGTTGAGTTCGGTGTGCTGACCCACTTCTGCTACGAGATTGATGGTACGGACGAACGAATTCAGATTGCGACCACTCGTCCCGAGACCATGATCGGTGATAGCGGTATCGCTGTTCACCCGGATGACAAGCGCTATCAACACTTGATCGGTAAATTCGCCCGCCACCCCTTCGTGGATCGCTTGATGCCTATCGTCGCCGACACAGACGTCGACCCTGAATTTGGTACTGGAGCTGTCAAGATTACTCCCGCTCACGACTTCAATGACTTCAACCGCGGCAAGGCACACAACCTTGAATTCATCTCCGTTCTGAATGATGACGGTACCTTTAACAGCAAGGGTGGACCTTTTGCTGGAATGAAACGTTTCGATGCCCGCTACAAGGTTATTGAGATGTTGAAAGAGAAAGGTCTTTATGTCAAGTGGGAGCACAACCCCATGAAAATCCCTCGGTGCGCCAAATCCAATGATGTCATTGAGCCTATTCTCAAGCCTCAGTGGTGGATGAGGATGAAGGACCTTGCAGAGCCTGCCATCAAGGCTGTCGAAAGCGGTGAAATTATTATCAGACCGGAGTCCGCCGAAAAGAGCTATTTCCGCTGGTTGAACAACATCAACGATTGGTGTCTGTCTAGACAGCTCTGGTGGGGTCATCAGGCTCCCGCCTATTTCGTCAAGGTCGAAGGCGAAGAAGGCGATGACAGTGACGAGAATCTCTGGGTTACAGGTCGCACAGAAGAAGCGGCTCGGGAGAAGGCGGCGGCTAAATTCCCCGGTAAGAGCTTCACCTTGGTCAGAGATCCCGATGTTCTTGACACTTGGTTTTCCTCTGGATTATGGCCGTTCTCCACCCTGGGCTGGCCTCGCCAGACACATGACTTCGAGCATTTGTACCCAACGTCCGTTCTGGAAACCGGGTGGGACATTCTCTTCTTCTGGGTGGCTCGAATGATCATGCTGGGTCTCAAAATGACCGGCAAGGTTCCCTTCAAGGAGGTGTACTGCCACTCGTTGATCAGAGATTCTGAGGGTCGCAAGATGTCCAAATCTCTGGGTAACGTAATCGATCCCCTTGACGTTATGGAGGGTATCAAGTTGGATGACCTTCATGCCAAACTGCTCACCGGCAATCTTGCGGAGAAGGAGGTGGCCACTGCAACCAAGTACCAGAAGAAGGCTTTCCCCAAGGGTATCCCCGAATGTGGTGCCGATGCTTTGCGTTTCGCTCTTGTATCCTATACTACTGGTGGTTAGTGAACCCTACCCTCAATTGGTTTATTATTTCCTTTACTGACGGTGCCTTACTAGGTGGCGATATTGCCTTCGACATCCAGGTCATTCATGGCTACCGCCGATTCTGTAACAAGATTTATCAGGCGACGAAATTTGTGCTTGGCAAGCTGGGCGATGATTTCAAGCCTCGGCCGGCCCCTACAAAGACTGGCAAGGAATCCCTTGCAGAACGCTGGATCTTGCATAAGTTCAACGCTGCCGCTAAAGAGATGAACGAGGCTCTCGAGCAGCGTGAGTTCTCTGCTTCGGCATCCATTGCTTACCAATACTGGTACGGTCAGCTTTGTGATGTCTTTATTGAAAACTCCAAGTTCCTGCTTGCGCCTGAAGTTCCGGCTGAAATTCAGCAGTCAGCCAAGGAGACGCTTTACACCGCTCTTGAGGGTGCATTGACCTTGATTCACCCAATGATGCCCTTCGTCACCGAACATCTGTGGCAGCGCCTTCCTCGTCGTCCTGAGGACAGCACAATTTCCATCATGAAGGCGAAGTACCCCGATTATAGACCCGAATTCGAAGACCCCGAGGCTGAGACCGCTTACGAGTTGATTCTGAACGCCTCAAAGTCTATCCGCTCGATCCTTGCCCAATATGAGATTAAGACAAAGGGTGACATTATCATCCAGACCTACGATGCCACCAGCTACAAGACCGTCTCAGACGAGCTCACAAGCATTAAGTCCCTGGGTGGAAAAACCTTAGGCGAGCTCAGCGTGCTCGGCCCGGAGAACACCAACCCCCCTTCAGGCTGTGTAGTCGCTCCCGTGAGCTCAGAAGCTGCTGTCTATCTCCGTGTCTCGAAGGAAGTCGCCTTGGAACAGGAAGAAAAGGCTAAGGCTAGTCTCGAAAAGGCGCGTGAGACAGTGCGTCGCCAGCAGAAGCTCATCAGCGGTGCTGGATGGAAGGAGAAGGTTAAGCCTGAAGTCCGCGATGCTGAAGAGAAGAAAATGCGTGATGCTGAGAGCGAAATGGCTCGCCTAGAGGAACAGATCCGTGAGTTTGAGAAGCTGCGGCTAGAGTAGACCTCGCAGTCCGAATTCATGACATAGTGGTGTATTGAATCAATGTCGTCTTTTGTGCGTTTCATGCAATAACAGTACTGTCAAGAAGTACATTTGTAGATCATTTCTTTTAGCCAGTCCACGAAAGTTGGAAGTTCGTGACGGTACGTCCTACGGAGGGGTCAGCCTAAGTCTTGACATTAAGCTTATCGATAAGCGATGCCAAGAAGCTTTCCGCCAAAAGTTTTCACTCCGCCTTTTTCATTTTGTTCTCACAGCCCAGTCAGTGACCCCCTTATCACCTCAAAATAAGTCATTCGGTGTTCAGCATTGGTCAAAATGCTTAGAGAAGTGTGAGTGCAGTCTATTGGCTTTTTGTCGTCAACGCTATAAAGTGCCTAAGTCAGCATACTTACATTTAAATCTCTAACACACTAGAAAACCAAAAAATGCGCGCACAGCGCGCATCTTGAAGGCCAAAGAACCTCAGCTCATTGAACCCCCCAAGCGCACGCTATTGTTGCATGGCTCCAAATGCCCGCAAGCACTACACACTGTTTTGAAGACCTTTCACTCCCTGACAAGGCCCAACTCAGTCCTATTTCACAAGAAGAACGAGAATATCCACCCGTTTGAGAGCGTGGAAAGTCTTGAATTTTTGGCCAACAAAAACGAATGTGGTCTTGTGGTATTCGGTAGCAGCAACAAAAAGCGACCCAACTGCGTCACTTTGGCACGTGTATTCGATTCCAAGATCCTTGACATGTGCGAGTTGATGCTACTGCCGCACCCTGATGCGGATCAACACACTGATCTGGCTATGCACATCGGCATCGGATTGCGGCCCATGATCCTCTTCTCAGGCAGCGCTTGGGACGACTCGACCTCAGTGGCACACGTTATGCTGAAGAGCATGTTCCTGGACCTGTTCAAGGGTGAGACAAATGATAAGATTGATGTGGAAGGGTTGCAATATATTTTGATGATTGGTGCCGAGGAATCCACTGAAGGGTTGGCCCCTGTTGTCCATCTGCGGTGGTACAAGCTTCGCACTAAGCGCAGTGGTCACAAGCTTCCTCGGGTGGAGCTAGATGAGATTGGACCTAAGTTTGACTTCAAGATCGGACGTCTACAGGAGGCTCCTCGGGACGCGATGAAGGAGGCTATGAAGCAGGGCAAGAGACCCAACGAGGAGATCAAGATGAAGAAGAACATCAGCATGGACTCAATCGGTGATAAGATCGGTCGCGTCCACTTGGGCAAGCAGGATCTCAGCGGCTTGCAAACCCGGAAGATGAAGGGATTGAAGCGCCGCGCAGGGGTGGAGTCGGATGAGGATGACGAGGATCAGGACATGATAGACGTGAGCGAGATCTCGGAGGATGAAGGACGCAAGCGAACCAAAACGGCATGAAGGTCTTGTTGAAATGCATTGTATTGCGAATTGATTTATTCGACTTACTATATCTATCTAACCTTGCGCACGAGGCGTTTCTGGGGGGGGTTCGGTTTTCACTCTGGCCATGGTCCAGCACCTACCTCATATTTGAACCTGTTCGATACGTGCTTATTTCATATAAACTCGCAAATGAAAAAAGTATTATCAGCCTCACTTCAACTTATCTGAATCTGATCGTCAAGCTGTCCTTCGTATTAGGTTTCAACGGAGGCATAAAAGATGCACCACGTGACCATGACGTTGCGCTCGGCTCGTCTCTCACATGCCGAGGATCTCGTCTCTGGCCTCGCGGATCATCACAGCTCCCATAAATGCCGTACTCCCCCACTCAACCCGAACTGCTCCTTTGGATGTCTTCTAGGTTTGGAGCAGCGTTCTTTGTTGCTCAACAACCCTGAAGTCTCCATGTTCTGCAGCTTCTATCTTGGATTTTGCCGGTAAAAGCAAGTCTGATCGCTACATGCGGTTCGTTTAGTCGGCCGAGGTCCAGTTTTCAAAATAAGCACGATGGATGCTCTTACAGTAAGGTCGCACTCTTTCAAACCCAACCCCGCCAAAACTACGCCGTGCTAAACACTCTTCAGGCTTCTATGGACGCTCTGGTCACCAATCCTGAGCTTGCACCGCTTCTGTCCCTCCTCAAGGGCATTCGCAATGGTGCTGTCTACGGGGCCAAGGTCCGCTTTCCGCATGCTCTGGTGTATGTTCCCTTGATACCCGGCTAGTCGAGTAACTTCTATGAGAAGCGTGGCTGACCCAATATTTTATCCTCCATAGGATGATTTTACTTTTTCGTTCGGGAACGTATGGCAGCCCAGTCTTCTTTCGAGCAAATACAGTCCAGTCATACTAATTATTACAGCTTCCGCGAGAAAGCTAATCTTGTCTTCAAAGCCACACGTCAACATGCTCGGAATTTAGCCACCTTTGCGCTGATATATAAGGGCTCAATGATCCTGTTGCGCAATGTCAACCCAGTTGCTGCTGGGAAGGAAGGGCGATATGACAGTTTCTTTGCTGGATTACTAGGAGGCTATGCAGTATTTGGTCGGCACAAAACCAGCATCACCCAACAGGTACGTGGCTGGCTACTCTACGCTGGAATCGAATATGCACTAACAATGTCTTCAGATTGTGATCTATATCTTTGCTCGTGTGGTGCTTGCTTTAGCCAAACTTGCCATTCGTCCGGGGATGCACCCGCTTTCCTCTCTCATCACCCCAGAAACACGAATTCAGATAGAAAGCAATGCCTGGCCGGTATTTGCCAGTTTGTCCTGGGCATCGGTTATGTATATCTTCCGCTGGCATCCAGATACTTTGATGTCAAGTCTTAGGAGTAGCATGGTGTACATGTATGCTATAACATTCGTTGTCTCGCCTGCCTATTGCAATGCTAATCTTTCTCTTTCAGTTACTCCGATTCCGATCACTGGGACTCGTTCCGCAATTTTTTGATCCACAACAAATGACCTCACTATGAAAACCTGCGTTGTTTTTACCTATGACCACTTCCATTATCTGGGATACCTCTCATGATGGCATATAGATATGGTGCGTTTAGAGTGTTGTTATCTCTTGCACTGAATATCCCTCTACCTTCGTGACTTATTGCTTGGGCAAGCGGAAGCGTGCAGCGGCCGTATCCCTGATGCCCTACTGCAGGCGGTTTGGGAAGTCAAGCACACAATAGAAACTGGGTGCTACATAAAATGGGCCCGCTGCATGCAGAAATGAATCTCAGACCGTTAAGACAATCTGCTCGGGAGACAATCTTCCGATTCATGTGGTGCTCAAGGTTTGTTGACAAACCTCCGCGCGGAACAAGCGAGAAGGGTAGCAAAATGAAACGTCGGCTTCATAAAATCATGTATATCCAACCCAGAAATCTTGGCCTTGACATATGTGAAACTGGGCCTTTAAACTCCAACTCGTATGAGACCAGAGGTCATTTTGACCTCATGCTGGAAATATAAGTCATCATGATCATGTCTCAGAGCAATCCTATGAGCTAACCATTGATCTCCATTGACTTTATGAGGTAGCCCATGATTATGGACTAATGCCTGTGTTGTCGGATAACGCATAAGTGGTAGCGCCCATAGAACGTTTGCATCAAGGCGGTGCCAGGGATGTCGAAGCCTCTGATCGCAGTTCACTGGCATGTTGTTGGTCGAGATTTCAAAGATTTCCATGATTCAGACCCAGTGTGCTGTCTGCCGTCTACGGCCACTGGATGAGGTGTTCATTCCAAACAGGTTCCCAAGCTCTCGTTGAGAAGCTTCAGAGTCAAACTGAACTGTTGCCAGGCGTCCTCTTTAAGTTTAGGATCATGGGGGTCCACGCCTAGACCTTTGATACTAGATGATGTCAGAGACAACACTCTTAGATCTTAACTGGATACAGATAAAACTCACGGTCGGGGATCCCGCCTGACTTTGGGATGTTGCCAGTACTTCATGAACATCAAGTTCCTCATAATCCTGTGCTCCAGGCCTGCAGATTCGGATGCTCTCTGGAGAAATCGAACAGTATTGGCTACTCTCTGTAGATCCAGGTTTCCTAGAGTGGATGAACGGAAAGAGCAGCGCAGGGTGTGGAGAAGGACGTATCGAGCCGGCGTCGAGTAATTCACAGCTTTGAGCCCGTGGCGATACAATTGGCGATAGGCATCAACGACACATTTCGAGTCTCCTAAAGATTTGAAGGGGTGCACTGGAGAAACCATCTCGCTTCAAGTTCGAGTTGGTGCCGCGTACCTGCGTCGACGTACGGAATAGAACTAGCCAAACGGATAGGCAAAATTAGACTACTCGTAGTACAGTAACTAACAGCACCGTACGAAGTACGGAGTACATATATCAATTGCTGCAAGCCGCGCGGGGCGGCGTCGGCGGTTATTGACACTAGCCAGATCCGACAGGCATCATGAGCACCCGCGCGTTAGGCCGCAAAGGGTTTAAGTTGGGTCGGGCTTCTTTAGCTTACTACTATCGTACTGCTCTCCCACCTGTCTGTCTGTCTGTCTGTCTGTCTGCCCATCTGTCTATCTGCATGCTCCGCCCAGCCTGCTTGCTCACTCTTCTTCCTTATACTCGAGTATCACCTACGTGCTATTTCACTTGGCCTCATTTCAAGCTGGTCTTTCTTTCGATATTTCTGGCTCCTCGTGCCGCGTGCATCGGACTTTCTTTTGGGGGACCAGCCGTTATTGCTGCTGCGGAGTACCACCGCGCGTGCCTTGTTGCGTAGAAATATGTGATTTGGCTAACCAGTCTCATCACCTTCTCTCCTTTCATTCAACAACAGGGCATTATCCCACCTTGGACCCCCCTCCGTCTGATGATAGTCCTGTCAAGTTTCCCTCGCTGGGCTGTCAATTAATGCAGTTGGTGCGCGAACGAATTAAACTGATGCAGGTAAAATGAAGGATTGTCTCCTGTAGAGACGTGAGAAGACTCCTTCAGCATCATGGCCAGAGTATCAGGGAGAGCCACATCGGTCTTTGCCAGGCGTGCACCGAGCAGAAATGTCAAAAAAACAGCGCGCAAACATAAAGTGATTCTGGAATCTGTCACACAGGAGAAGAAAAAACTTCGAAGTGTCGTATGTTCTTGGTCTTGCTCACATCTCACGGGCATTTTTGACAATCAAGTTAGATATCGTTCGAAGCAAAAGCCCCTCCCGGTTACACCTTCATTCCGGCAGGAAATCCTCAGCTCACAACTGCCTGTAAGGAAGTCTGTCGAAAGGACAGTTTGAAGGTGTTTGCTGTTTCGGTATGCCGACTGACAGCCATGTTGTTCTATTTATCATCTTCTTTGCCATCAGCCCACGCTTCGTTGTTCTAATTTTCACTTGATAGACAACACCGCATATGCACACACACAACCTCTCTCAGCATGTTCATCGGATAGGATATCACTTTCCCAGTGCAGTTGTCGCAAGAGTCTGCATGGATCTGGGACTCCATCTTACAACAACAGGGAAAGCAATGCCATTTCAGACCGTGGGTATCGACAAGTCTCGCAAACGTGCTAACTCGGATGCGTCTCAGACGACCATCAACACTGAGGCGAGGGATGTAATCAAGGATCTCTTTCCTAATATCCCAGATAATGACCTGAATCAAATCATAAAAACTGCTTTCCAGAAGGTATGTAGATCACAACCTCAATCGAATCTTTCCACCTTCAAAGCAGGAAAGTAGACGTTACAGGGCGAAGATTACTAAGTTAATGTCCAGGGTCAGCGGAAGGTGGGCACGGCGGTAGAGTTGCCTTTGGCCCGCCGCGCCCAGCTAGCAGTCGTAGCCCATATACGTCATATTTACACCGAGTACGATCATTTATTGAAAGCAACGTCGTTTCACGAGGCGAGAAGCGTCGTCGAAGAGCCTACTTTAGCCAAGTTGGTTGAATGGAGGGGTGACGATGAGAATGGAAAGATCGTTCTTGAGGATGTCTTCCGTGAGGTCATTGTGATATCCGATGACGAAGACAGTGACACGGAGGAAGAGGCAATGCAGTCCTTCAATCGTGGACAAAGTGTGGTAGTTGTCTCTAGCCATCCGCGGGCTGAAGAACTACATACAAATCCAGTCACATATGTCGCGTCTACCCTACGCGAAGCTCGGCTGGATATATCGGATGAGGAAGCACCGCCTGGATTCCGTTTCGTTCCTAAAATCCCTAGGAATGACAGGCTTGATCGTCGTGGATTCAGCCGGTATCAAGCGTGGGACCGTGCTATTAACAGGTATAGAAATGTAACAGACGGTGCTAATCCACGCAAACCCGCGGGAAACTCACCCGCCATCCAACAACCATTGATTAGTCGACGGTCGTTACAAGAGACAGCCGGCCTTGGTTCAGAGTCGATGTTCTACCATGTTGAGGATAGACAAATGTTATCTGTCCCATCCCAGATGACGAATGATGTGGAAATATCTAGCACTGCGCCGAGAAGAACACTGGCGAATAATGCATTAGATCATCATGTGAGTCAATTCTGCCAACGCAGCGACCTGAACAATCATTATGCTGACTCTTAAGCTGCCGTATGCATTGCTTCAGGCAACCGAGAGACCATACCAGGTAAACAGATTCTCACCCCAGTCCAGTGGACCCCCCCTGGATCGAGCACAGCTTCCACAGGGAGTAAATCGGATTATTCCCAATGATGAACCAGCGAATGGCCCTGTCTTTGTGAGTAGCCATAGAATCGTATCTGGACACCCGATTGGACAGCAGAGGCGTCTGGAACACCCACACAGCAGGACTATCTCACACCCGGAGGATCGCGCCTTGCCCTCTATAGAGAACCCGTTTCCCGTGGAACCAGGACGCTCCAATTGTGGCCTGGTGGAGAAGCTTACCAAGAGGATGTCTGGAGGATTTGCAATACGCTCTGTAACTCCCACTCGTTTACCTCTTCGGGAAGCCCCTCGTCGTGGAATTGATGAGACCGTCCAATATCAAACAGCAAAGCGCAGACGAACCGCAGTCTATGACCTGACACAAACAGAGAATTCCCGCCAGAGTTTCCCTTCTGCTATTGTGGGGAGTGCTCATCCAGGGGAGCAGTCGGCTCTTTCGACATATATTTCCCCGGGAAGAGGTTCGGTTCAAGAAAATCCTTCTCTCCGTAGGAACTATGCAGCCCCAGTTGTTTCCATTTATACTACTGATCGTCAGCCCGAGGATAAGTTATATCCACCCCATACCCACCGGGTTAACTTCAGGGAAGATGCGATCCCACGTCGCATGTCGTTCCACAACATTGGTAGTGCCGCATGCAATACATTTTCAAGTGAGATACCCACTCACTACAGATCTCCGGCCGAATCCCGTGCTGCGCCATCCTTGCGGTATGCCATCGTCGAGAGTAGAAAGAATGAAGGGCTAGCGCCCATTCAGACCATTGGCATGGCAGAAAACAATCGTGGCCCGCGGGTGCTCAGGCGCGATAATAATCGCCTCAGGCTGCCCGAGGTGGAAGAAACACAGCCAGATGCTTGGAGTGACAAAAACCAACTTTATGCTCCTGCTTCGCAAGAGATGTCTCAGAGAAAGGGCCATTATGCTGAAGACTTTGTTCGTGCCATTGATCTGAGTAATTCCGAACCATTGGAGTATGTGCCGGAACGTCGTCTTCAGGCAATCCACGCTTTAGATACCCGCCCTGGACCTGGCAGGGTTGACCTTGCCCGCGGTAGTCAGCATGTTAACCAACAGGCTGAGCCAGGATTACGAGTCCTCCCCGACCTTGTTCAAGCGAACCCCAGGGGGAGTTCCACTTTTCAGAGATACGGCGTAGTCGATGACGGAAGTCAGCGCTATCGCGGAATGCAAGAAGCTTCGATATCCGCAATGCGCTACACCGACGGACGTTATGAAGGAGCACCAGTGCTTCCACGGTATGGGCAGCCCTCGACTCGTCAAAGTCTACTAAATGATCATAAGCTAACCGAAACAATTGCGACAGAGACTTACCTGAGCTTCAGCGCTACGGCCTACGAACCCAGGAACCATCCTATCCTACATATTTAAGAGAGTCTGAACGACCTCGCCCCTCAATCCCGGATGGTAGAGCCATTGTTATCGTGGATTGATACTTGTTCGTTCTCATTCACAGTGTAAATTTCATTGGTGATGTACATACATATATATTCTTACAGATGCAGCATGCATGATACCCAATTCTACAACAATACAAGTAATAGGTCGAGAAGGCCTACTGCCCTCCATGACGTTATTGGCGTGTATGACTAGTTCATAAAACAGATCTTGTTCGCAGGTGTTGACCCGGGAAAAGAGAACGTCTAAGATGAAAAGCAAGCCGAGAAAAAAATGAAAGTGCAGTCCGTCCCAATCAAGACCATTCCCGAGAACCACTGTCACCTATTGACCTCTATTTCTCGCTAAATGACACGTTCAGACACTCTGGGGCTGCCCATCCGCATTACCACCGGTGACTGCTTTCCCGGTCTTCTTGATCGTCGCTAACACGGTCTCGTAGGACACGGAGGAGTCCGTCACAACAGTCGCAGTTTGCGACTCCAGGCTCACATCGAAAGACTTGACACCTATTGCGTCCTTAGTTTTTGAAAGCGTGCCCAGGGAGGGGAGAGAGAAAGAGCACATGGACCCGAAAGGAAAAAAGCAAGGAGAGACACAGGGAAAAGAGAGAGAAAAAGAAGGCGGAAGCAGAAACAGGAACAAGGCTGGATATACCTTCAAGTCTCTTAAGGACTCGTTCCACGGCTCCGGAGCAGCCACCGCAGCTCATGGTGACGTCGAATTTGTATTGGTGGTCCGACATGATGGCCTGGGTAAAGGCGTGTCAAATCAATAGAGATAAGAGGGAGAATGGCGGTGAGGGTATGATTCAATGATTGATTCTTCTTTTCGTCCCGGCTGGCCTCTTCTTTAGTTCAGTGATGCTCAGAGACTAAATTAAGCAGCCTGTACGGAGTAGAAGCTCCGGCTCTTTGGGAAAGCAGAATTCGCAATGCTGTAAATAAGGATAGATAATGATGGCGGGGCCCAAGTTGGAGACGCAAGGTGGAGGGGTAAATTATCTTGTGGGGCAAAAGGCAATTTTTGTACTCCGTATGGTACCTGAGTTCTGCTCGTACAGGTTGACAGCTCACCGAATAAGAAGAGGGAGAAAGAGGCAAGGTGGATATTTTTACCGTCGACTTTCTTCCCCTTTTCTTTTTGTCTTTGATTCGGGTCGAAAAAAACAGGTAGGAGGGGGAATATTGAGATAGATTGACAAAGAATAGACTCGGAGTACAGCTCCGTCAGTCTATTTATATACGGGAGTCGATGCACAAAAAGAGAAAACGCAATAAGCGCTCATCTTGTCAGTGCGAGTATTTATCGCGGCGGATATCGTGACCGGCTTAAAAGAACTACATGAATACTGTACATGCTTAAAAAACACATATGGCAGATTCATTGGCACCTAGAAGCCCGCTGCCCGCTTCTTCTTCCTTGCCTTCACCGAATTCTTTTGCCCAGTCTCGCGACCACCAAACATACCGCGTTCGATTTGCGTCATCGATACGCTCTCGTCTACCATTTGACTGCTATGCAATCGCAAACTAGGAGGCTGAAGGTTTTCTGGCTGGCTACCCCATGTCCGAGTTGTGTCAGTGGCGACGACAGGTGTGGGAAGAGCGATTGAGCCATCTTGTTGACTGCCATGCAGCGAGACCGTCCTTCGTGATCGCCGACGCTTGGGAGTAGTGGCTATTGTTGCCTGAGTTCCTGCTACATTTCGCTGCCAGCTGTATTCGGCTGGGTTGGCTCCAGGTTGCCAATGCTGCAGGATGTCTGATATGCCTGGATTCATTGCCTGCTCAGATTTGAAGGTGGTGATAGCCGATAAACCGGTGGATGCTAGCGACAAGTCTTCTTGCTCACTCTCGTCTAGCTCGCACGCTAGCCTGCTCGCCATGCTGCTGGGAAATGCGCTTTCGTCGCTATGCTCAGATATAGCAGCTGATAGGCTTTCCTCATTTTCATTTGAGCTTCTTGCAGGTAAGGATGACACTTGTGAACCAACTTGTTCAAAATCCCTGAAACCATGTCCTGGTACCGCGCACCTTATACTGAATTGTGCTAGAATCAAATCCGCTACCACACTCCGGATGATCTGTTCTTTCATGAATCGTGTGCGCCCAGGTGTGTTGGGCGGTAAATACCCAAGCCATTCCCCGACCAATTCCTCATATAGTGTGGTGGGACTCAAGGGTCGATTGACATCAGCTAAAGTGATCGATGTGAAGATATAGGAGACTTGGTTCGCGAAATAGACGAGGTTGAGTAGACCTGGACGGCTCTTGACCGTTCGTGACCAGAATGCTGTCCATTCGTGCGCATTTCGATCGATATCATTCAACACTGAGTGCTCACCAAGAATCTCGAGCCTTGCGTATGGTAAGCCTCTTTTTGCAAAGTAAAGGTTCAAGGAGAGCGAACTCTTAAACTTACCCAGTCTGATTTCTGAATTGGCCACTAGCTTCAGCATCTGCAAGCAATACCTCCAGCTGCTGGATCACCTTGTCAAGGCTATTGCTAACATGTTTCCCTGCACCTCCCCTACTCGATGATAGTCCCAGCCTGCTGGTTGCAACAGCGTAGACCCGTGTATAATCCAGGGTCCACTGCGGAATTGTAAGTGGTGTGATATTAGACATTGCGGCATCTGAAGTTAAGACGCCACTCCGTGAAGTCGACTCGTCCCAGTCATGCGTCACGAAGTCATCTCCAAAGGCAACTGATTGAGTCCCTGGAGCCCGCCTTTTGGCTTTCAAAACACCCAGTGGAAGTGGGTCTCCATCTGCGGCACTGTCACGAGCAAATCCGATATACACAGATTCTTGCACAGAGAGATGTGAATCCAATGCAAAGAGCTTTAGAATGCTGGCTCTAACGCTGGATTCGTTGCTGATTGGTAGTGGCAGACGGCCAGTTGCTCTGAAAATGAGCGTTGAGAATTGCGTACCGTTCGGCGACAGCTGGTGATCTGAAGGGATATCAGACGGTGGAATGTCTAGTATAAAAGGGTCATGTAGGGTTATGGTTTCTGCCTCAGTGTCATGTACATAAGAACAAGGAAAGACAAGTGTGAATGGATTAAGCCGTGAATAGAGCATGAGATGAAGGTCTGATAATCAGTTGTCAGCATGAAGTTAAGCCCGAGTAAAAGCCTGCCGTGCTGGTGAGTATTACCTTCATGTATAAGGAAAGAATGAAGTCGCATTGTCGTGTCTCCCGAGTCTCGAAAATGGCGCCATGACAGTTGAGGAAACACCGCAGGCCTCGAGTCGCCGGTGGCTAGATCTGACGCGGATGCAACAGCCAGCCAAAATATTCGGGATGTTGTCAGAATGAAGACATGGGACACGTTGCTGGCGCTGCGTTTGATGTCTAGGATCCATTCGGACTTTCTCTTCAAACCGAGTTCGATTGGATATGGGCAGACCTGACCGTTTTGCGTTCGATATAACATCAGGCAGCGCCGATCACATACAATAAAGCTGTTGACATCTCTCACCCATTCGATAGCCGCCCATCCGTCGTGATGAGGGCGGTCATCACTGTCTTGGCTATCGTCGAAATCTAGCCATGGCAATGAGCCAGTCTTCACACATGCGGCCATCCAACTACTCCTGTTTTTACTATGTCGACCAGACAGGTCCCATATACTCCATCCTCCTCGCACGTCGACAATACCAATTTGCTTCTGATACCAAGGATTAAAGGTGACGTCTGCATGCGCATACCCTCCGGTTTGTGAGATGGAGATTTCCACCACAGGATTAGCATCAAGGCGAGACATGCAGCACTCAAATGACAGCTTATGATCGCGCATCCGGGCAACCGGTGAAGGGATGGGATTCCGATGGTACTGTGGCCTGAAGATAGTCGTAAATTGAGGTAAACGAGCCGCCATCCATGTCGCTTGCTCCTCGACTGGGCGAGCGAAACAGATCTGGCGAACAGCAGCACCTCTTACAGACCAGTCGGTCCTTTCAGTATTTCCGATGGAGGAAACACGCGCCTTCTGTGTTGTTTCGCATTTTAACTCAATTGTATTTTCCTCGAGTTTTCGGAAAGAAACGACATTTCCGCATTCTCCTGATGCGATGATCGCGATGGGTACTCCACGGGCACCTGACTCGCTATTCTCCAAATCTACGGCGTAACCGAAGTCGAGCAGGGAGGAGACCGAGGGATCACATAATTCACTGGATGTCGTGATGACGTGCGAAGCATTCTCTTCAGACGCAAGAGGCCAACAGGCTGCTAACTCGGGGAAAACGTGAGGTAGAAGGCCCTTGTTTTCAATCAGGGATGACTGGGGTGCGGTCAAAGGCGATTTGACGGCATGCTTATTGACACCGGCGTAAGCAATGGGGAAAGCTTTGAATAGGAGAGGGTCAGTCTTCGCCTAGAGAGGCATATCTTTGGCCCGGGGCGGCTTACTTGGGGCCAATGTCCGTGGAAACAGCCAAGTCTGGGTCTCTGAAATGTATTTCGGTCGTCCCAAGTGCCCATATTGTAGCGCACCTAAGAGTTGTTCATCCATCTGGTCCGTTCTTGCTCCAGGTAACATGTTCTACCTGGGGCTGTCTAGTCGTGAGCATATCGAGCAACACTGATCCCAATTATTTGTTCAAAGTGAGATAAACACGAGTGCATGGGTGAGTACGAATGAGAATCGAAAGCGGCTTCAAGCAGCCGGCAAGTCAATAACCATGCGTCAGTGACATAAAAAAGAAGGTCTCTTATGCAACTCTACGAGATGGTTCGGCCTTGCAAGATACCGCAAGGCTAGGGAAAAAAAGATAGTAGGTACTAGGCTCATCAATGCCAAGCTTGTGACCCGGCGGTTGCGCCGCAACAAGTGCCGACATCCTAGTGTCCGTCCGTGGATATCCTGGTGAAAACAACTACGTTGCCCGATTTCATATCGTGATCATCCCCCCGCTCGCTCTTGGCTCGCTCGTCAATTTCCTTACAAACAATGAATACCACGTTCGATCCCTCGCTGTCGACAAGTGGCATGCGCCCGCCTCTCACGTCGGCTGATGCGCCGTCGATGGCCGACTCATTGCCTAGCATCAACTTCGGATTTGAGGACCTACGGAATCGCATGGCTCAATTTACAGCTCGTTTCGATGCCTTCATCGAGCGGGGCCGTAAACAAGTTCTGGAGGAGAGAAATCAATTCAAAAGCGGATTAGCAGAACTTCAGGGTAAGTACGCCAATCTGACGCGTTGGAACGCGAACATCCTTTTGCTAAATCGCGGCTCCCAGAGGATCAGCGCATGAGACACAGGGATATCGAGATCCTTGACTTGAAAGCACAAACCCATCAGCAGACTCTACAGAAGGAGGCCGCCGAAGCCGCGGAAATGCACGCGGCCATCTCCTCCGTCACCTTGGAACGCGACTCTCGGCTTGCTAAGCGCGATCGCTTGAAGCAGCAAATCGACGAGACTCAGAAAACGATTAACCAAAGACTGGAAGCGCAGAAGTCCCACGCTAAATATCTAGATACACAGGCTCGACTCAACATACCTGAATTGGTTTTCTGGCAAGATTATCTCTGCTTACGAATTGAGGGAGCGGGCCGCGAGGATCGGTTGAAGTTCGTTTACACGCACTTATTGGAGAAAGACTGGGACGCTGAGGCTTGGTTTGAGCTTGGAACCGCGAGCCGGGACTATGATGTCTTCCACACGCGACCCAAGATCAATCGAGAAGCCCTAGAACGGGAACTGGATATCGTAAATGAAGATCGCGATTTTGGGGGTTTCCTGAAGAGGATGCGGAAGTTGTTCGTCGAAACAATGAAATAACGAGCTACTGGACAAGACAGAAATGCTTGATGATACATGCTTATGAATACGACTCGGATGATGCTGCAGGAAAACTAACTGTATGCGGGAAGATGGACTCCCAGCGAAGCCGCATCACCCCCGGGCATTTGGCAAGCGATTTGGAAAATCGGGCGGCTGAAGGACACTTTCCATAAGTTAGAGCCACTTAGTTAGCTTTAGTCAATTTTCTAAAGATCAGCCACCCGTGGCCTCGCGGTAGAACGATATGCTTCTACTTGCTCCCGCAGTGGCAAATCCTTCCGAGCGGCCGATTTTCGGCAGCCATCTCACACTCCAGATAGACTTCTCGGTTTCGGAGTGAGTGGCTACACATGCCCTGGTGTCAATTGACCACACCTTGACTTTTCCATCGAAAGAGCTGTCCGCTGTAAGTATCACTGCTAGCAGGCGTACTACGGGTGTACCTACCCGCTAAGAAGATATTCTCCCGTATTGCTCCACGAGAGAGACATAATCCACGCTGCATGACCTGATAGATTGGCCACTTGTTCACCAGACGATGTGTCATATAACACGATAACCTTCGAATCTCCCGCAGCAGCAAGGAACTTCCCTCCTGGAGAGAAAGCAACTGCTCTGACAGGTTTCACTAGGCCTATTGAGTGTTAATATAATGAGTCGTTAATATATTTGCACCTTGGAGTGATAAAAGTGAGTCGAGTCTCTTACCAGATAAGCTGAATGGCATGCGACCCGTTTCTGTACTGAAGATGTACACGCTACCATTTTCATGTCCACTTGCAAGGAATCGACCATCTGCGGACTATGGGGTAATATGAGCTTCCATCAGCGACAAAGGATAATTTCGCGTGTTACCAGGTCTATGCAGGTGCCGAAACTACCCTTAGTTTCGTAGTCTCGAATCTCTTCACCATTTGCGTTCAGGTCCCAGACTTTGACGTGTCCATCTTGGCTCACACCAGCAAGATATTGCCCGTCCGCGGACAAGGCAATTGCCCAGATGCCCGCAGACCCAGTCGGGTTTACTAAGGCTAGGTTAATAGGGCTTTCGCATTTGTCTAAGCAAGCTAGGCAGACAGCAAGAGTTACTTGCCTGAGGCGGTACGATCTTTAGACCAGACATTGTCGTGGCAGGACCAGATCGCGATCTCCCCCGCAAACCCAATGCTAGCTGCTCGTGATCCCCTGAGATTGGTGACGACATGGTGACAGCCAAGCTTATGGGCGTCATCAATGGACTGGATTAACGGGAATTCGGGATCGAGGGTCGAATGGACTTTGAGAGAAGAGGATCCAGAGGCTGAGAAGCAGAACTTGTCAGTCACGGCCAGCCCGTAGATGTCGGTAGGGTGTGCTATGCAGAAGTGTTAGCACGATTATTGCACAAGTGGCATATGTACTCGGATATATGAACCATTGTCTGCAGAACCGCAGGAAAGGTATTGTTTCGACTAGAACCTCCAGTTTTCGTGTTAGAATCAAGGCTCGCAAAGAAATGTCGGTTTTCAATATGCACATTACCATGACAGATTGTGTAGTCAATGCATCGGTTCTTGACAGGCAGGGACCGATAGAAGCAGGTTGCGAGAAGGGGGATGGGCGCTAGCTGCAAGAGCTGGGTACTGATGAAAATGCAAGACTAAACTACAGTCATTGCGGGACAATCTCACAGGACGGTTGGATAAGATCATGAATAGCGGGTACGCGGAACATCAAGTCACTTCTACCATTACCTTATGTCATAAGGTTTCCCCATCATTTTGAAGGACAGGTGCATAATACGATCCTTTAGATACACGGTAACAATAAAAAGGGTAATCAAGATAAATCGGACAAGAACTTGAAGTGAAACATGAACCCTTAATTTGACCAAACGCCGAATGCCATGCAGCATTTATCCTACATATCATATGGACCCGATAGTTATACAAGCCCAGCCAAACATAAATCAAACATCTATCGTCACTCTGAGCTTCCTCGTCTTGTCGCTTCACTCGGCATTTTTGCGGCCCCATTCCTTCTTGATACCTGAAGATGAGATTAGCTGATGAGACGGACCCTTCAGCCACACTTCACGATAATCAAACTTACTCGAAACACAGTGCGGGCACAGAACATGTGCGCGCTTGATCTGACCACAGCCGGAGCAGGTGCTAAGACTCCTGACATCCTTCAATGCTTTGCCAGCCATCTGCCTATGACGTTTCTTCATATGGGAGGTTTTCTTCTTCGGGACGGCACGGAGGACAGACTCCCAGAGGTCGGTCAGAATCCCAGGGAAGGTTAGCGAAAAGGCAGCCGGCCTCAGGAGAGACTGCGCCATTGCAGAGGCATTGATTGTGAATTGAGACCAGCGATCGGCTGCGGCGTTGGCGAGAGCTGGAGAAAAGAACTGAGCCTGGGATACTGGCCCCTGGGCGGAGAGACGGGAGGAGAGTAGTCGTAAGGTCATTGGGAGGCTGCGGACGATCTCGACGGGGAAGTGTTGGAAAGGCGCACACTGGACGAGGGGAGGTGCGTCAGGACTGATAGGCAAAATGAATTCAATGCGGAAACAAATAAATCTTCAGTTGAAGCTTCAAATTGGCGGCGGATGGCCCGATTGGGGTCTGGAGAGCCACTAATCTGTGTTGGGACTAGCGGTTCCCCTGAGTCGCGACAACAACGGCAATTCAGAGGGAACACTGGAACTTAAGGGGAATGCATCCATCAGTCCATTAGTCCATCTTTCCCTCTCTTCCTCTCTTTCTCCCCTTGTTCGTTTCATCAGTCTCGTTCCTTCCTCCAATTCTTCCTCCCACCTTGTCCTCTCGTTGGAGAACTGCTGTTCGCCTCTCTTTTTCACCTCGGCCTCGCTCCCTGCTTCTTCCCTGTCCTCCCCCACCGACACTTTGTTGGAGGCTGCTACTCCTGCTATCTAGATACCAATCTACTATCTACGACCACTATCAACCTATTCTCCACACCCCACTCCTTTTCCATCTTCTCTCCATTCCAGCGCAATGGCTGCCGCGGCGAACTCTACCCCTGCGTCCGTCTTCCCCCGTAGTCATGTCGGTTTCGACAGTATCACTTCTCAGATTGAGCGGAAGCTCTTGAAGCGTGGATTTCAATTTAATGTGATGTGCGTCGGTGAGTTTCTGCATGCCCGGGGACAGCCGTACCTCCTATGTGCGGCGTACACTGATATACATGCATAGGACAAACCGGCTTAGGAAAGTCGACCTTGATCAACACTATCTTCGCGTCTCACCTGATGGACTCCAAGGGTCGCCTGGCCCCCAACGAACCCGTTCGTTCGACTACTGAGATCCAGACCGTCTCGCATAGTATGTCCTCTGCCCATTGCTGATCTGCCTGGTCATCAGACTAATGATTGGCACTTCAGTCATTGAGGAGAATGGCGTACGTCTCAGGCTAAACATCGTCGACACCCCGGGTTATGGCGATCAGGTCAACAATGACAGATGGTAACCGGGCCAATTGATCCCAGTCACAGAAGTCAAACTAACAGGTCGTATTGGTTAGCTGGGATCCCATTGTCAAGTACATCAAGGATCAACACTCCGCATACCTCCGAAAGGAGCTCACTGCTCAGCGTGATCGCTATATTCAAGATACCCGCATTCACTGCTGTCTCTTCTTCATCCAGCCATCTGGTCATGCGTGAGTCTCATAATCTTGACGTTAACCGCCTGGAAACTAATAGATTCTTGAAATAGCCTCAAGCCAATCGACATCGTCGTCCTGAAGAAGCTTTCCGATGTTGTCAACGTGGTTCCTGTCATCGCTAAAGCCGACTCGCTTACCCTTGAGGAACGCCAGGCATTCAAGGAAAGAATCAAAGAGGAGTTTACCTTTCACAATCTGAAAATGTACCCCTACGACAACGATGAGCTTGATGATGAAGAACGTGCAGTCAATGCTCAAATCAAGGTCAGCCGCCGTCTCAGATCCCGTGGTATCTCTCCCTCTAATGTCAGAATAGGACATTATTCCATTCGCTGTAGTCGGCAGTGAACGCACGATCGTTGTCAACGGCCAGCAGGTTCGTGGCCGCCAAAATCGTTGGGGTGTTATCAACGTTGAGGATGAGAATCACTGCGAATTCGTCTATCTCCGGAACTTCCTTACCCGCACCCACCTTCAGGATCTTATCGAGACAACAAGCCAGATTCACTACGAGACATTCCGTGCTAAGCAACTTCTGGCTCTCAAGGAGAGCAGTGCTGCTGGCGGCCATCCTGGTAGCAGCAGGCCCATTAGTCCCTCCGCGGACAGGGAGCTTAGCCGCAACTCGCAACGCATGACCATGAATGGCTATTAATAGGGTTTAGAAGATTGCTAGGCCTTGCTGCTTTGTGAATCAGTCGTGGGCCTTGAGCCAATTAGGGTGAATTTTTTTTTTCTTTTATTTCCTTAATGTTTTAATCTCATAGCACCAACTTCTTCTCGGCATACTTCTACAGATATCCTGTTTAACTTGACAATTCCTTCATCGTACACCTTGTCATGCAACATCTTTTGTGAGGGTTGGGTGACCTGACTAATCGTCTATTCCTTACGGAGTCGCCATTGCAAATTAAGTTAAAGCTTGCAACGAAGCGCTAAGCGTCTATTGCCGTTTTCATGTATTTAGTTTTCTTGCCTCCAGTGAGATGGATAGTGTGGACCAGTGGTCAATGCATGAGATAGGTAGCACTGTAATCATTCCGTATGCCCTGATCTATATCAACAAGAACATCCAAGTATGCTATATAATCGTTATGAGCGTCTATCAGATAGATAGTAGACGTGCCCGTCACACCAAAGCTAGGCACCGAATCTATTCCCTTTTGACAATGAAGTCCCTCAGTTCAGCATAAGCCTTTTCCAGGTCGTCATTAACGACTATCTTATCATGAGCACCAGGCTCCTTTGCATACTCGAGCTCGTTCTTCGCCTGGGTAAGACGCTTGTTTAAGCTTTCTTCCGTCTCAGTTCCTCGCCCTCGCAACCTCCTCTCCAGTTCCTCCACCGAGGGAGGGGCCAGGAACAGAAAGCGCGCATTGAGGTCAGTGCGTTTCACCTGCTTCACGCCCTATTACGAAAACGATGTAATGTCAGCAACGTTCGTCTGAGGTGCCCGATCCAGCGCTTGTGGGAGGAGCAACATACCTCCATCTCAATATCAAGAATACAGATTCGACCCTGCTCCGCAATATTCTTCACAGCTTGAACACTGGTGCCATAGTAGTTGCCGCCAAATTGCGCATGTTCAATGAATCCATTCTTGCTGACCAGGTCGAGAAAATCTTCCTTTGTTGTGAAATAATATTCGCGTCCATCTTGCTCACCGGCACGGGGGCTTCGCGTGGTATCTGAAGGGGAGATGCGTCAGAGCTCTAGACCTTCTGCCTCCGAAGCGGGGGGGGAGGTGTGAGGTTGGGCGGAAAAGTCGGACACAGTGTGGTGTATAGGAATGAACAGGAGGCAAGGTAATTTACATACGCGAGATCGAGAAGCCGAATGTGTCCGGAAATTCGGCAAAAAGCCTCTTCAGGAGAGTCGACTTTCCGGTTCCTGACGGTCCTGAGACTACAACAGGGCGGAATTTGTGCACTGCACTCGGGGTCAGTAGAAGGAAGCCTCGCTTCGATAGAACCGACGATCTTACCAGCGCTGGAAGCCATTCTTGAGGAGTAGTAGAATTTGCGCGAGAGAATTCTATTCTTGAAGGGGAGATGTACACGCGGTGTCGCTAAGCAATTCATGGTATGCAAGGAACCTTGATCGTCGGATTGACAATTCGGTGAATAGTTGCGGCAGAATATTTGGCGGTGAGTATCACTGAGGGGCTTGTGCTATCAGAAAGGGGCAGCAGCCTTAACTATGATATGGCATAGCTTATCTCATGCTAGCACGCGGTACAAGATCCAGCAACAAGCAGGGTATGCCAAAGACCCAATTCATATACACAGGAACAGTAATCAGGCCAGGGGTCATAGACCATTAGTCCTAAATGCCGACCTAGTTTCACTTCGAATGTGCCATCTCCGCTGACTGTGACTCCTGTTCCAAGAAATTGGACCACAACTCCGCCAATGATTCTTTACTTGCATTTCCGTTGTCAAGTAATTCTGATGCCAAGGTTTGACTGCTTGGTGTACGATGCATTGTTGTACTTGGGACTCTCAATTTGCCGGACATGCTCGATGTTCCTGGACGCGCCAGTCCGGCCTGCTCACGCTGCTCTATGCAGATCGTCAGTCATAATGATAAAAGTGAGACCACATTGTAATGATAATCTACTTACCATCGGTCCATCCGAGGAGCGCAGCAATGAGTTGCAAAATTTGGAATTTCTTGGGGTCCGACCGGTCAAGAGCAAGGAAATGTAGAAGATGATTTGTCACGATATGTCTAGAGATAAATTAGTTCATGCTAAAGCATCTCGACGAACAGCATTAGAATACAAGGACACACCTGTCCACGTTGTCTTCCGGTTTGCCTTTCTTGAGGAACCGCAAAGCTTTTGTCAGGTGGTCGTTGAGCGTCACCGCTTCGTGCCTTAGCTTTCCTATCAATAAATTCTTTTCTTTGACCTCCTTCTCAAATGGCCGCACTCTTTCGAGCTCAGATCGAGCGTCTTGAAATGATTTCTCGGCCTCAGACGCTTTTCTGCTTGCTTCCTGAAGGCTCTGCTTCAGTTCCTCGAGCTGAGCATCAGAGTTCTCTACCAACTCACGAAGCTCTTGCTTCCGTGCTGTTGATCATTAGTATTGTTGTGTTCTTTCAAAAATGATTGACATGCTCACCTGTCTGAATTTCCTGCAAAGCTCGCTGCAGTCCGTCTACCGCAGCCACTTGAGAGTCACGTTCTGTAGATGCTTTCTCATAGGCATCTTTGACGCTTCCAAGTTCTTCCTCCAGATCAACCATCCTCTGTTCGAGAGTTTCTCTGATAGACCGCTCTTCCATAGCGAGAACTTCCCAGTTGTGCATGGCCTCCTTTGCTTGCTCGAACTCTGATTGAAGATAGTTTCCATGTTCCAGGAGCTCTTCCTTCTCTTTCAGCCAGTTCTGCTGGGACAGATTTGTGCGATCTCGCAGAGTCGAAAGCTCTTGGAACATTTTTTTATTATCCTCAGACAACAGCTCGAGCTCACCACACCTAGCTTGGTATTCATCCTTGATGCTTGAAATTTCCTCCTCCAACTCCTCGATCTTCGATTTAGCTTGAGCGAGTTCTTCCTGCCATGAGTTACTATTTGTTAGCATGCCGTAACAGCCGATCGGGACACGAGGGTGTAGGTCATACAGCATCTTCCCTCAGTCTCTCGCCAAGTTGAGATTTGATTGTGTTCACTCTTTCCAGCAGTTTCTGGAATTGCAACTCTGCATGGTCTTTTTTGCTTTCGGCGTCATTTAGCTTCTCTTGCAGAGCTTCCATCTCCGCATGATGTTTCGACTGGATTTCCTCCAATGACTTGCGCATGTCTGTCACTTCCGCACGCAGAGTGTCCCGGTCCCGAACAAGCGCATCAAACCGTTCATTGGACTGAAAAGTCTCAGAGCTAGTAGCATGGCTTTCATAACCTGTAAGCTTAGTCGAGTGGCTAGCAGAGGTAATTGTTCCATCATCAGTCGTCTCAGTCGGTAAATCAGGGGTTGGCTTGTCTTCGCCTATGTTGTCTTCGTTCGTCCGAGAGTCGATACTATCAGGCTCATCGTTGTAAACTCCCTATCTCGCCGATAATTAGCTCAAGTGGACATTGAGGGTAGGGAGAGTAGAGGTGCCCGGGCTTACGCTTGTTTGCGCGGTTTCTTGGGTGTCCTTGAGAGCTCTATCATGAATACTGCCTTGGCATTCACTAGAAGCATTGCCTCCTATATCCTTGGGTCCGACAGCACTCTTGGCCTTCTTTTTGTTCTTTGACTTTGTGCCTGGGGTGGGGGTTTTAGCGTAAAGGGTCGGGAGTGAAGAGGGTTGCGTATCTGCACAATTGAAGACAAACCTTCAGGCATTTTCTTTTTTCTGAGAGTAAGTACTCAAATGAGTCGAGCTTGTATTTGCGGCAGGTGTTTTAGACAATGTACTTGTTGCGCAGGGGTGCTGTGATGAAGGACTGACCATAGCTGTCAACATCGCTAGCGCAGGGAGGCTGCTTCCGCAGTCCGCAGCGCTCGCTTAGCTACGCCGAGTTACCACACCCGACAGTATGGTCCAGTTCTACGAAAGTACCTAATGTGGGTCTTGGGTTTCCCTTTAATGTATATGGTGGCCCATGCTACATTTATACTAAAACCCATTTTCTCTCTATGATATCCCGAGTTCCACGCGATGTACAGCTTGTATGCACATCGGGGTGTCCCTTAAGTGAAATCCACATTTACCCCACTGTAATTTGCGAAACGGCGACAGAAAACATGGGAGTTTCCAGCCATTCTTCAATACCAGCGCCATAGCTCTATTTCTGATATGCGAACCTTGAGTGTTTTCACCAGTTCTAGGCCTCGTACTTCCCAGTCAGTTGGTGTAGGGTTTCGTGACCACGAAATAAGAAACTTCTATATCCCGCTGATGTACCCTGAAGGGGCGTCGACAATGAGCAGGGGGTGTGGTTGCATTGCCCGAAGGTAGAGCATGCGACAAGCGATAGTAGAGTTCCAGAGACGAGTCCACAGTCCACTGCCCAAGCCCTCTGCTTCACATGAAGTCATCATAGAAGTCAGAGTCCCGATCTTGGTTGCTGCTTGCTTGAACGTTCTCTTCGCTCATTAGGTCATCATAGGCATGCTCTTTCTGCCATTTCAGCTGATCACGTTCTCTCCTTTCCTGTTTCTCTTTGATCCGTTGTTCCTCTCTCACTTTGCGTTCCTCTTTGTTTTTCTTTTTCAGGAATTCGTCTTTCTCGGCTTTGAGATCGGGAAATTTTTCAACACGGGTTTTGTTTAGACGATTGACAATGGGGTTTTCTCGCTGCCGAACGAACACCTTGCGGACCAATTTATGGTTGTGGAAAGAGACCTGGCCAGCTGCCATGGATCCATCCTTCATCAAATTGGACCAAGGTGTATATATCACAGTGATGTTGTCCTTCTTGTTCCCTATAAGCTTGTTCAGTGCCCACCGTTGATTCGCTTGTTGTTCTCATCGGTATCTGCCTATAACGACTCAAGTCTGACCTTCGATTGAATTCGCCTTCGTTAGCTGGGCGCAATCTTCTAGAAGCGCCTGAGGAATCTGCTCCCAAGATTCTCCGTCACGGAGACGGAGATACACATGTGCACTTGATAAATTATCCACGTGGAACTAGAGACTGAGTTAGGCAGTCTTCAGGAACTATATTGCGGCGCGATGAGGGAAGACAAACCCTAACAGAGACGCCAAGATAAACACTACCATTAGCACCCACTTCGTGCGCCTTTCTGGCAGAATAGGACAAGGCTGTATTACCAGACATCGCTCTCTAAGCCGAATCTGATTAAGTCCTCATCTGTCCGAGCATTATGTTAGCTTTTCAGCACAACATATTTCACATGGGATGGCCACCGCGTACTTTCAAATTTATCCTTGCCAACATAGATGAAAGCTGACGGCTGGATCACATTCGATGTGAAATAATAAACCATTATGACATTGACCGCTTTGATTCTTGAAGCTCAAGCGATTTTGTTTAAATGCAAGGGTTTAGCGGGGCGAAAGATTGAACTTCGGTTCCCGGGAGCGATTAACTTACCGCCTGCGGAACTAGGAGGTACGGGTAATCACGCTCGGCTAATTTACGATTTTAGTAGGTACGTAGTTTGAACTGACAGCCAGGTGGATTAGTCACTGGTATGGAACGGCAACTAATTGGGCCACCAAGCAAGTCGATGGATAGATGACAGGTTCAGGTCATATTGAAATGTTTGCACATGCCTGCCCGAGCAGGTATCTACCAGTTGACGAAGAAAATAAAATAAATAGGTCGCGCAATTGTGGCGGTGTACAATCTTTTGATATAGCTATTGACAGGCTTATCTGTATAGTGTATAACACGTTCCCTTTCTGATAATGGTCTCAAGGGACAATGTATCATCCTGCCTGGGAATGAATGAGCTTCCAAGTACTCTCACCAGGCTTTTCCAGTCGACCATACTGTATACATCTTACGCTGATATCTATCTTGGCCGCCAAAACTCGAATGGCGTTCCGACTACGGCTCCGTACCTCAAAGTAGCTCCTGGATCAACCTCCGATGTTAAACTGACCCCTCAATGGCAGAGACAAGTCCGGCATCCGTCAAATTACTTTCGCGGTTTCTGTCGTCGAAGCCCATGATCAGATGATATCTACCATGCACTTATTCTGGGTTTGGATAGATTCGTCTAATGGAGGCTGGAAAGCTTGGGTTAGAGCATGGCAATTGTATTACATGGAAACAAGCCAAATTCCCCAACCTCGAGGCAGAAACCAAGCTTGCTACACCAGAGCAGTTTAAGTTCAAATGACTGCAATGCTACTAATTGAGATTGTAGTGGGGCCTGTCGGTCTCGAGGCGACGACGACATAGCGCGACGTGTTCGATTTTGCATGGAAGCAAGAAGGCAACAAAGGGGGGCAGTAAGTAACTTAGAGAAGAAAGACAAAACCACAAAGATCAGGAAGTACGCATACAGGGCAGTTGAACACATGTGGCACGGTTAACGGCAGAGCAAACAGTATTTAACTGCACCGGTATGGGACAATCAGTGGTTCAGCGACTTTGAACGGCGATACGTAACACCTAAGTTCTACGGAGTAAGTAGTAGGACTCAGAGCTCTGACTACCCTGGGTACTTCTGGGGTTTAGCCAGCATTAGCATAACGCCGTGCACCCTTTCCGACCTGGTGCAAGCCCGTTGAAGAAAGAGAGAGAGAGAGAACTTAAAAGGGAGATAAGAGCCACACACTAGCCAAGACCCATAACAGCAAATTGCCAGGGTTCTGATTGCCTGCATCCGGCCGGTACGGGGTCGCTTGGGAACACAGGACCCCTGATCATACGAGTAAACGGGGTTTGATTATTAGATTATACACTACTCCGTAGGTTGCTGCCGGTTACATCCACGAGTACTTGCAGGTTTGTTGCTTGTCGGCACAGTTTAGACTTTGCGCGTCTGTGATTCACTGTCAATGCTGACCTATCACTCGGAGGGCGAAAAACATGAATAGCGGAGAGAAACTGAACCTGATAGTGGACTGAGGAAATATTCCAGTCATGCCCAGTTCCCATAACTACTTAGCGGTTGGTAGTAGTAATTGAATACTGAGACACTACAACTAAATGTCTGTAGCTGTTTGGCTATCTGCAACATTAGCGACCAAAACAATGTAGCTTTGCCTGTCAGCAATGTAAGGATTATTGGTCATCACTGCGGCATTGATGCCATGGAGATGCGAGTCATTTTCACCAAAGCGCCCGTCCAGCCTGCCGCCGGCCAAATCGCCTCGCAGCAAACTGCCTGATCCCCACTCAACTCATGCACCGGACCGGGCGGGTCTGTGGGCGAATTTTACGTTTCCACAGTCCTGATTCAGAAGACGTGGTAACCAAGACCCCAGAAGCTCCGAACCGCCCGACAGCAGCAGTCTCTCCCAGTCTCACTCTGGCCTCCACTGTTCCTCGAACTTCCCTGAAGGAAACCCGCGCATAGCAAGCCACTACATGAGAAGGCTACTCTGGAAGAATGTTTCCTGTTCAGAAACCTCAGAAAAAAGAAAAGAGAAAAGAAAAAGACAAGATAGTAAAGAAAAAGAAGAAGAAGAAGAAGAAAAGAAAACAAACCATACATAAGAATGATACTGTGCGGCAGTCCATAGTAAGTGATGGAAGTATATACTGTATACTGAATTTTTATGAATAACTTGAGATCCTGGGAGCAGAAAGGTTAAGGATAGACTCTCTCCTCTCCATCGGCCCATGCAGGTCCATCAGGTTGTTCAACTCTCCGTGTTTAGGGCGTTACGTAGTTCATTCTCCGATAAAGTTTTCCTGAGTTCCTAGGTTCCCGAACGCTTCAGAGTTTGGAATTTGTCTTTTCTCCTTTCCCCTTTTTCGATTTTCCTATCTCCGTTTTCAATTTCCCTCGCCCCCCCATCACTTTACGGTATGTACTCCGGCCGAATTCGCCGGGCAAAAAGAAAGTCAGTCAGTCGGTCAATCAAGAACAAACCAAATCAGCAACCGTCGGGGCGTCACTTTCAAGGACGGAAAACGGAACCTGGACTTACTTAATTCGTACAAGCGCCGGCTGTGCCTAGGCGGATTACCCGTAGTTACCGGACGTCCACCGATCGGTGGTGATGAGACTGTAAATACGTAACCACTACCAAGTTACCAACATCCAACTAATCATCACTACGCGGCTTGTTTCGGCCCAGATTCTGAAGTTCACAACCCTCGGTAGGTACCTATTGTACTCCGAAGTGGTGTCGAGTTCCACCTTTGACCGGACACCTTTCCCAACTCGAGAAAAACCGAGGTCAGGACAAAAAAAAAAGCCGTTACGCCAAGGGTTAGGTCTTGATGCTGCTACAGCGGGTGAGCCCGTACGAAACCCCACCTGCCACATGGCCAGACAACAAAAAAGAAAACCAGATCTGGCTTTTTCCTCCTCCTCGACGAGTCAACATGAGCAATTGAGTGATTTCCAGGAAGAATCAGTTCACAGTCCCAGCAAAAAAGGTGATGGGCAATAGAACAAGCAAGAAAAACCAAATGCGTGCATGGTAGCAATCAATCTATTGCCACGAAACGTTCGTGGTTCGAGCATCGGCAGCTGCTAATAGTAGTTAGTAGTCTAGTAAGTAGTAGAGTACATGTGGTCCAACGCCGCCTCTTTCACAACGGTCACAAACTCTAATCTAAAGAATGACCAGGGGAGGAAGAGACACCCACAGCTTCTCCATATGCAATCTCCGAATGCCTTAACCCCAAGATTATACAGCCGAAATGTCGCCTAGATTACGTGCAGACAAAAAAACATGAACAATGTCTGGCTTATGCAGCCTTCTAAAAAAAGAAAAAGAAGGATGAAGTAAGTAGGAAGGAGAAAGGAGGGCTCCGGGGAGCGTAGAGCCACTCTCCCATGCCAGGATGTCAACTAATCAAGAAGGCAAGTAATTATGCAGGTGCAGATACTTTGCTGAATAATACAAGGCTTTTCCTGTCAAGGGGTCCTAATGATTGAGACCTGTACATCTTCCCATGTCTATGACGTCCCTTTATTCTTAAACCGACACAACAAGTCCAGTGGTTTTTCGTGTGAAATTGGGAATGGTAGGTATGGAATAACAATAGCTTCTTGGCTGATCAGGATTTATTTTCAGACCCATCCTTTTTATTACTTTTATTTTATTTCTTCCTGCTACGGACGGCTCCAAGATTCCGATTTCAGTACTGCTGAACTACTACTACTTAGTACTGGTTACCACCACCATGGCCTTGTCAGAGATACGATCCATGATTGCCCACCTTTTGCACAATGCAATTTCCCCCCTTCTCCTCTCTGGCCCTCCACAACAACCCCCCCTCCCACCCTCCCACCCTCCCACTTGCCCCCCTGCTCCACCTGCTTTGTTAAATTGGGAGGGTCGGAGCTTGCCAAAGATAGTCCAGTCCGTCCAAAAAAATTTTCCCTCATCTGTTATCAAAGGACCCAGGAACATATTTCTACTTCCTGTCTCCCTCCCGCAGTCAATCTGCGCGCCACTAATGCACAATTTTGCACCACTCATATACACCATTATTATTTTCTTTCCTCCGCACCTAAAGTTTGCGAGCCGATAAACTGTTGAATCCGGAATTCCGGTCTCCTAGTCATCAATGGCCGATTCAGCGTCTTCTCCCGAAGTGCGGCAGGCCTTGGAACGGGGTCGGGACGGTCATACCGATAAGGCAACGAATGACATCTTAGAAGCAGCCATTACAAGCCTCTGGAAGAAGATAAATGCACAGAAGGATTATGTGCTCGACCGCGACGAGTTTGCTCTATTCAATTATTTCATATATCGCTACAAGGGCAATGTTGTTGCACAACGGACCGTCGCACGGTTCTGGGACCATTACCGAGGCGATCCGAACGCGACTGGAAGCAAGACATAGTGTGTGCGCAATTTGCCTCTCTTTTCTTTTGGGTCTCTTATCGGGTGCAACCATTTTCGTCTTGAGGAGGCATCGCATCGAGGAGTTCCCCGCTCATCTTTGAAGGCATCATTGATTTTCTCGGACTCGGATGTTCTGGCCAGAGGGCTTGAATAAGATCATGTCTCAAGCATATGAATACGCATCCCGGGCTCGACAACACCACTTGAATCTTCAAAATCGCTCGAGGGGTAGAGGTTGAGCATTTCTGCAGACATGGGAGGGCATGAACAAAGTCTTCAGGGACAAGTGCGACCATTTACGAGAGATTGCCCATGCGGAGTCGTAATGCTCTGAACTTCTGGCGCGTTTGACGAAAAGCTGGTTGATGACTATTCCAGACATGCCCGGCAAACGCCGAGCTGCCTTCCTCTACATTCATTCGCTATAAGCGGTCTTGAACCCAATATGCGTACGAACAAACCAATTTCTCGGGTACGGCCGATGCCGGTCTACTTAACCACAACCAAGTACTCCTTCTACCTGCACACATGTGCGTGGTCGCGGACACTCCAATGTTTCAGCGACCGGGTACGCGCTCTTCACCTCTTGGTGCTCAATACCCATCGCTCCCTGATCTCCTACTTTCGAGCAGTAATCACCGGGCCTTACCTTCTCCTTGTCTCCCGTTTGCGCGAGTAGCGGTATGATCTTGTCCTCGGGTGGGAAATGGGTAATGCTGCGCACATCTTGGAGCCTGATTCATTCTTGATCAACTCATATCATCATCCTCGCGTGACTTGATCACCGTGTCTCTTTATCGCTTCCGCTGTCACGATCATGTGAGGACAGTCGATCAATGAATTATTTTAAGTCTAATTTGTGCAGCTTTTGCTACATATCCTATCACCATGTCCGATGTCTAATCATCATACATATATTTGAGCATATCTGGCTGTTGTGATCTAGGCCATGATCTGCGATAATCAGCTATTAATGGACTACCCTACATACCGAATCCATCATATACGTTTCTCGTACCCATTATCAGAAACTTGTTCCGCGCGGGGCAACCTTCATGCGGAAATGTAATACCGGTTTCTCCGGCGTTCAACACAGAGAAAACAACATTTTGGCCTGTAGTGGTCTTGCCGGGCTCAAAACCAGACGAAATGGTTAAATAACACATCTACTCCCTCAAGTGGTGTGTCCAAACGCCGAATGAAGAGCATCGGTGCCGTCATTCTCGGCTCCAGCAGACTGATAGTATTAAGGTTAATGACTACTGGCATCAGTGAGAACTGGCCCTGTTACACTCAGCTAGCCTTCAACGAAATGAGGCAGGCAGGTGACACCCAAAATCCTTGACAGAAAGCCCTTCAGCCATCCGGCCGAGGTGTGGTCACCAGTAAACCGGATGATTTCTGTTTTAAGAACGAAAACAAAAAGCGCTCCTGTAAGCTAGCAAGCTTGAACAACGCAAGCCCACGTCTCCCTTTTTCCAAAATGACAAACCAAGAGATTGTCGGAGTCAATAAAACATAAGAATATGCCAATTATACACTTCCAATTATTTATACAAGATAGCTCTATGGTGTGTGACTGTTCTATTTGTTAGCCGGTGAGTCGGGTTCGATCATCTTGTTCGATTCGGATGAGAGGTTGTCGTTGTCAAGCGCATCCGCTGACGGATCTTTACAGTAAGACATCTTAGCACTGAGGTCGCTTACTCCAAATATTTAGGAGACTTACCTGTCCTGGAGAAAGCTGCTCGTTGCGCGATATCAACCTGCTTAACCTTGCCGGCCTCGACGTCCGCTCTGCTCAGACCAAGGAAGTTCTTGGGAAGTCCCATTGAGGACAAGAATTTGACGCTCTCCTTCCACTCAACATCCTTTCGACCGCTGTCCCAGTTCAGCTCTTCGCCCATGAGATCAATGACACTAGGAAGGGCTTCTAGGGCTGCTTCAGCATTTAGGAACGCTAGACGAGTTCTGCGTGCAAGAACATCGACAGCAGTTTGTGCGTACTCGTGGCGAACAGCGTAACGAACTTCGCCATCAATGAAAGGATAGAGGGTGGATATACGCTGGCCTCGAACAGGAAAACGAGCATTGGTGGGTGAAGACAAAGCCGCAACCTGCCAGGCTCGATCACCGTAAGATTGGGTGAGGTGCTGTGCCACATCCGTCTCGAGGCCATAATGTTGGATGAGGTTGATAAAGAGGGTCTTTGAGTAACCATGAGCACCAATCAAACGGACCTGATGGGTTTGGCAAGAGCCATCAAGGACAGCGCCATCGGCGACAAGTCCACTTCCACCAACGCCGCTGATGTCGGGCGCATCGGTTACTTGACGGGGCTTCAGACCGAAAACCTTGACAGCCTCGTCAACTGCCTCTTCGGCCATCTGCCGATACGTAGTCCATTTTCCACCAGCACAAGTCAACAAGCCAGATGGGGATACGGAGATGAGGTGGTTTCGCACCAAAGCCTCGGAACTCTTGACCTTGGGATCGCGTACTAGAGGACGAATTCCTGACCAAGCGGCAAGCACATCACTTCGTTCAACATTGATATCAGGGGCCAAGTATCGACGAACTTCCGTGAGAATCCAGTTGATGTCTTTCTCAGATGGTTCGGGCTGGGTCGTGATTTCAGAGGGCTGATCCGTGGTGCCAGCAATAGTGTTTCCTTGCCAGGGCAGGAAGAAGATGACTCGGCCGTCAGATGTCGACGGATCGATCAGTCCCATGTCTGATGGGCTGTAGTACCCGGGGAGAATGACATGAACACCCGAGCTAGGAGCTACAATTTCCTTCACATCAGGTTCGTCCATCTTTCTGATCGAGTCGGTAAAGGGCCCAGTCGCATTAATAATACCCTTCGCCTTAATGGTGAATTCTCCCTCCTCCTGGCCGTTTCTCCCTGGAATCACGTCCTTAAGGTGGGCACCGGTCAGCTTGCCGGATGAATCCTTGGTCAAGCCAGTAACCTGCATGTGGTTGACAACAGTGGCACCGTACAGTGCAGCTGTCATTGCCAGGGAAACGTTCATTCGAGAATCATTGTGAGCACCGTCTGAATACACGCACTATTAGCGAATATCCCAGATTACAGTGCAGCTGCCATCGTCTTGTGAGACAATACATACCGTAGTAAACCATAGCACCGATCAGATTATCCTTTCTAAGCATCGGAAAAGCATCAATGGCTTTACTCTTGGTCAGAAAGTAAGAGCTCTCGATACCTTCTGATCCAGCCAGAAAGTCGTAAAATTTGGTGCCTGCCCAGAAATAGGGTGCCTGCCACCACTTCTGTACCGGTACCATGATTGGGAGCCAGCTAGAAAGATGGGGGGCTGTGTTTAGAAAATACTTCCGTTCCCGCAAGGCTTCCTTGACAAGTGCGTATCTGTGGTAGGGAGCTGTTAGATATCTCCTGGAAAGAAGGAAAGAATTTTCGGTCGACTGACTGATTATAATCCAGTTCCCATACCGCCTTTTCGAGGTAACGCACACCCCCGTGTACAAGTTTCGTGCTTTTGCTGCTAGTTCCGGCACTGAAATCATCCCGTTCGACGATGGCAACCTTCAGCCCTCGAGTTGCGGCATCAAGAGCGATTCCTGAGCCAGTGGCGCCACCGCCAATGACTAGCAGATCATATTCTTCCTCGCCCCCCTTTGCAGATCGCTTGAGGTCCTCGATTTGTTCCAATCTAGACTTGATCCGGGGAAAACTAGGCGGCACCAGGCGGCCTTCGTGGTAGCCTGGGGGCGGGACCGCAGGGGCCTCGGAACCAGGGATATTGCGAGGGCGGTAAGAGATGTAAAGCACTCCAGCACCCGCAGCCGTGGCGAGTGACGTATAGAGCAGCGGTCGCAGTAATTTACGCGAATGACGGGAAGCCATGGTATGTTGCGGTCGGGATACTGGGTGACTTGTGACTTCAGAAATGAGTCTCACTGGTGGTCTATCTCCCAGGGCAATGCCGAATCAGAACTGCCGATGGAATAGATGGCAGGCGAGTGTCAGTTTGAAGATATTATATATATGGATAGATGCTAAGATATCCAATAGTCTGGCCGGTCTGAATTTAGAATCAAGCCAAGATCGCGCTGGTGCAATTCTACACACCATATGAGTTCTTTGACAATGACTTACCGATGAAGAATGGAAAAAATGTGGTGAAGAGAAAAGTCGAGGAGAATGGGACCGGGATAATTCTAAATGTGTAGGTGGAGGGTAGTGAGAAATCCGAGGGCTTGAACTGGAAGATGAGAGATGGGAAGGAAAAGAGAAGGGTTGAGGAGTAAAATGAGGAGGAGAGACAGGACGAAGGGAAGGAAGAGTGAGAATGATACAGAAATATGTTTAAGAATAATCCGAATGTCGGACTGCTGGTCCACTTTAGTACTATAACAGTTATGTTGTCGAGGGAGGAATGAAGGAACAGGATTATGGAAGTGTACCCGTGTCAGCGTGGATGATCAGCTCAAGAAACCGGCTAACCTTCCAAGTCTTTCATTAACTGCTGCACTTTTTCTTCCGTTTCCTTTTCTTTTCTAAAAGGAAAAAGAAAAAGAAAAAAGAAAAAGAAAAAAGAAAAAGCAAAAAAAAAAAAAAAAAAAACTTTCTCTCTTTGAGAAGACCAGCTGCTGCAGTAGTCAGTGCGTCATGATCTCTGCCTCTTTTGCGACAGACAGAATCCGGGAAGGGAATTGGAGGGAAATGGAGGTGGATCACGATGACGGCGCCGCGGCGTCAATCAGCATTGTCCCACCAATTAGAACCTCGGCAGCTTCGGCAGTGGGTAGGTCTGGGCGGTGATTTGGCAGTCAAGGCTTGACTCCGTGCCCGCATGTGACCATCAAAGATTTCCCGCTAGATTGGACCACCTGCAATCCTTTTCCCCAATCCATTCTTCTCCCTCCTCTTTCCTCCTTCTTTCCCCTTTCCTCCCCAAGATTATTTACGGAGTACCTCCCCTCCCCCCCCCCCCCCACCCCCCCAAACCCCCAAATTCCCTTCCTCGTCCAAGCTCCCCTCTTATCCTCGACATTACTTCGTATATGGCCCTAGACTACGGAGTACAAAATACACCCTTTCCCCCTTGTTTCGGTCCGGCCGGGGTCTAGCCCGGCCTGAAGCACTGTCGGCTGCAGACTATGTGTTCTATTGAGTAGTTAGTCTCTCGGTAAATTTAGTATCTAGTAGTCCGACAGCTAAGCCACTATGTAATACGTACAGATATATAGTCATGGTAGGGCACTTTCCCTTTGGACAGAGACATGGGTTTTATAGATTTTAGCTTGGAGTATCTTCTACTAATACCACGAATATTGCTATACAAGGTGCAGGCGATCACCAGATCACTGTTTACCGCTTTCGAGGTTCTATTTCTTGTAATTGCTTCCACAGACCTCAAAATCCACTTTACAGTAGTCCTGACTACCAAGAAAATGAGTTACTCAAAATCTCAGTCGTGGGTGTTGAAAACATCCTCGCGCGTTAGGCTTGATCCTCGGGTTGATGATGTCTCTCTTGCTCCACTTATCCAGCCCAGACCCTGGAAGGTGGGTAAAGGTACTCCGTAGTCCGCAGTACGGACTACTACTGTGTACTCGTTCTCAGGTACTCGGGACTCCATTGGTCTGGGACGTCCATCGGAGTCCAGGGTAGTAGACCGAACAACATGGCGTAATACCCACCAGTCACTGAACGGGCTTGTTCCTGGGTGGCCGATAGTTGACGTCAATTATTCCTTTACAAATCTTGTTTGGATGCTGTGCTTTTCTCCTTGGGAGGATGTAGTTCAACCAGCCATAAGCAGTCATTAACCTCTCCTAGCCCTAAGGCACTGAATAGGTACCATGCTCTGGGAGGTATTCCCACCGGAAAAAACAACTTGAAATAATTCCGGCCCTACCCGCAAAGCTTCTCTTCTGCACAGTCCATCGCAATACCTAGCTGTGAGCCCCGCATTTGACGAATCGACCGGAATATTCATCACAGGCAGACACTATCAGCCACATGAAATTAACCCCGGAAGCTTGATCATACGGGTTTATGCTTTGTACCTGCCGACAGTTCCAGGCGATCTTCGAGATCACCCCAGTCGGTAATCGGTGCTTACACATACGTGGTATGTACCTACTTGACCAGGTACAGGTTTCTTCGGGAATGTCATGGTAGCTTATGGCGTCAATGAGCACTTCGGGGCTCAACATCTTGACTCCGAGAGAAAATATTCTATCAGTATGATTGTAACCAGCGCATTCTATCGGGATGACTGTTAAGGACATGCCTGGTCAGATACGCACCTCATCCCGGACTCAAAGGACATGACTCTGTGACAACTTCAAGCGCGGGTACAAAGCCACTCTTCTATCTCAATAATGGAAGCCTTGTGACTATGCTGGTTGAGTCTGTACATGCTCTGCGCAATACGAAACCTTTATGCACATGAGCAATACTTGGCTATTTTAGTCGGATATGTTTGCTGATCGACTGTCGGGGGGAGGCGGTGCGCTTCCCTTTATCTTGTTCTCAAAACCTATCCAGTTTTTCATACACTACCCAGTCCACTTGCCACGCGTGCTATTTGTGGCTTCTTTGCGTCAACTATGTCCCGCAACCGCCGGCACTGCCAAAGAAAAAGTCTCAACCCCGCAAAATCGATCGAAAGTACACTGAGGCGGGGGCGGAATATGTCCGAGTGCGGAATCTCGGCTATTCCGCTCTTTGTGCCTGTTCGGCTTGCACACCACTGTATCCTTCGCTACCAGGTTGATCTACCCTGATTATCTCAGTCAGGGGGAAGTGTCCAGCTTTCTTCTGAGGGAAAAGACAATGTCATTGGGCAGGTCGAAGTCTCATTTACACAACGGAAATGTTCCTCACAAGGGGAAGAGAGCGGAGTTGCAGGAACTATCACGTGGGGAGTCATCATGCGTCGCTAACTGTTTAAAGTCCTGGCAAGCACCAGTTGAAATCACAAGTTGCTCTTTGGCCAGTCATCCTGAAGGTAAAGGTTGATCATATTCGTCTTCCTTCATAATGGCCATTGCAGCAGCCCTCTCTCTTCTACAAACCTATATCATACAATCGCCCTTGCGGACGCTGGCACTCTTGTTGCTCACTATACCTATTACCTATGTCATCCTCAATGAGTTCACTCGGGCTTCATCACGAGTGCCGGGGCTCAAAGGTCCTCGCGGCTTACCGCTGATTGGAAACCTTGCCCAGATACGCAAGAACGCCGCGGAGCAATATCGTATCTGGTCCAAAACATATGGGCCGGTCTATCAGATACAGTTGGGAAATATCCCCGTGATTGTAGTGAATTCAGCGGCGGCTGCGAAGACTATCTTCGGTCAGAATGCGCAGGCCTTGAGCTCGAGACCAGAGTTTTATACTTTCCACAAAGTGAGACCCTTCCACTTCTCGCCCACCACTAACTCCTAATACCCTGTTAGTTTCTCCAGACTTCCATGCCTAATTATTCAATATAGATTGTTTCAAACACAGCAGGAACCACTATCGGAACCTCCCCTTATAGCGAGTCCTTGAAAAGACGCCGCAAAGGTGCAGCTTCCGCGCTCAATCGTCCCTCTGTGGAATCTTATGTGTCTCACTTGGATGTTGAAACCAAAGCCTTCATCGAGGAGTTGAACCGTTATGGGAACGGTGGGAAAATGCCGGTGGATCCCATGGCGATGATTCAGCGTTTGAGTTTGAGTCTATCCTTGACTCTTAACTGGGGAGTGCGCGTTGCGTCTCAGGAGGAGGACCTGTTCGATGAAATCACTCATGTTGAAGAGGAAATCAGCAAGTTCAGGAGCACGACTGGTAATCTTCAGGACTATATACCGCTTCTACGGCTAAATCCTTTTAACGGAAACTCGAGGAAGGCCAAAGAAATGAGAGATCGGCGGGACAGATACCTCAACGCGTTGAATCGAGACCTTGACGATCGCATGGAGAAAGGTATACACAAGCCTTGCATACAGGCAAATGTGATTCTTGACAAGGATGCCAAACTGGACACCGATGAACTCATCTCGATCAGCCTGACAATGCTATCCGGGGGGCTCGATACAATCACCACCTTGGTGGCCTGGAGTCTTTGTCTTCTATCGCAACGACCAGATATTCAGGACAAGGCCGCGAAAGCTATTCAAGGATTGTATGGCCAGGAAATGCCGCTTTGTGACTCCGGAGATGATCAGAAATGTGCCTATGTTGCTGCTCTCGTTCGGGAATGTCTAAGGTATTCTACATGATTACTCTGATCCTGATATGCATTGCCAACGATGACTTTTTACCCGCAGATACTTCACCGTCCTCCGACTTGCACTTCCACGAACATCCATCAGAGACATAACCTATAAGAAGACTGTCATTCCGAAGGGCACAGTTTTTTTCTTGAATTCCTGGGCTTGCAATATGGGTCAGTAGTAGTACTCACGCGAAGTTCAGATGTACCTTAGTTCAAACGCTAATTCCATGGAATGTACCTAGACCCCGAAGTCTGGGACGACCCCGACGAGTTTCGACCAGAGCGGTGGTTGGAGCAACCAGATGCCCCTATGTTCACATATGGGATGGGCTACCGCATGTGCGCGGGCTCCCTTCTAGCGAATCGCGAGTTGTATCTGGTTTTCATGCGCACGTTGAACAGCTTCCGAATTGAAGCGGTTGAGGATGTCGACTGGCATCCTGTAAGGGGTATGTCAGATCCAACCAGCCTTGTGGCAATCCCTAGAAGATATAGAGCTAGGTTTGTGCCGAAGGACATAGCAGCCCTTGCGAAGTCCCTGGCTCAGTGATTGGTAACGTGGAAAAGGAGAGAAATTTGATGGATCTGACGCTTCTTACAACTTTCTACTTGAGCACAGCTAGATTGTTATCTACTCATGTGGGACATTTACTCCGTGAGAATTGCCGTCTTCCACACGCTAGATTTGCTCAGTCTGTCTTGATATGCGTGATCATTGCGCCATCTGATTTATAGCTTAAGCAAATTGACCCCAAATCCGTTCCGATTGTACCGTGGCATCCCAATATATGGAGTCTGTTTAACTGGTCTTCTCGCCATCTCGTTTTCTCCGGCTTAACGTATCGTTGAACACCTTGGGCATCGGACGACTTGTGGTCGCCGAATAAAGGTCGTGGAGAAGCTCGTGGTACTCTTTACTGCCTTCGAATTCCCTATTCAGCGGAGTCATAAGCTCGTGCTCGGCAATCAAGTATAAAAGAAGATTGAAGTCAGCATCGTCCAATAGAAGCTCCATGCTTAGAAGATGTTATGTTTGGATTTCTATTCAGGTCCGGCGTCATGCGCTATTTCGGCGGATAGGGAAGCGAAGGCCGCAGAGCAGTAGGCTCTACAGGGAGTCATGTGGGCTTCTTACCACGGGAGCTTCCTCTTTATTTCTGATGCCATGCTTTTCTAGCACTCAGCCGTAGTGGGGTTGTCATGATGAGACAAAAATTCATTTCTTCTTGGGCATGGAGGTTCAGAAGCCGGGAGTGATCGAAGGCAGGACAACTATATCGTTATGTTTAGGTCAATTTGTACATATATTGCGTGATTGAAAATATAGTAGGGGCTGTGGTTTAGTGGTATAATATTCCCTTAGCATGGGAGAGGTCCGGGGTTCGATTCCCCGCAGCTCCATTTTTGGCGCGTTTAGGTATGGTAAGAGTCATATAGCACCATCATCAGTGAGGCTTGAGGAGGGCCGACCGACCGGCCCCTCGACTCCAATTTTTGGGATGTTGGTTGCAAAGTGCGTCGCCGGTAGAAAAATACCTACTGTGTTTACGGAAAGGTTCGATGGTTTTGCCCGGGCTCAATATATATAAAGGTTTATTGTTGATTAAGAATCCGCTGTTCTGCTTCGTTGAAGTGAGAGGCTTCAGTTGTCATGGCGATAGAAGAAGTGCGGATTATAGTGATTCATCATACAATGTGATTCCTTTATGAAAGGATGTCTGAGCCAGGCGACGGCCGGTGGAACCTCGGATATGTCAAGGTCTGCGAACTAACTAGAGTCGGCTTATCTTCTATGTATACAGTGGTCACATAGATGATCTACGAAGAAGTTTCACATTTGAGTCAGACAAGGGGTTTTATCTACGGAATAGTATGTATGAAATACCATTTACTAAAATACAGATCCTTGTCTCTGGTATAGAGTCATAGCGCTAGCCTAGAGGTAGCAGGAAACTGGCGGCAGCAGAATCTCTGTCTGAGGTTTTTTTCTTCAAAATCAGGGCTACCAGCTCGGAGTCGCTTGGAACCTGGCGCGAAGGGGTCAGAATGCTGACTGTAATCTTTAAAGGCTTATTTACCTTTATATAGCTAGTCTGAAATTCATATATAGACCCTAGAACCCTTATAAGAGAACAATAATTGAAGGTATTCACTAATGTATAGTTCGGAAGTGAGACTATTCGACCCTCAAAAACCTTGATTGAACTACTATAAGAGGAAGCTTGACGTTTCTCTTTAGGCTTTTACAGCCTAGAAGAACGGTATATAATAAAAACGCCTATGGGGCTAGGAAGTAATATTTCCAGGAAGCCCGGGGGTGTTCAGAAACGGTCTAGGCATTTCTGACCCCCGCTCCCTGGCGCCTCCCCCGCGCCAGAGCTGGTACCGTCGACAATTCCGGGCACCCGTAAACAGTAGAGAAAAGAGGCGGTCAGTGATTGGGCATAATATAACTATATTGAAGTACTTTTTACTCGGTAATCTCAGAGTGAAAATAGCCTACAAACGAGGTTAGCTACTTTCCTCTTTTGATACCTGTCGGGAAGCTTTATCACTTGAGTCTGTGAGACGGGAGTGTAGTTCGAGCCGAGTAGTACATTTATTTCCGTGTTTGTTGGTCGTTGCAGTATTGGTACTTAAATTTGATTTTTCAGTGCTCGGGGAATGTCAAAGCTGCTCAGCTCTCCAGACACCAACATGGTAAGATCTGCCTTTATCAGATACCTCACTACATACAGTGTACGTACACCAGGAAGCTACTTGAAGCAAGCCCTCAAGCAGCCTAGGAGCTACTCTTCTTCCAAATTATATACTATGATATGCACCACCTCCATTACGCTCTGTGAGCCAGTCTACTTCCCTGACCAGTAATGACATATGGTTATAAGGTAGACATAAATGATATATCCGGTTGGGAGACGCATATTTACATACATAATCTGTATTTTGGGGGATAGCTCACAGACAACCATCTTCTGGGTTGGTGGCTGCGGTTCGACACACCCATTACAGCTTCAATGTAATGTGATTTAATCAGATTTAATCACTATATGGAGGGGCTGTGGTTTAGTGGTATAATATTCCCTTAGCATGGGAGAGGTCCGGGGTTCGATTCCCCGCAGCTCCAATGTTTTTGGACCAATATCAAGGTCAGCCAGCATTGTAGCCAGCATTGTATATAAAATGGGTTTAACCTTTCCTCCCTGGGTCAAGTTGGGCGGCCCACAAATTCAACTTGAAACGGTCCAGCTAGAGCTAGGGTTGATAACCATAGCAATCAGAGAACACTGGTCCTAGGTAAGGTAACCTTTATCAAGTAGGCTATGGTCACAGGCGGGCTGATGTCGGCTCAAAATGCGCCTGGATCTGTTCGGACGGTGGCTACTTGTTTGGGGCTAGATGCCATAGATTAGCGTACGTAGAAGCCGTGCTCAACCGTATCATAAATAACTTTGAGGGCAACACATCCGCACTGAACCTTAACTACCTTGAGAGTAGGACTTGTGGAATCTTTATGTCGACGCTGCTACTTACTAGGGAGCACCGGCAGCTCACTGTACAGATATCTTAATATTAGGATTCCTGGTGTTTCCGAAATCAATGATACTTACTGCTTGGGGTTTTCGTTGACTGGGGATCCCCTCGCTACTATTTTCATTGGGGTTTTCTGGGCACCAAATCAAAAGCTTCGAAGCTATGCGTATGAGTATGATCCAGAGTCTTTTCAGTGTCTTGGGGTACACCACATATTGATAGATAAGTAAACATCAATATTAGATATTTATATCAATTTTCAGTGTAGCCAATAATTACTAGATCACACATAATATCACCGGCATCAAAAATAACAGGATTGAGGTGATTAAGCGAGCTGATATACTAGTCCCTATGTATGAGTGAAGGTGTCTGTTGTGCAGCTGAACGGTACTGCTTATAGCTCAACCATGATGAATCGAGGCTGAAGGGAAGTGCAAGGCCAGTCTGCCTTACAATCATCCTCCCCCAGGCAGTCGAATCAAATCAGCCAGGGTCAATAGGTCCGCCGTTAGGACCAGTCCATGGAATGAATCGGGGCCGCATGTAATAGACGGCTTAGTGAACTGGTCCTGGAATATAACACAAACCCCTTTACCACACCTACACGAAAAGAAGAAGATGACAGAACATCCCAGCGACAGCAGAAATGCGATAGCTGCACTGCACACACTATATTCACATATGATTTAGCAAACCAACCATCAGCTGGGTATATTGGCACTAACCTGCGTACAGGCCAACAAAGGCAGCAAGATACTGTTTGCTGCACATCTTTATAGCACTGAACAGTGAGCAGTTCGTTATGGAGACCAATGGAGGATGTATGCGCAAAAGGGAGGTATATGCCACAACAGCTCAGTAATACTCCAATGATTTCAGATCTCCAGTATCACACGCACCCTGCCCAGAGCCTGACTGGCCAGCTCACCTTAGGCGGTAAAAACATATACTCGGCCGGTGTGGTGGTTCAGCTCCGTGGGTAGACTGCTGCATGTTTCCACCCCATGGCATCCTTTCGGTATGGCTAATTATGTACTCTATAGCTACTTGTTAATCTGTCTATCCTACAACACATCGACACATACAACAACACTTACTCGCATCTATTGCAACATATGACAGCGGGAACCGTGCTATATCTGTATGGTAATTGCTTATAGTAAATACCTCGAAACAACCCATAAGAAGGCATGAAATGTTTATTTTCTTCACTTCTTTCTACATGACGGTTGCCATTTTCATTGGGGCCTAAAGGATCAAGAAGAAAAGCCGCATAGAATTAATCCAAAAGTTCCATGTATTAAAATGTTAATATATGTAGGCCGAGGTATACAGAATTCGACACATTGAGCCTCACGCACAGTTGGAACAATACTCCGTAGGGAGTGAAGCAAAAAATGGAGCTGCGGGGAATCGAACCCCGGACCTCTCCCATGCTAAGGGAATATTATACCACTAAACCACAGCCCCATTCTACATACCAATGTGATATTCCGAGAACGTATAAATCAAGCCAACCGTTGGTACTGTGGGCCATCATAACCTATTGCTAACGAGAACCGTGACCGGCCTTTGCGCATTGCGCACAGGAAACGTCTAACCCTCGACATAGAGGCGGCTAAGAAAACGCGGGATGGTGTGGCGAGGGAATGTATTTCACTAGGGAAGTTATACAGATTTTAGGTAATGGATCTTGTGCGATGCATGGAAACAGGCGACTGGCAGGAGGTAGTCAGTGTGTCACACTGATACTATGACCTCACCCAGCCTTGACTGAAATCTCAAAGCCTGGATTCCTCTAGAGTCTGATATAAGAGCGAGGAAAATTGCAGTGGGAGAACTAACAAAGATGCCCCAGTAGTTGTGTTTCCAACAAGGACTCAACCACTGCACAAGATGAATAGGCAGATAGGCTTATTTGCCCAATTCTCTGTTGCTGGTCTCACATCGTTAGCCGTAGCAGGGTATCCTCATTCAAGAAGCATTGTCATCGACACCAGGTGAAGAATGGCGGCTCAATAGTAATCCAGCGAGTTTCCAGGGAAAAACCGACAGACAAACAAAAGGCTTGGAGGCAGAAGAAAGCAAGAGCTGGCCCAGAGTTAGCTGTAGTTGTCCATATAGCCTTGCTCACATGCCTGGCAAAGACAGCGACGGGACCACAGGGAAACCGCGCACAAGATTCAAGAAGCTAATACGATCGAGAGACAACGGTCTCGACACGTACCTTTGGGTACGCTAAAGCGTCAAAATACAGCATTCAGCGAGCGTGCCACGACATTCTCGTGAAATAGCCCCGAGCTGATTGCCTTCCAGGGAACAAGTGGTCCATGCTTCGATAGCCTGGCGCCTTGAGGGACCAGAGCAACGGCGAGGTCCATCATGGCAACGCCCGCAGTACGAGTCATGTTCCACTGTTATTTAGAGTTACCGTGACCGGGACCTAGAGGCGAATTCTGCCCGGCTAATGACGGCAACTTGTGCTTGTGTAAAGATGAACAAAAAATCGTCTATGCCATGTTCAGCAACGAGCAACGATCACGGGTCACCTGATGTACGATGATTTTCGAAGGGAACCCGCACAAGGGTTGCGGGTAGTTGCGAGTTATTAGGCACGCTTTTGCTCGTGGCCCCAAGGCCGGCAGGATTTACTATAGTTGGAACAATTAGCACAGTTCATCCTTATATATGACCCAGAATGTCTAGACAAGAGTACTCACCGGAGGCCATACTGATCGCGCGCAAAACATTATCCCAGTTCGCAAGAACACACGCAACAGCTAGAATCACAGAACGGAAAGAGTCAGAAGCAGCCCTGTCTATCCTGGCCTGGCAACGCACCTTCGGTCCCGTCCTTAAGAGTCCCGATCTTGACCTCAAGAGCTTCCATCTGTGCCGCCAATACACCGCTCATGTCTCGAAGTTTCCTCAAGTTCTCAAGCTCAGCTTTCTTTGAGGCTATGCGAGCAGCCAGGACCGATGACCGTTGTTGCACAATGGCTGATGTGTGGTTCGGCGGACGAAACGACGCTGTGACGGAGGTACTCGATGGCAACATTGCGACTAGGGAACGCAACAAATCGCGAGATCCAGTGTATCTGTGCACAAATACAAGAGGCCCTTCGCAGTCAGTGATTCCGGTGTTATGAGCGCAATTGATCAGCATCAGCTTGAACCGAATTATCGTTGTATTGAACACCGGAGAACGGTCACGTCAACTGGATTTGACTGCTGGGTGCCGAAGAGGGGCCAGACAGGGCCGCCACCACTAGGCCATATTTGGACAATTGTCAACAAGCTAAACCGTATCGTGTTTACATCTTCCGAGGCATCTTAGCCCAAACTTATCCTAAGCAACAAGAATTCCATCACGGGCTCTCGTTTCCCACACCTCCGATACGCTCTCTGATTCGGTCATGATTCAAGAAGGAGTTTACTAGCCGCTGCCTTTGTTCATTACATAAGTATGGCTCGATTGAATGATTTAACGACGTCGACAGAGTCCATTGAAGGCTGTGAGTTTGTATCCAAAGCCCAAGATCACTTTTCTTCAGAGGAGTCATCTAACAAACGCCAGTAAAGAGACGATTTGTGCGGCAGAACCGCGAGATTGCCCGAGTCAACTCCATACAGTCCCTCCGCATCCGTAGCCTGGAGTCGGAGGTTTCACAGTTACTCGCCGAAAATGTTTCTCTACGGGAGCAAGCAATAACACTCAAGCAGGAGCTTAAAAGATGCCAGGCTACCAAGCTACTCCAGGACGGGGTATATAGCATCAAATCAAAACTAGACGCCAAGTTGATGGAACTGAGCACATTGGTGACTGAGCTTGGTGAGCTCCCGCGTGACTACAACAAAAAGCAAAGTAGCGCGCAGATGACGAGTTCGACGCCGCAGTCAGCTTTAAGCTGGGAGCGCAAAATAGCTGACATGGAGCGAACTAATACTCATGAGGAGGAAGGAAGACTTCCGACAATCCTCGAAGACAAGTATTTCCCAAGGAAGACGCTGGAGTAATGATATCATACTGCAGATTTTGATTTCGTATGTACGCTAACTACTCTCAGGCTTCACAGTATACAGGGACTACTCAACAGCGATCACATTGATCCCGAGTCCCCGGCAGGTCTTGAGTCAGCCACCATACACACGAACAATTTATTCCCCGCCAAAGAAGAGATCGCAGTAAACGAGTCGCTAGTAACCCACATGAAGCGGACAGATTCCCAGATGGTCCTTCAACCTACATCTGACCCCGGGACAGAGGAAAACGAAGATGATGCGACAAAACCACAAACTCGCTTCGCAGCTTGTGAGGCAACCACTGAGCAGGCACACCCACAAACTGAACCTGGCCTTGGCGCAAAGCGAAAGTTCTCATCAGCTATCGAAGATAAATTAGAGTGCTCGGTAGATGATAACGACGACTTTCAATACCGGCAGACTCGTTCGCCTCCTGGCCAGGGGGAGCTGATGGACTCAGCAAGCGGCGGAAGAGGCTCTATCAAGGAAGATGTACATCCTCTTGTAGAGAGCAAGAAAATTAACAAGCAGGCAAGGCGAAGGATACTTAAGCCAAGTAAGCTCAAACGTCTCTTTATGGCCATGCACCTCGAGAGCTAACTGCAATGTTTAGAAAGCAGTAATACCAGCGTTCACTCCCCGAGAAATGCCTCCCATGAACTCTCCGATGATATGCAAGAGGATCTCGTCATGTCGGCGCTCGAAGTCAAGGGTCATACGACAAGCCTCGTAGAGGCTACATCATGCACGCCGCATGGGGGTGGGACACCCGGCGGACCGCTCAAGCACCCTACCCCCGGCGCGTCCTGCGGCGGGGCAGGGATTGCGAATGATAAACACGAATTAGTAAACTCAGTGTCCCTGACCCAAGATCGGCTCGAGCAGCCGACACCAGGGACGGACATAAGGGGTGCAGTGGCATGTGGAGCCACCGGATCATCCAGACCGGCAAGACGCCAGAGGGCTATTGTAAGTTATGCGGAGCCTAATCTACGTGATAAGATGCGTCGACCTACGGATGAGCTAGTAGCGGCTGTTGGTGATCAAAAACGGAGAACCTCTGGCACAATGAAAGCCCTGAGAAGCACAAAAGAGGACGAAGATGCGTGTCCGCGGCGCCGACCGGATGCAGTGAAGTCACCAACTTTGAATATGACAGGAACGGGTTCGCCAACTCCTGTGATGAATCTTACTGGGGATTCTCCCTCAAAGAAATTAAAAATGGTGTCCCAAAGGAGGCGCAAGGCCTCTCTTGCAAGCAGATATGACCTTGCAATGACCTATGAGGAAGCGCAAGGAGGCAGTGAATGTTCCGATTTGATGCTGACTGGAGTCGAAAATAATGATCACAAACTCGAAGCTCAAGACAGCGCTACGCATCTACCAGATGTTGGATCCGACGAATGCTTCGGAACGCGACTAACAGAGGCCACAGATGGCAATACGAGCAAGACATCGTTGGATGCATACGGGCAACAACAACGTATAGCTCGACAAGCAAACAGACGCTCGACCGGCCGTAGAACTTTCAATGAAGCCACATCCAAGCGAGGCGAGGCAATCCTAGCGGACAATGAATCTCCGCGTTCCGGCCCAGATAATTCAAGGGTATCACCGATCAAGTCCCATGACTTCCTTGAGCTATTGGATCATGAAAGGCATGCTACAGCGGATATAGTTCGAATCCCTGCAGCTGAGTCTGTTGCCACAGAAACAAGGCAGATTGGGCGGTCTCTGCGTGCCGCTGCTAGGAGGAGAAGTATGATGTTGTAAATTCTGAAGCTCTACAAGGCAAACAATGCTATGTATATAACATCACGATCAGACTGAGTCTCATACGGGAACATGGCATATTGCGCACCATGCTGTTCCATATGATTTGAGTCGTAATATGATAGAGATAAGAAGTCTTGAAAAGAGCAACGCCATCGAGGGTGAGCTACTTCAGATGTATATGCCTTAATTTCTGAGACTATGTCACGTTGGCCTCCAAGAAAGTTGATCGCTTTTTTGGCCATGGTCGATTGCTGGACCTACATTGGCAAAGTAACCAACCCTATGCTAGGAAAAGGCGTGATGTGACAATTTCTGGGCATGATTGTAGCATGAGTTGAAGCGAGTTCTGAATTCCCTTTTCAAAAATCAATGGTTTGCTGCGAATGTAGGAGCTCCCATGGAATTTTCTTGATTTGTTCAATGTCCTCTGGTAGTCCTAGACATCCTCTCGTAGGCATTCGGGCTCGGTTTCCTGACTTTCGTCTTTCTATCATTAGGTGTCCGTTTTGGTGCTGTACGTCTGAGGCGCTCATGATTACAACTCCCGTCACGACAAGACTGCTGCTCGTCTTTACCGCGAGTCAGGTTGTCGGCATCGGAGTCGGAGTCGGATTCGGAATCACTGGAGTCAGATGATTCCGATTCTGAGCTACTTTCACCGACAGGTCGAGCTTTATGGTAGATACAGCAGACTGCAACGAATGAGCAATTTAAAGTCGATTATAATGAGGTTATTGGCCTGGCTAATGGAGCGGACGCATGCTTCCTTACCTTTGGAGCTTTTCCTTCCCATTCCTTCGTTGTCTATAACATCATCCCTCCATTGTATACGCCGAATTGACCTTTGATTCCCACCATGCTCGCTAGGATTGGGAGGATTATCTGCACCTTCTGCACGTAGCCTAAGAGTCGCTGATATACGAGTCGTTGAAGAACTTGCGGTAGACTCTTCTGATGATTCGGTTCTGGAGCCACTAGTTGAAGTTGAAACTAGATGATGAGTCTGGGGCATTTTGGCGGGTCAAAGGTCGGCTCAATAGGGGATACCAGGTCAAGGATCTTGCAACAATTTAAATATTTCCGGGCGACCAGGCCAGACATGTATCATGGGCTACGGCCTTTCTGGCTTATGATCTGAAAAAGTCGCTGCTGTTCGTACCGTCCTATGTCAGTTGCTGAGTAAGCAATATTAAGATAAGTCGCCCAACTAATCAACTTCGCTTGGCGCGCCTATCTTGCCTACTACGTACCTTGGGCACAGATTAGGTGGTAAGAACGACTAACTGCGCACATGAACCATTATGCAGACTAGGCCGCGCAGGGGATAACCGGGTTTGTGAAAGCATTGAATTCACAAGATTGTTAACACAATACACTTTACAGGGAATGGTATACATCCTTGAAAAAGAGATGTTCGTCTTTCAATTTAACAAGGTATCAGATTGTCTGGGCTTCCGCTGAAACGTAACATTTGAAGGCAACAATTAATTGACGGCTGATATGAATCATGCCAAGGGGTGCTCCAAATTGAAGGAATATAGAATTGGTCTACCCTGAAGCATAAACACTGAAGTAGAAGTAGGCACAGGTGGTTGAGGTGGTGTTGCTCGCGAACGGGTCAGTTTTGGATATGATATGTTGTTGGGCGTTGGTCGATTTCAGAACCCATAATACGACCAGCCATCAGATGGATCACTGCGCGCTAAGACTTCAGAGTCTCCGGTCCTTGTGAACGGAGATAACTCCTCACGTAGCTCCTTTTCAAGTCAGATTTCTTCATCCTGATCCATTTCGGACGGCTTCAACAAGCCTCCAACTTTCAGTGCACGATCCCGTTCGGCGGCCTTGGCGTCTCGCGCTGCCTGCTCCCTTTCGTCTGCATACAATTCGGCGTTGTCGCCTGCATTTTCTTTCAAGGAGATTAAGAAATCTCGCAAGTGTGTCTTGAACTTGTTGAAATCATCGTTGTAGGTAAATAACCCGACGACAAATTGTTTGGCTGGAATTCTGATCCAACGGTCAGCATCAAGACATTCGAAGATAATTAGGAGCACATACTCTTGAAGGTTCTTGAATGCGTTGTGTAAGGTGTTCGCCAAATACCCTTGCAAAAAGTCTTTGTTGGGTGTTCCCAAGGGCGCTTGGTCAGGGGAGTAGATAGGCTGTTGTACTTTGCCCGATTCAATGAGGTAGAACATGCGCGACAGGAGCATAGCCTGAGATTTGAAACCTTCAGCAGAAAGTGAGTATGGTCTCGTGACAAGCGGGACAGTGGTGCGTACCGGCCTTGTGGTCACTGTCACAAAGTACATAGAACACATCCCCAAGGATCTGAAGAAAGAACCGGTGAAAGAATGCGTTCGATGTTTGGATGTCCGTTTCCGCCATATTGTTTATGAGTTCAAGGCACATTGTAAGGCCGGTAGTCTCAACTTCACGATTGACATGCTTACTTGCCCACATGCAAGAGTCAATGACAATCTTGAACTGGGGGGGCTGAAGCTTGAGTAAGGCTGGAAAGCAATACAAGTTGATCGCTTGCAGCAGTTTGAAGAACTGCACGCGATGATCCGGATATTCGTAGTAGTCCTTGTTAATCATTTCCAAGGTACATTCGAATACACTCTCCATGATCATGGGAACCTTATCCTCCATAAGATTCTGTAGTGAAGATAAGTCTTAGCGAACATAGTCATCTGTAGTAGGGAATAGGACAAGACGTACGTGTAGCTTATGAATAATGGTAGTCATAACGTTCAGTACTTCTGCCTCACGTGCGTCTGGCACATTGTGGTTGTAGTCCACGAGAACAGCCTCAAGTAATGGTGGTACCATGCTCGAATTTACCATCTCCAAATCATCAGCCTTCTGCACGTAAGTGTCTATGAGCTTCAAAATTTCCTTTTTGATGGTCCTGAGGCCCCTGACTTTGGGAGTCTTTGTTGCGATTTCACCTGAGCAGTAAATCAGACATATGCTTCAAAAGGACAAATGTGACGAGTATGATCAAGCACAAGCAAGGGGATTCAGGCTTAATTCCAGGAATGGGGTAGTCGTTACCATCTTGTGCAACAGCAGTGTTAATGAGCTGACTGGATGCCCGGTACATGTTCAACATGTCAAGGTATATCCGTCCGAGTTGAGAATAGAAGTATGTTCCAATCGAAGAACAAGCAGCCACATTAGTTTTCATGATGTTGCCAACGATTTTGATTGTTTCGCCATCTTCCAGGACTTTAGGATCTTGTGATGCCTGTGCAATGATGGAATCCCAAGCGACATTGGGCAACGACATGAGATTCTCAATTAGTCGGTCCTGCAGACCTTTCTGACCTTGAGCGGAAATCATATAACCGCAAGCCTCATAGAAAGTATGCACTTGCTGGGGTGAGAGATCGCAAGTGATTTTTCTCATATTGCGAACTATTTCCTCGATAAAAGGTTCGTTCTCGCCTGGCTGGAGAGCAACGAAGTGTCGTCGGCATTTGTTGGCGATCTTGATGAAGGTATCGCAAGCCATATCCTGAACACCTGCACGCTATCAGAAGGGTTGTCCAGCGCGGTATGGCCACACTCACCTTCGTGCGTTTCATGCATGAACTCGAACAACTTGTTGACCACCGTCTTCAAGAATTTCCAGTGCGCTTTCAGAAACCTCGGGTATTGTCCCACAATATACATGATGTTACTAGCAACAACCGCTTTGTTATCTTTTCCGCGCTTCATCTCGGTCAGGCCGAGAAGATCCTTGATGACGTTGACGAGGAATCTCTTCTCAGTCTCCTCGTTCATAGCTCCAGAAATCGATCCAATTGCCCAGCAAAGAGTATTGCAATTGTTCCAAGACCACTCGGACCCGTCAACCTGCTTGGCTAGCTTCTCAATCATGATATTCTCTGTATCGACCACGTCTAAATGAGTGAGGTAAACGAGGCATTCGCGAATGGTCTTGTAGAGCTGGATTGTGTCGCTTTCCTTAACGAATTCGCGAACAATTTCACCCTCGTCATTCTCCACGACGAGAACTTCTTCGGGCCGAACAATTTTCTCAATCATGACGGTACGCAGGCTGGAGAGAACCTCCTCGTATTTGTGTTTGCGAAGAGCGTAGTTGGCCAGTGCACTGGGATGAGGGGCGCCTCCGTTTGATAACCCACTTACACCCATGCTCACCAGGGGGTTTATGTCAGTAATTGGAAGCTGTTGCATCTCTTCATAGAGTTCTTGCACGAGTTTTGTCCAATATTCCAAGCAGATCTTGAACACCTCCCTATCGTCGATTTGACTAATACGAATCAGGTAAAAATGGGCGTGAGTTAGGTAGTCACGGTTCGGAAGCGTCTCAATAAGCTTAACATGTAAACACATCAGGGCCTGAAGGAGGTGAGAAGGGAGGTGGCGAGAACTCACATTGAGATGAGCACTAAAGAAACTGCAAAGGAAAAGAGCCAGATTGAGCACGAACTCCTGATCTCGTGAGTTGCTCTTTGAATATGTCTGCTTCAAATCCAGCGATAAAGGAATGATCTCTGAGACAGTGTTCAAAGTTTCCGTAAACATGCGAACCAACTGATCGTCGTAATTATAAGGGTTACCAATCTGGAGTCCACCAATCTCTGTAAGGCATTTGAGAGTTATATTGCGGTACTCTGCATTGCCCAGAAAGCGAGTGAGAAGGGTAGTAATGATGTTCGTTTCGAAAATGTATCCGAGCGGAATCCAATTCAAAAACCTCAGTAGTGTCTCCAGCGTAGCTTTAATCAAGCTCGCCTGGTTGGCGTTATCCAATACCTGGCTGCACAGTTGAAAAATGGAGGAAAACTCTTGGGTCATAGAAGTCTTCAGGTTCCTCGCTTTCACGGAAGTCATTTGATCTTGAGAGAAATCGAAGACTTCTTCGGACAACAAGCGAAGGATGGCCATATTGTTCTCGCAAACCGAAAGACTCGAGTGGCACGACTGGATAATATCATTGATGAATGTTGGCCAGTTGTGTGGCCATTCTTGTTTCAAAATCGACACAAGCACCAGGTTAAGCTTGTTCAAAAGGACGCGTTGACTCCTTAGCTTCTCCTCTGTTTCGGAGGCTTGGAGGATAAATTGAACGATAAAATTTCGAATGCCTAACGATCTTTAGCAAGTCCCTCGTGCAACTGGAAAGAGATAAGATTTACCTAAGCATTGTTCTTTAGGTAAAATCTTCCACCGTGTCATGATCACATCGTCAAGAACTTGAAGAGCAAGATCTGAGACAAGTCAGTATCTCGCTACCTTCGTTGATCATCATGTTAAGCACCGCACATTTGGTTTGTGGATATGAGGACTCTTGGAGGATATTTGCTGCAAGCATCCAGGCGTCTTCATTTTGTTTGAACTAGACATCAAGTACAAATCAGAGAAACCCGCTCCAAAGATGTCCATGAAAATTGCTCACTTACATCGGTCAGAGTCTGCTGGGCTTGTTTTTGCTATGTGTAACAGAATTGACGCAGATTAGCACTGGTTAGATCCCAGAAGCTTGCATGAAGAAGCAGCATAGCTTACCAGATCGCCTTTGCCTTCGTAGAAGGCTCGGACAGTGTTGTCCAACTCCTGTATGGAAACAGACATCGCGCTCGCAAGTCTGATGTTGCTGTGCGTCACACACCTCGGCCTTCGAGCAGGATACCAAGTGGGTCGAAGTCACCCAGAGAGACCGTGGGTTAATAAGGTGTTAGGTGGTAGCAGGTGGGCAAGATGCTTGGCGGGGTAGAGGCTTCTTTGGAGGGGTACGACGGAGGTAAGGAGAGCTTGGAGCAGAGTACGATTTTAGAATGCACCAGTCACAGGAGAGAAGGGGAAAGTGGGGTGGCTAAACTGCGAAGCAGTAGTAATTTTCACTGAGATCTTTGGCTTTAGGATAATGATATGATGTCTGAGGGTGGACTAAAACTAGCAGTTGCCTGGCGGTGAGAAGCAGCGCGTTCCTCAGGCTGTTGGTGGTTCATTTCTTGGATTAGCTAAGTAGCTAAAGAACTAAGTCATTACCACAAGTTAGCTGGCTAGTAGTTGACTAGTGAGATTATTCAACTAACTCAAGGTTGATTTAACTAGTTAGACTGACTGGTCAGTGAAAAGCCATTAACTGACTGAACAAGCCAAGTCACTGAAGTATCAGGTACCTAGTAACTCATAATTATGTTGACTTAGTACCTAGTTATTTAGGAGGTTAACTTGGTTAGTTAACTCGAGTTATCCGGATGACTAATATATGTTTCCTAACTAAATCACCTTAAGACACAAATAACTGGTACTTCCCCGCTCGCAAAATAGCTTCAGCAGTATCATACATGATTTGCATTCCGAGACTCGATGATATAAGCTTGTCTGTCTGTATGTTATAGTGTACCTAGTCTCTGAACTACCTCTATCAATGCTCATCAATTGTTCATAAGTCAGCAAGCTACGTGTTGCTGAGCATACTGATTTGATATAAGCTGCTGCTGAGGAGTTTAAGACTATTCAGCCCTAGCGATTTGATTTTAAGAAGAGCAGTCGAGTAATGTGAACAGACTAGGAGTAGTTGTCAGACATTCTGCTGGACAGATACTCCTGCTTACTCTCTCACCTTCTGCTCAGCAACTGAAAGTGAGACAGTGCTTCTTACTACCTGTGTGACTTGGTCTTTGTCTAGATCCAGCTGATTTCTAGTCCACGAACTACTCCGTACTGTGCCCATGCATGTATTGTACAGTGTTGGCCGCGTTCACCTCCCTCCTGCTTGGCGTAGCGGCACTGCTAACAGTGGAGAGGTGGCTGGAAGCGGAGGGCCAGACGGTACCTAGTAGTTACTTACTATACAACGCAACTACTTAAGTAACTGAGCTACCCAAGCGGTGGAAAAGGCTGACCGGTCTTTCCGTCACTTAGAAATTCAACTTGCAGGCAACCCCTTCGGTCCACTAGCCTACCTGACCGCACAGGCAGATAGTAAATGCTGATTGTACTGTACGTACCTAGATGGGGTTGGAAATGGTCTCCTAACGGTAGTCTAGGTGACCCTTGCCGCGCTTCCCTCGCGCGGAAAGCGATGAGACCAAAAGCCACTCGAAGGCCAAGGCAGACCCCGGGGCCCTCAGCTCTCCGAAGGTGAAATATTGCCTGAGCGCGCGCTATAGTTCAAAGACCTCTTAGTTCGCTTCGGGTTGCGGCCATGAGTCTGAGATCATGCACTCCAAGGATTTTGTCACCAACATATATTCCAGTTGATGTTGCCGTGTCCGAACAGGATAGCCAGCTTGGGATAACACAGTCGGTAAGTGGTCTCGCGGTACTCGATTATCTAAAAAATATCCAGGTGCTTCGCGCCGCCCATGGCCGATCGCGCGCCAACCCTGTCCGAGCTTTCCGTCAACCAGCTGGCAGCCGCGCCCTTTGGCTTTGAACATACATAAAGTATGTACAGTAAAATGTCATTTAAGGTACAGTAGCCCGTACATACCTACTGTAGCGCACTCATGAAGTGGTAATAAAGACAACCTCCAGCTCTCTTTCTAGTACCCTACTGGGTCCAGGGTCTTGCCAGTAACTTTAAGGCCTATGGGCTTTTCCTATATTATACACCGCCCTCATTCTCCCACGCCCCCTTTCGCCACAACAACTCATCACACCTTGTAATTCTTTCCCTCCTGTCAATCAGGCCATGGAAGTTTTCATTCATTACTCTGTAGTACCGCTGTCCCCCGAGCTCCGATTCACATCAAGTAACCTCGACGGCCGTCGGCGATTACTGTATCCTTGGTTCCTGCATGAAATGACTTGCTTTTCTGGCTCCGTCACTCGGCGGCAAATAGTTTTATACTAATGCGACTGTCTCGACATCTTACTCGCTGATTTATAATTACAATCGCTTACTTCCACCTTCATCCATTCACTACCCTCCTTACTGCATACCTACCCCCCTCTCACCTGATTTGATGTTCTTTCTCCCCCCCTCCTCTCTCTCCTCTTTCCCTCTCCCATACTAAAGTCGCTTACTTACTTTACAGTCTATGCTCCTCAAGGCGCCGCCCTCAAGCCGAGAAATAGACCGGGTCTTACCATATTCTCTGTCCAACCTTCTCAATTCCAGCATAGGTCATCACCACCACACTTAATCTTTGTTCACGTTTTTGTTGAGCCCACAACCATAGAACAGAGAATTACACTTCTTGTCTGTTCATGCGATACCGCATCCTGATCGGAATCCACGTTTCTTGTTCCGTTCTAGGTTTTTTGTACATCATACATATGCTATTCCGACACTTCTCTCTCTGAGGCTACAGGGAAAAGTCTCTGATAACCATACAATTACTCATTCGCGGACTGTTGTTTACCTTTGCCTCGCCGACAACTGGGTATCGGTAAGAGTCTATGGATGTCTTGCTAGTCACCTGGACCTTGCCGTCACGCAATTCGGTTTGAATACGCCGGCGAACTACTTCCTTGGAGGCTTGGGCCGCTACAAAAACTGGAAGGGAATCTTGGTGTTCGCTTAAGCTGACCATGATTCTCAGTAAGTGAATGGTAAGTTTCACGAAAAATCAGTGACTGGCGTCGTATGTTATGATAATATCTGAACGACTACGGATATTTTCTCGACTTTCGGATCTCATCAAGCTCAGCATCTTGATCTGTTTTTCACTGTCTGTTCGGGTCTGATCCAGGCTACTACGGTTTAATCATGGCTACCGTGGCATCCGCATCGGCAATGCATGACCAGGAGGCCGAACAGGAATCTAAAGCTGAAAGTAGCCCCTTTCGATTTACAGCGGTCAATGGCAGAGAAAATGTGACCAGCGGGGCAGCAATATCCACCACAAGCACTAGGAGGCTGTCTACGCATGAGAACCAGGCCGCCGAAGGCCCCGTCTCCATTTGTTCGCCCAAGATTGGCGCTGATTGTGTGTCTCGATACGATGAGACTAAAGAGAATTCTGGGTATGCGGAGCGGGACAACATGGAGCGGAGTCAGGATGACCAAAGATCAGGGCGTACGCTTTCTTCACCGGAACCTCTCGGCAGGAGTAAACGCAAGAGATCGGAATCAAGGGAAGAGCGCCGGGGAAACGGTGCGAGTCATAAGGTACTCAAAAGTCCAGACCCACGCCTAGACGACAGCATAGCTTCAAGTATTCAGCGGTCGCCGCCGAATGGCGCTGTCACATCTCAAGGAGAATCTGATGCCAAACAAACACCTGTTCAATCTCGACTGGACGAAAATGGAGACGCTCGCATAACATCTGGGAATACAGTGTGGCATGAAATTGATTCTCACTTGGTGAAACAAGCACAGCGTGTGCAGCACCTTGACGCTTCGGACGCTCAACTTGCAGAGGCACTTCAGCGAGAAGCAAATGGCAATGACCTGTCGCCAAAAGGCTGGAACACTAATGACCGTCCAATCGAAGGTTCTTCGCAAAGTGAACAAGCCACCTCAGTCCCTAGTATTTCGCAGGAGCGGCCACATCCTGCTGTACAAGTTGCACCTAAACGGAAACGTGTTTTTAGTAATAGAACCAAGACCGGTTGCATGACTTGTCGCAGGAGGAAGAAGAAATGCGATGAGCAGCACCCTGCTTGTAAGTTCTAGGAACTATCCCGCTCTATTGCAGTATGAGCCATGTCATTGATGTCTGCTGTTCGTCTAACACTATGTAGGCAACAATTGCATCAGAGGAGGGTTTTTGTGCGAAGGCTATTCCTCCCGGAGCACATGGCAGAAACCGTCAAGCGCAAAACCACCCGTTCCTCTGCAATCGAAAGAAGGATACAGCGACATGAATAGTCAATATCTGCATGACATCGGCCCGCCACATGAAAGGCCCCAAATCTTGACAGAACATATAGAAGCCACCAAGATGAGACCGATTGTCGTCGAGGATGCCGACCGTTCTACTTCACAATTTAGCACCAGCCCCACAGGCGTTAGCTCTGGTCGTGGGTGGACCAAGAGGGCTTGGGGAGGGAGCGGGCATCCGGCGTATATACCGGATCATCTAACAAAGTCAGATTACCGTGAAGTTCCGTCCATCCATGAATTGTCTCGGGAGGGACATTCGAAATCGGATTATGCCATGGTACCTCCAATCAGAGAACTTTCTCATGGTAACCATTCAAAATCGAGCGCTTCCCTGTTTCAAAGTGGGGTTGATCAACGACCAGCACACAGCAGCAATCTAGACACCAGCAGCCCGCAAGCCCAGGCACGCATGGCATTAAGTATTGAACATCAATTGTCTGCACGCACTGTGTCCGGAGAAGAAACAGAGAGGGAGAAAATGATTCGTGGTGAGCTTTACCGGCCTTACGATGTCCACCTTGTAGAAGAAAGGGACCGTTGTAAAGCTGCCCTGTGGAGATTCAACAATGCCTGCAATCCATTGTCGGGCCTAAGCACCAAGGAGCAAATGCGCCTGCTGAAAGAGGTTTTTATCCCTCCAGTCTCGGTGTCCAGTTCGCCCTCAGGTGCTCCCGCACCTCGTTCTTCTGGAACAATCGGCCAAGGAGCAGTTGTTGAGGCACCTTTCCACTGCCATTATGGTTACAATGTGCATTTAGGTGAGGATGTTATGATTTCCGAAGGCTGCCTATTTGTGGATGACTGCCCAATTACCATTGGAGCGCACACGTGGATTGGGCCTCGGGTTACCATCCTCAGCTCAACCGCTCACGCAAATATGCAAGAACGCAAAGGCTCTCAGAGCCGCTATCAAGGGCGCTCTGTTGCCATCGAAGAAGACTGTTATGTTGGAGCTGGCTGTACGATCTATCCCGGTGTCCGCCTTCGCCGCGGTGCGTATGTTGCGCCGGGTGAGGTAGTGAAGTCCGACATAGTAGCTTATGGCTTTCAGGGGTTAAAGCCTGGGTATATGTGATATGTACAGAACAACTGATGCGATGACGGGATGTATGTCTTGAATATTGAACTATACCACTAAAAGGGATCAGCTGCAAGTTGAATAGGACTGTAAACCTCGTCAACTAAACCGAGCTCACAGCAATATAGTATAACTAATGTTTCAACAACAAACCAGGCTAACACCAATCGCAGAATTTACGCTTTTTCGTCAATACCTAATCTTGTCCGGCAGGAATCTGATTTCTGTATGGTTGAGTTTGATGTACATTGTACAAGTACTGTCTACAAATGCTGTCATTTGTATAACGAAATGACCTATTGCAGATTATCTTTTCCTGTCAACTCAAGTTTTCAATCAAAGAAAGATAACACAAGCGGGAATGGGTCTCTTTAAGAGACGGTCTGAAGGGAGAGGGATGTCGTCACGTGGCAAAGTATGGGGCGGATTAATAGTTTACCTGAACACGCGATAAAGCAACCTTACGGTCGCGCCAGATAGTAATCATAGCCAATCCAGAAACTCGGGAACAAAGTAGCTCACAATAATACCTGCACCAGCTCTTAAGATGCCTTCTGTACTTTCAAAAGCCATAGATCTCAGGTCGAAAACCCCCGCCTTTGCCCCTGCATGTATCATGGCATATTCACCACTAACTTGGTAGGCTGCAATGGGCATGTCCTTTGCAAGCTCCTTTGCATCCCTGATGATGTCCAGGTAACTGCTCGCGGGCTTGACCATTATGATGTCAGCGCCCTCGGTTATATCCCGCTGGATCGCTCTCCGCGCAAGCCCTCTACCTCCCGGGGGTAGCTGGTAGCATCTACGATCACCAAAGGAGGGGCATGATCCTGCTGCATCGCGGAAAGGACCATACAGACAACCACTGAACTTGGCGCTATAGGACATAAGGAGGACTCGATGAGCCATGCCGGCCTCGATCAATTTGAGTTTGATGGCACGTACACGTCCATCATTCATGTCCGATGGAGCAACACAATGAGCGCCAGCCGCTGCGTAAGCCAGAGCGACATCAGAAATACGATCCACGGATTGCGCATTATCCAGTGTGCCGTCCTCGCGAAGGATCCCACAGTGACCATGAGATGTATATTCGCACAGACAGACATCAGTGACGATATAAAGCTGCGGAAAACGCGACCGAAGGAGACGGATGGCCTGGACTACAGGCCCACTAGGATCATCCGCGGCAGTTCCGAGAGCATCCTTCGCGGATGGGTGCAAAGGAACTCCAAATAGAATTACGGAGCGCAATCCTTTGTGGACGAGAGGTCTCAAAAATGGCACAAGACGATTCAGCCCCCGACGGCATTGATTTGGGAGTGATGGAATTGGTGTCTCTTCATCTGGATTGTCGGTGATGAAGAGCGGATATATGAGCATTTCCTGTGGCGAGTTAGGAAATTGTATCAATCTCTTACTGCATTGCTGACCTTGGTCAATTGCTTTTCGGCTTGCCATGATCTGCTCAAAGGATGACTGTAACCGGAGTGGAGTTGGCTAGAGATATCACCGGATATGCTGACGCTGGTTGCAGCTGTACTGGTATAAGAGCGAGCAGTAGCCTGGGTTCGGGCGTGGGATATTTGGGAACTATGGTCGTCCTGGACATCCCGGAAGGCGAGATCTGACACTAAATTTGAGAAAGACATAATGCTGACAGGCTGCGACCTCAGTAGCAATACCAATTGATGGTCTGGAACGATGTAGCCTGTAGCCGATGGGTTGTGGTGTGAAAGGAAGGCGATCACATTTCACAGATAATGGGATTCAGATACAGTGTAAAACAGGTAATCATGGAAGTTGACAGCTGAGGACACATGTGATTTCTTAGTCATGGCATTACATATCAGAGAACATGATTTGCTGGTAGCACGGGAAGCATGTGGCGGTCCTAAGAAAACAAGTTCTAATTGTCGTGGAGTTGCCCATGGCTATAGCACGGCGCTGGTTCGGCTTGGTGGCCGGCTAGCTCTGCCATCTGTTCCCGCCTTTGGTGGACACCTCATTAACATAACTGAGCACTGAACTGTGGAGACACTGTCAGTAACTGCAGCAGTCTGCTGCCACCTCACTGGCTACCTTACTGAATACTTTACAAAGCTATTTAGAATTACTAGAAAGTATTATATATATTAACTCTTATTATTTTCCTTAACTACTTATATTTTCCTCTCTCTCTCTATATACATATATTCAATAATAGATTAGTAATAATCTTTTGGATAAGATCAATATTAATTCTTGATATGACATACATAAGCTAAATTAAAATTTTCTCGGTTTATTTAAATATCTTTATCTTTACTATTATATCTTTACAATTATCTCTTTACTATTATCTCTTTACTATTATCTCTTTACTATTATATAAGAAAATTCTGAATTTTTTCCTCTAAATTTAAGATCTTAGTTATTTTTAGATATATTATTAAGAATAAAATAGTTCAGTTAGGGATAGAATAGTAGTAGTTTCTATTTTTTAAGACTAATTTTTACTCTTTAAGAGAAATTATAAGTATCAAAGATGTTAGTAGAGAGACATTCTGTCGCCATTTCGCGGTTTCCTCATTGGGCGACTTCTGTGTGATAGGATCTACTTGTCAGGGTAGAAAGCCTGTCGACTAGGTAAGGAATCAACCACTAAACACCATGGATTCGTCTAGTAATAACAAAGGTAGTCTATATCCATAAAATAGACTGATCCTTGAGGAATCAGTAGCCTCCTACAGAGGAATCAGTATCTTATAGATATTAGAAAGATATAGATTTACTATTAATAATCTTATAACTCCTATAAGTACTTTAGTATATTATTCTAATAATCTTACTTCTAATAGTAGCTATTCTATTATAAATAGTACTCTTTTTTATAAGAATAAGTTATCTAGCTTAGATACTAGAGATAAACTTATATATTTTAACAAGCCTTGTATCCTTGCTTCGCTCGGCGGCTCGAAGACTGGGGCCGCCGGCTGGTCCGTCACATATATTCCTAATTGGGAATACATACGCATTGTATGTGTTGTTGTAGTATAATAAACTAGCTATAGATATCTTATAAATACTAAAATATCTATTATCTAATATCTTCTATATTCTACTACTACTATTTATCTTTTTTTTTAATTTTTTTAAAAAAAGCTGTTTCTTCTATAAATATTTATATTATAGACTATTAAAATTCTTAAATTAAATTACTTTATTATATTATATATAAAAACTAGTTATTATAGATTAGATTAGTATTATATAACTATTTAGTATTATCTAAGAATATAGATAGTAACTAGCTAAATACTACTACTATATAAAATAATATATATTTCTATTATAATTTTAAATTAATTTAGACTATAGTTCTAAGAGAATAATAAATATTTAATAATTTAAGTATATAAATATATATAAAGATAACTTATAGCTATAGTAGTCTTTATAAGAATATATTTTTTATAAATAATATTATCTTATCTTCTTCTTCTTCTTTTAGTAAGTTAAAATTAATATAATTATATAAAAATAGATACTTAATATAATCTATAGTATTTCTTAATATTCTCTCTAGTTCTTTTACTATAAAGCTCTGGGTTCTAGTTATTAACTATAATATAATTAAGTAAGTAGTCTCTAGACTAATAACTAAGCTTACTACTAATTATAATATAATTGTGGCGAATGTTGCTGATATGATGTTCTGCCGTCCGTTTGTCTGGCCGCCTTCCTGGCCGCCTTAGCGGGAGAACTTTGTTCCCACCCATCTTGATGTCTTCCGTCTTCAACTAACTAATAACATACCTATTTATGAATTATCTATACTATAACATATAGTAGCATGTCCCAGTTATTCAGAATATGATATATATTACTAAGGTCTATACTAGTAAAATTATTATATTCTAACTTTCTATATTATTTCTTATCTTCTATCTTATTATTTACTAGGTTATCTATATCAACTTCCTGGTATCTGTATCGCTGATCGTGAGGTATCTGTATTCTGGTATTCTATCTATTACTTCTGCTTTTCTTATTAGCTTAAAGTAGATTACTTGATATCTTCGATTCTTACTCTGATTTACTTATTAATTATCTAATCTATATACTATCTTATCTTTATTAAATCACTACTATTATATCTTATCTCTATTTTCTGTATTCTAGACTATCTAATTATTACTTTATTCTTAAGTTTCTATTTAATTATCTACTAAATCTATATATTATTATTTTAATTACTTTATAATAATTTTAATATCTATATCTATATATCAGAACTAGGACACCAAATCATCTAGTTCTATATATATTCAGAAAGTCCACTATATCTATATCTTAATATAGATATATTATACCAGGCCTACTATATTATATCTATTACAGACGTCTTTCTCTCTTAGAGAAGTCGATTATATCCTTAGTCTTAGAATATTAATAAAAGTATAATATATAAAGATATTATCTAGTTCCTTATCTAAACTAATTTATTAGTATTAGATACTATATATATTAAGTAGTTGACTAGTTTGGATATTTAGTATATTCCTGAGAGCCATGTTAAGCCTGCTCGGCTGTTAGATTATATATAATCTTATATATTAATCTTAACATCTTGGTCTATATCTTATATCTCTATATCTAAGCCTATTCCCAAGTCTATTTCTTCTAATATACTAATAGCTCCTACCCCAAGCCTAATTACTAAAGATATTTCTATATTAGACATACTATCTGAAGATATTAATACTAAAGATATTAATATCAAAGATATTAAACTAGTAAATACTATTCTAGTTATTATCTTAATTAGTTATTAATTATCTAAAGTCGTTACTTCTAAAGTACTGAGAAGTAATCTAATTACTCCTACTATATCTTATATATCTTATTATATCCCTGAATCTATATATCTAACTACTATATAGTTAGTATATTTACTCTTATCAGTATTTTATTCTTTGCTTTTATATTCTATATCTCTAACTAGACTATTCTATATTACTTTACTATCTGGTATTCTTTCTATATTTAGTGAATTCTTATCTTTAATATTTAATTAATATTAAGAGTCTAAAGATTATTATTTACTATATTAGAAGATACTCACCTTTTCTAGTAATTCTCTAGATATCTATTCTTTTAATTAAGAGACTAAATATCTATATCTCTTATTCTATTAAGCCTACTCGCCTAAGCCACCTGTCAGGATGTATAAATCTAGATATACTAATATATCTGATATTATAACAGGGCCTAGTAGTACATCTTCTAAAGATACTATTAACCATCTTAATACAGAATATATAGAATATACTATAACTAGTATTCTTAAATATCTTAAAGTAATAGATAATTATATAAATAAGTTTACTACTAATAAAAGATATAGCTATTCTTAAAGATATAAATTCTAAAGATATTCATCTTATTTATCTAAAGATAATAATAGTCATGAAGTTATATCTAAAGCTATATATATTAAGGATCTTAAACCAGAAGAAATTAGTTTCTTCTATCCTAATATAGCTAGTAAAGATACTATAAAGTAAATTAGTTATAATATATACTATAAGAATATTAATATCTTTATAGATTATATTAAGGATATTATATAGTATTATAGTAAAGATACTATAAAGCTTAATCTTTAGGCCTGTATATATAGTACTACTTTAACCTGGTATACTACTAGTCTTAATAAATAAGAGAAGTATCTAATTACTAATATCAACTTAGAGCTTAGATAGCTTACTAAATTATTAAAATACTTTAAATCTAGTCTATATATTATAATAACAAAGTTAAGTAGCTTGTTCTATACTATAAATAATATCTAAGCTGGAAAATATATTAGTTAATTCATCTAAGAGGTAATTTATTATACCTATACTATATATATAGATAATCTCTTTAATTAATTAATCTATATCTAGGATTATCTTGATCTATATCTTTATATACAACTAAGATACTCTATATAAGATACTATAATTAATAAGTTCCTTAAAGAGCTTAATAAATAATAGTATAATTAAGAAGTTCTTACCTGGATTATTAAAGATAAAAATAAGTATAGTAATATCTCCTATAGAAATTATAACTCCTATAGTTAAGAATATTAAGAATCTCAGAATTATCTAAATCAGAATTATACTAATAATAGATGCGATTTTAGGAATAATTATTATAGAGGTAATTTCAACTGGAAGCCCCAGAATTATTAAAACTAGAACCTAAACCAGAGCTGATAGATAAACCAGAATCAGAACTAATAACAGCCTCAATAGCAGTCTCAGTAGAATAGTCAGCCCTAGTCTAGACCTTATAATACTTATATTAATCAAACCCCTACCCAACCGCCCATAGTAAATATGTCTTCTAGTAATCAAGATAATTATTATCTATAGAACTGAAACACCCAGACTTAAGGTCAATAGAAAAATCTAGATTATTATTAGTATTAATTCCAGAACTTAATATCCTAGTTATTCCAGAAGGGTGGTTCTTAGAACTAGTATATATATACTATCGCTACAAACCCTTCTATATCTATAGAAAAGATGTATTATACACATAATGATTATCTATAAGATACTTAGTATTCCAAAAATCCCTACCAACAAGTACTGAATAAATTATATAATAATTATAATATAGATCCTCCTTATATCAAAGAATATAATTATAATTAGTCTAGTGAAGAAAATCTATTCTATAAAAACTATAATAAGAGTAATAATAAGTATATTAATAATACTTATATTACTAAGGATAATAATATCTTATTTATATCTATATAATAGTATCCTATCTCATCTTAAGATATTTAGTCTTAGATTATTTAAGATCAACTGTCTATTCTATATTATAACTATAATACTCTATATA